CTACGCCAGATAGGGAAGCAAGGGTGGCGCCATGGTGAGAGCACTCGCCTCCCACCAATGTGGCCCGGATTCAAATCCCGGCGTCGACGCCATATGTGGGTTGAGTTTGTTGTTGGTTCTCCCGTTTGCTCCGAAAGGTTTTTCTCCAGGTACCCTGGTTTTCCCCTGTCCTCAAAAACCAACATTTCCAAATTCCAATTCGACCAGGAATCAGGTAGACGAAGAACCACTATGTGGATGTGCTACCTGCAAATCGTTATTTCTTTATTTAGATACGAAAAACCACTAAAAACCACCCTTGAGAAGTGGCCAAAAATGTTCGGAAACGTACTCCCCTACTAATGCAGTGGCTCGTAAAAACCCCGGCGAAAGGAGTCAAGAAAAATACATTACAATGCTACATAGACTACTCCAAAATTATACTAATAGAATAGGGTGCGGATCTAGATACCTAAATTCATATACTATATATAGACATACAGATCTGAAGACATAACAAAATAAAATATAGAAAAGGAGGACTTGCAAAACAAAACGAAAACTGTCAGACGGACTGAGCTGACGTAGAATGGCACAAGTCTCGCGCCAAAACCATAAATGCCCCGATACTATCCCAGGAACGCCAGGGAGCCTCTATACCGTGACGTCAGAGTATTAACTTCTGACTAATTCGTTCCCATGTCTCTCAGTAGTCAGAAATTACATCTTTCGTCGGTTCTACGTTAAGTTCCCGTCGTCAGTTACTCGTTTTTAGGCAAATTCAAGATGGTTATAAAGAGATGTTTACTAAAGCAGACATTCTTCAAATAGCAGTTGGCATCCTTCGAGTTTTACTTAATTGGTGTTCTTGTTCTTAGGTGTACTTCGGCCGATTCTTCTTCGCAAAACGCGTGCAATTTTCCGCCATTTTATTCAGTCCGGCTAACACAACCTCGTTCCAGTACTTCTCGGTTGCCGTGACTATTTCTGGCGATTGATGCCATTTCTCTGGATATCGCAAACCTCCTCTCAATTTGATATACGCTAGCTGGTTATGAAGAAACAGCCAGGGACTTGAGCCAATCAGAAACGCAAAAATATTTCAATGAATAAGGGTAGATGCGTTCTCCTTCCTCACGAGTGCCCACCGAGTTCTGGGGCGCCCTCAGAAACCCCTTTTTTCTGCCCCTTCAAACGTCTACTAGGCAGGCTAAGTCCTGCTTGACCGTCCCCGCAGCGACACACTGCCTGGCGCAAGCGGCACTGCACTAGGATAAAGTGTCAGTGTGAGTCAATTATAAGGTGAAATAAAGTGATTTTCTAAACAGAAAAACGAAGCACTGAACATCTGCGAAATGTCAGAAAATATGTGTTTCTAAAATATGGAGTCAACTGCATTGGCGACGGTAGATAGAAATTTTCCTGACGAGGCACGCTTTGTTTTCCAAATCAACCATACACGTTACTTCTCTGAAATCGCTTTGACGCTGGAGACTTGATTAAATTGTGGTTAAATTGAAGTGAGGTTATAATCTCTCTTGATCTTTTGGAACTGTATTCTTTGTTACGGCTTCGGCTCGTGTAGTCTGCTACACAGCCGTTTTTAGTGTCGTCACGTACGCAACGTTGGTTATTTATTGATCTTCGAAAGTTTTCAGGTATGCACAAGTATACTGACGTAAAGGTAGCAACACCTTCGCTGAAAGCAAACTCACCACCCCGCCCCCACCCCCTTACATGTTGTTTTTAGTAGACATTTACCCCCGAAAAAGTACACTGCACTCAGGCTAGTCCCTAGGCGTTCTCTCTTGATCCCGTTGTCCGCGCGAAGTCTGGGAGAGAGCGGGCCAGTATCTCTCGGTGACGTCACAGCTCATGGTAGAGTCCAGGAATGGCCGAGCCGAGAACGTCTGGGGAACTGGGGACTAGGCTGGACGGCACTGAATCTGCAAGTATAATCTTGTTCCTTCGAGGGCCTTTCGATCGTCTGTATGAGACACGTTACAGCTAGAATTAGAGCACAACCTGTACTAATTGAAAGATGGCAATGGCTTAAACAAGATGACTTCGTTCAAACTAAAACACCGCAACTTCAGCTAGAACAGATGCCAGTCGACAGCACGACTCTGTACTGTCTAAAGTGTCTAAATCAATATGACTGGGTCATTATACAAGCTTCTTTGTTTGCCACCCTTCTGAAACCATCGTCACTTTTTTAAAAAATTTTAGACCCTACATGATCTCATACTGAGTAGCGACAGACCCGTCTTACTAATTAAGATACCATGAATGGAAAATTTGTCTGACAATTTCGTCAAAATGCATGGTTAGACAACAAAGTATATCACAAAAACTTATAATTGGCTATACCAAGAGGTCTTAAAAGGGCTTTCATCCCGTATCTTGGCTATACTCTATAAAATATGTCGTGATTCAATGCTAACAGAAACTGAATCGGACTCTCGATCAGACAGGCAATTTTTCCACTAGAGAATCAGGACAAGTGGAACCAGCCTTTCAGACCTGTAACAGTATTGTGGAAACGGTCGCCAACAACATTTTTAAAAACGTAAGAACAGCACCTTGCAGATAAAGAGAAATATCAAAACAGATGGATAATTCCATAGACACGTATCAAATGGTTGTTCATGACATATGGATTCACATAACTTGATGAAACTGTGATTCGTTCCATCATCTGATCATTGAAATGGGAAGTTTTAAAATTTAGTCTGTTAGAAAGCTAGAGGCTGAGTAGCATGCAGCGTTAAATGCGCAAGAAAGGACCTCTGAAATGAGTAGTTTCGAAAAGTAGTAAATACACCATTTCTCTACGCTCTCTACCACTCAAATAACTGAAGACAAAACATTACCCCAGTTTGCGTTTGTCACTTATCAAACGAGACCACAGGTATCGTTAGCACTTGTTCCATAGATTATCTGACAGCGAAGACAAGACTTCAAGATCATCTTCGCGGTCGTTTGCCTTTGCTCGGGTAGAATCAATGAGTCCCAAATCCATCCTCTTGGTTACTCAGTAGGGCTTTTCAATAAACTAATAAACCTAGTAAACGATTGTGCAATTCAAAACGTTTCCAAATTTAGAGCCCGGCGTCGGTAGTATAATCCAACTGAGATTCTTATTTGTTTCTGACACTTTAGAATTGCAGGTGTTAGCAAACAGATGACAATTTCTTGCCGTATTACCTGATGAAAATTGGCAGTTAATTACACAGTCAGTCCAGTTTTTCCAGAGCCCTTAGCATTTGCTAGCTCGAGGTACTGAATTGCATGTCAATGACACAGTGACCTCTCGACAATGATCCTGAATTTAGACTTATTCACATAGCCTAAAGTCCTTTGAAAGAGATGCTACAAAAATCGTATTCAGTAGACAGCTGACATGAGTAGAGACGCTAACCAAAAACTCACACTGGTAAATGATCTGATTTCATGGTACTGAATGACGTATTCTTGGAGCAGATTACTTGAACAAGGATATTTGACTACTGCAGTTACTTGTAAATGATATCAGCCAAGTTGTGTGCGCGAAAAGTGAAACTTGAAGAGCAGAGGAGTCTTAGAAGTGGGTGGTTTCGAAACGGCGGCTGTAAGCATCACGGTTCTGTCAACAAGACCTTGGTTGTTTATTCTCTTCTTGTGTTTCTGTGCGGGTGCCCGATTGTACCAGCCCAAATGAGTATTGAGGTCATTCTTCAAGTTTAATGAACCTTGGCGTAACAATTAATTTGACGCTAGGGATTTGTTCAGCCCCAAACCAATAAGAATCACCAATAAAAGACATAGCCAGTTTTCTGCAATTCACCAACCCATCTGGGTAAATTCAGGTCGCAGGTAAGTGTTGGACCCTTGTTTGAATTTTATCTCGTCTAATGAATCGAAGAACACAGAAGTCAATTCCGTATTCATAAATCATAGCCTTTTTCTTGTTTACCGATACTTACTGGTTACTCACATTAAAGACTATTGCGGTAACTTTGATTTTGCCACGGGTGTATTACAGCATTTTGGTCGCGTTGAGAAGGGTTATAACTGAGGAAGAAAAAAAAAGCATTCTGTTTTTATAGTTTATCCACTGGTAGTCAGCGGGAAAATGGCCTTCTTCCATCATTTCCCACCAATTTCTGTTTGTTTTATTAGCATATATTTTAGTCTCCGCGACTTTGAGTTCAGTAATACTAGTGGGATCGTCTGGGGTAAGACACGGCCCAGTGAGCCATAAAAATGTCTGTAGAAACAGAAGATGATTTAATCTATATAGTCTTACCCCTATTAAAACTGTCACGATACAGCAAGAATAGTCGATTCAGCGTAGTGAACTGAGTAGCGTAAAATCACAAACAATAGCCGTCGACTTCAATTGCCTTCTTTCAAAGTATAGACATGCCGTGCAATAATAACGGATGAATAATTTGTCTATCGGAAAGATCATGGACATGAATTCTTCAATAGATGTACCGAGCACTCTGGAAATGTTGTGCTCTGTGTGGAACTTGTTAACCTTTCCTGGTTAATTTGGTAACTGACTCCTTTTTTCTCTCTATTTGTTTGGTACCCGTTATGCACCTTAAACAATCTACCAGGTTCAGTAGCCGAGTCTCACCGAGTAGGTCAGTTGCTCCATACCGCAGTACTTAAAGCAGTTTAAACCAAACTTTTTCCCCGATGGAAAGTATTCTTCCAGCTAAATATAAATGCTGAAGGAATATTTTGTTTCTAAGCAATGTTTTCGTGCGAAAAGGAGATACACTTTGCTCAAAGACAGCTGGAAGACTTATCAATAAAATACGTGTTCACTTGCGATGAATTATTTATCCTTTTCAGTCGTTGTATCTTGGTTGTGCTTTTCATCTTTACGGAATCCGCGCAGAAAACATGGAATGAGCGGGAAAAAATGGCTTTCTTTAGCTAAATGGGGTTGAAAGAGAGTTATTAGCTAAGATATCTATTTCATTCTCTCCGACAGCAAAAGTTACGGTGGGATCCTTTTGGAATCCGTCATGAAACTATTTGCGGTGGCGACTTGCTTACTTCTTATATTGTACTGTGTTAACGCCGCACCGAGACCTTGTAGAAGACGGAGAGATGTAAACGAGAAGGCAAGTAATGATAAAACAGGAGATATTCAGAAGAACGATGAAACTGACTCTCAGAGTAGCAGAGATAAAGGACAGCAAAACGCGGACAAAAAACAATATGTTCCATACGTGCCTGCTTATAACATGGGGGACGTTATCTGTGAGGACAACCAACCAGTACAAGTTGTCCAAATAAGGGATTTAAGTATTACAAATGGCGTCATCAAAAAGAGCAATATCGTACAGTTGTAGGCGCGTTAAAATGTTTCTGGTAAGTGAAGTTATTTAACTTCTTTTAGCTCTCCATGAACGTGTACCTATTAGTCACCGAAGCACTGTTCAGTAACTTAGTTTTCTTTTGCAATTTTGATTTATTCCCACAAATTTGACAGCTCAGTTCTTGCTGTCGATAGAGACGCCTTCTTAAATTCTTTTCTTTATTATATCGCTGATATCCACGTAGAGACTGTTATAAAGTATGATTATGATATAATTTTAACCACAAACGTGAACAATGGTATTCTGTAGCGGCATCCAACAGGTACTGAACAAAAACTTACTCTAACATATATAGATCTATTACGGTGTATATCAGACATATCTTTTCTGTTTCATGTTGTAAGCCTGTTTGCTGGATTGACTGATTCTTAGGAGAGAATAATTTGACAGTGGAGGAGGAAAGTGCTATGAAAAGAATTCCTTCGCCTCCCGAAAATTGTGTTTTTAATAACATAATTGTTACCTGCTCTGGGATTGCCCTTATGTCATCTAATATTTTGTATAAGCAAGAGAGGATAAAGCTTTATCCTCTCTTGCTATAAGTATACAGCCGATTTTTACTGAACATATGTTTGCCTAAGATCAGGCCAACGCATTACTCGGATTTGTATTTTGAAAAGGCGGTTTCATAGATCCGTTTATTGTTAGGTCCACCTCGAGAGTTTCACAAGCCAACTAATTTTGAATAGAAAGCGGAAAGCATTGAAACGAATTCATACTTCAGTCTGCAAGGGGTCCCAGAAATGCATTGGGTGTACGAAGAAAAAATGGTATACGTGTGAAGAATAAATTTTTCTGCAGGGCAGAAAGATTTTTTAGCGTTTCACCCTTTTAGCTCTCACATTATAACCCAATTAACATGTTAGCAATTGTTGTTTGATTGTTTACTTGTCTGTTTTTCGTACACTACACTTCTTATTTACACCTATTCCGGTGGCCGGGAGCCCCTCACTATATTTCTCTGGTCACGAAGGAGATATGGGGATAGTCTAAACAAGTAAACTGTGAAGTTAGGCCAAGCACCTTAGCCGGTTAATATTGGCTCCTGCTTACCCTTCCCCTTCATAGTTTGAAAAGTAAGCCTTAAAAGTTTGCTGCACAACGTCCAAAATAAGGTCTTAAACTGCAGGCGCAGATCCACACCGGTTTCCACCATTTTACGAAAATCGGTCACATTTTTCATAAAAAAATAAATTGTTAATAATAAAAACACTTTCCAAGTTGCAATGTGGCCAATATCCTGTCTGAATGACTGAGAAAACCAGGAAAGGGGACTCCTTGGGGAGGCCGCCCCCGGATCCCCCTGGGAGGCTTACGCCTTCGATGCTCGTGTAGGAAAGTAGTCAGTATATATCCTACCTCCGCGCCTGAACTGCGTGATTTACATTACATACATTAAATGGGAGAAAGTGAAATTGAATCTTTTGCAATTGAGCTCGGCGCCAGGGAAGATCGTATTAGAAAACAAATCTTTATATACCGAAGTTTACCAACGATACAGTGGTAAGTTTGTTTGACGTCAATGGGGTAAACGCATCCCTAGTCTTCAGTCGTCAAGAACTATTGCGCTTATTTTTGGCCATGCTCTTTTAAAAAACAAGCCACAAACAAAATGCTTTTCCAAGGAAAATTTCTCTTGATATTTCAGTGTAAGGTCAAAATTAGGTTTAAAAGGAGGAAGTAATCTTTTAGACATTTCTTACCATACTTTTTTTGCAGGAATTTTGAGGGAGAGGACTTTTACAGCGACGCGTGTAATACTGACTTACAAAGGTTATTTTTTACCGAAGAAGCGTCGTTGTGGATTGAAATTCATCCTGGGATTTGACACACGCAGGGAAAAGACAGTGAATGAGATTCTGTGAATCCCATTTTTTAATGAATATTTGAACCTCATTTAGAGCCAGACAATATGACGTCGTGTGGTATCTTGCTGGAACAAATCATTTTCATTATTAAAAATGTAGGCGTTTTTGCTCTTTTCTTTTCTCTACGAGTGGATTAAGATATTAAAGGTTATTCCTTCCGCGGTTCGACGGTTCATCAGCCAAGCCCGAAGTACGTCCTTTTTTCTCGTGAGGCACACTAAAACGCCTTAAACTGTAAAGTAGTTGGAAATTTTTTCTGTTCGTACACAATAAAAATTCAGTAGTGATTTTCAATTAATAGTTGGGCTCCTGCCCATATAGAGTGTTTTCACTCACGTGGCAAACATCTATGCAAATTAATTGGAACAAAAGAAATCGTTTGCATAGAAAAGAGTTCAACTCCCAGAGGTCTGGTTTGGGACAGGAGCCGATTCCGCCGTGACGTCATGTGAAAACACTCAATAAGGCGGGAATCCAAGACAGTCTTGGATTCTGGATTCCACGCTGAGGATTCCGGATTCCAGTCGCTAGTGGGATTCCGGATTCCTTGACCTGTATTCCGGATTCCGAAGCCCAGGATTCCAGATCATCCACAAGTAAAAATATTCCGGATTCCGAATCTCACGAGGAAAAATATCCTGGATTCACTTGTACGAGGGGAGTTGAAATATACTCAGTTACCAATGAACCGCAAGCTCTTCATAGTTAACTGCAGAAGGAACAAATTTTCATTTTACTATTACGCGTACACACCAAAACGTATACTAGCGTTAGCGGGATTCTATTTAGCAGTTTGTTTTTGTGCAGCGTGAGGGAGGCAGAGTTCTCTGAGGTTTTTATACCAAACCTTGCGGATTAGTCTTAGTTTGCAGAGATATGTTCTTAGTTCCTGCGATTACAGAGCGTACATTTTTGTTGCGCTTATTCAAAACCTAAATACTGCTCCCCCGGCCCGCGTTGCTAGAATGCACAGAGCTCCTTATTTTCCATTTTCCCTTCCGGCTTCCCTCTGAACGCCTACCAGGCAGTTCAAATAGACTAGGGAAAACCGTAGCTGCCACATTTAGGACAACTGGCAAAGCTAAATTAGCAAACTGTCAAGAGATATTTCTTTACGAGCATTTCTTTCTACAATCTTGGACAAAATAGACTGAAAAGACAAAAAGCGACAAGCGAGATTTTAAAAGAGATATAGCGGCAAAGTTTGCAGGATTTAATGGTCTAACCGAAAAAAAAGCTAGCATAGACATTGAATGTCCTATAGTGTATAAAACAGAAACTGGAAACTGATAAAGACAATTACAACAGTAAGCCATATTGACGGTTTCCTCTTTTCTTCTACGTATGACTTTCGGCGCCTTGTTTACAACGTAATCTACACACATTGCCGTGATACATCACTGATATCAAGTTGAGTAAATATAATGTCTGCGGGTGAATACACCTCTTTTTACGGCTTATTTTTGGTCAGTGTTTGAACAGACCGTGGGAATATTTTCAGAGTGGATTGCCGCTCCATGTTTTCAACCTCGACAAAAAGAACACCGCCTGAGGGTCGGCCCTTTTTCTTCTGTTGTGCTTCTCGTAATTATGGGAACTTCACTTGAACAAGGTTAAGTAGGTGAACTAATAAGGACTCCAGCTCGCTTTGCTAAATGTATACAGGACTGTTTTTATTCAAAGCTCAGTACACAAGTAAAAAATAATGAACTTAACTTAAAGCAAGCAATGAGTATAATGGAGAATCACAACATTTTCCTTCATTTATTGAATGGATGTTGCCATATAGTAGAGATATTTTATTACGCACTGTTATGCACTACTTCCATTGTCTGCTTTTGTTTACTTGTAGCTATTTGGCTAGTTAGTTTCTGTTTCGCGGGTAAAGTAAAATCACTCTTAAACAACTGCAGAAAAACAGTCGTTCTAACTGGCAATCATTTGGTATTAAATGACAGTAGATCACTATTGCTATATACATGATTAACAAAAACTAATTGATTTCTTGAATTAGATGGGTACATTGTAGAACCGTTGAGGGCTCTATTGCGAACAAGTGGAACTCCAAGGGAACCAAAGTAATGACCAATACTGTCTCCAAGTGTTTGTCAAGTATCGTGGCCCAAAACACGTGGACTGAGGAGAAAATTACAATAGAGTGAACCGTTAGGACTTAATGGTTCCGGACACGCAGATTTTTACAGATTTCAAAAAGGAACTCATTAAATTGCCGGCCATAAAGAACCGAAGGCCGTTGCGCGACTCTATGGCGAGAAAGAAATGGCCATAGGGTCAAGAACACGTGGAGTACAGGAACTCTAACCTCATTCATCTATTAAAAGTTGTTGTTCAATTTAAGCGTGGCGTCATACACGTGCTAAAGAGGCCCTTTCATCAATATCTAGCTGAAAAGCAATATGGACGGTTATTTTCCGTGAGGAAGTGAAATGAAATAAAATAAAGAAATGACCCGCCTTGAATGGCTAATTATACATGTAAAAATGCGCTCAATCTCCATGGGATTGTGTGATTTAATTGTCCTCCGCTACCGCACCCATAGCTCCATAGAGAGTGAGAACGTTAATTTGGCAAAAACTCTTCACATTTATGTTTTCATTCTTAAATAATCCTTGGGTTTGCGTTGTATTTGCTAAGAAAATTGGGGCTTAAACCTCAGCCTTGTTGACTCTCTTTTGAATAATACCTTCATAAATAGTTAATGAGTTTTCCCGAATTGTTAAATAAAAGGGCATTTGATAAAATCCTACAAAGCATGTGATATGGATAGTGTAAACCTGCTATCACGAACTTTAAACTACGACATAAGTTGTCTCTAAAGTAAAGTGATAAAAAAGGTGAAAAAATATATAAGCAATTTATATATTCTTTTTCTCATAACATAGAGACAGACGTCCTTGAAATGAACATAATGTTACTGCCCTTGAAAGTTATATTGCTGGGAAACCTAAAAAGAGAATCGGCTTCTTTGTTGTGACCTGCACGTTTTCTTGAAGCTGTGCTTCGAATCAAGTTCAAGTTTAAGTTTATTGTTTAGCCACATTTCAAAACAACCCAAATATAAAAACCTAAAGCGGAAACGAAACGCAAGGAATTACAGGCGCTTCAGGCTCCCACAATTATTATTTTACACTAAAAAATATTATTTAGAGAGGCAGTTTCTTAATAAGCCAAGTAGTAGCTTGTGGTTTCCTTGGGTTACCTCGCCAAGGGGTTTATGACTTTATGTTGTTTTCATTGTGGCAAAACAATAAACATGAACTTTATTCAAAGTAGTTTATTTCATGGAAACGTGCAGACCACAACAAAGTATTCACGTAGATCAGTTTTTTGTTTCAAGGCTAAGCATTGTTTGACTAAAAAAAGTAAAGCGAGACGAAAAAAAAAGGCTGGCGTGAAAAAAAAAAATGCAAATGCGAAGAAAAAATGTCTACAAGAGCAACGCTTTCAGTTCAATAGAAAAAGAGGAGACAATTGTATGCTTTCAGATGCTAAGAACGGGGAACTGATAAAAAATTATGTTTAAAAAACTCCAGTCAGACGTCAAGATAAATTTGAAAGTTGTACAGATCAGTTACAACTGAGTTCCTTTGCTCTACATACGATAATCGTTTTCATATATATATAACGAATTAAAGAATTAAAGAATAAAAAAGACTAACGTTTGATTTTTTTTGTGAAAAAGAGAACTTCTTGGGCCTCATGTAATTCACTATATGGTTCAAAATCATCCGGATATATTAGCTCAGAAACGAGTGGAAAATTATCTTGTACCTTATTTTTGAAAGGCGTTTGAACATAATTAACACACGTCTATCCAACTATGTTGAGCTGGATATATATTTTTTGTTTTAAATACCTTACGAGCATGAGAAATTTTAAGTCTCTTTTATGTCACGGGATTTCTCAAGAAACAATATTGTTGCCCGACTTTACGGGGCAGCAAACACACAAAAAATATTTCTAACTTATTAGTAGCGATTAACAGTTACAGAGAACGAATATTTCAGCTGTTAGTACTTAAAAGAAGTTGTTAACACCAAAAATGTTACAGCTTGCGCAAAGTTATGGATTGTTTACGACGTCTTTCACATGCTCGAGATTAAGAAACGAACTTTCCAATTTAGGTGGCCGCCCAAGGGCTTTCTCGTAGATTACGATCTGTCAAGATCAACTTGCCACGTGTTGTCTCCTCCGGCATAAAAATAACAAGTTTACTATGGAATACTGCCCTAGAGGACTCAAAGAAACCGATAACGCGTGTTTATTTTCTTCGTCTTTGTTAGATTGCTCAAGTGACTGCCCACTTTATGGCTGATCAGATAATGTAAATCGGACTGTAAACCAGACGCACGCATGGTAACCACGCGGCTCTAGACACCAGTAAAACTCCGTTGTCTTTCTCGCGATAAAGAAAAAAATTAAAAATGCTATAATTTGAAAGGACTTGAGACATAAAGGGAAACATTACAACCGTGGCACTCCCTTTAGACTACCATTGAAATGAAAGGCCCTATATCATGATAAAACAGTTGATTCACATTCTTCGTCACTTTTAATCGTCCTGACTCGCGCCACTGAAGACTTATAACACTGTGTAGTTCCAGAAAAAATCCATATTCCCCCCCGACGGAGGGCACTTTTGCTGCAAAAACAAAAATAGACTGTAACATTTTAATAATATGAATAACCAAATTTCGTGTAAACATTACGAAATTGTTAGTGGTGTTTATGAGCCATATATATCTCACTTTTACTTTTAAATTTCATATCAAATTTAGAAAGAAATCTAAGGTTATGGGCTTCAACAGAGGATCGTCAATCACTCCCGAACAATGCCACTTCTTCCGAAGAAATGCGGTTACTTGCTCGGTGACGTAAAGGCAGGGGTTCAATTAAAGAATGCTAGAATCATAGGAAAGAAGACTCTTTATTTTCGCAGTTAAAAGTCAAGTAGGCTGATGTTAGTTGGTGTATAATACAGTGACAGCAGCGAGTAAATAGTAATGCTTAACTACATAATCTGAAAGGTTACGCTTTCAGTTTAGTTACTTTGTAGCTTTTCCTCAGGCGAAAAAACAGGGAGCTTTAGCAACGACGACGGCGACGGCGACGGCGACGGCAACATAGACGTCAAAAAAGCAAAAGGTTTGATAACCAAAACAACAATTTTGCACGTGTGGCACACTTTTTGGTACATTTCTTTGCCGCACCTGGCTGACCACGACGTGAAATTTGTTCGTGGGTCATTGGAGGAGGTGAGTTCTTCTATCTCTTGCTGAAGTTTGGTGTGTTTCGCAAAAATTCAACTCTAGGGAAATTTACCTACATCTGACGTTTTAAGTGAGTTAGAATAAACACGACAAAGTTTGAAAAAGAAGCGAATTCATTTCAGTGGTGACGTTTTCGCTGCCATCGCGGTCATCGTAACTAAAGCTAAAGCTCGCTAGTAAACTTAAAGTACGGCCTTAGTAACAAAGTATTGTAGAATTCTCTAGCGTTAGTTTATCCAGATTCAGGATGCAGTAAATATGGACTTAAAGGAAAAAACTTTCCAAATTTTTACTGAGTTAGCAGCTAACTTACTGAGACCTAATTCATCACTTCGTTTAGCAAGTAAAGAGATAAAAAAAAAGTTTGTAGTAAGAGTTTAGAGAATCCCAGGCCGCCATGGATATCGAGGGATCTGTGGGTGCTGCATTCCTTGCCGTTGAAACTGCCATAACAAACATGGCGATGGGAAAACAAAGCCAGCTGATTCGCAAATGTAGCAACGAGTACCCTGGTTCACATCAGCGTTAGCTAAATGCGGATTCATCCCATACCTTCTTTCCAAAGACGACGCTGCTGTATGAAGTTGTGAGAACTTATGCCTTGAGAAGTCTCCGCGGCGGAAATCGGCGATGAAGGATGGGTGGATTCTCCAGTTGCACCCTTTCTTGTCAACAGACACCTCGCCACGCAAAAAGCAGTCGTGCAGGGACAAATTGTGGCGAACAGTGTTTTTCCATCTAGCTCTGTTCTCAGTGAATTCAGGGAAGCGCTGCTCGATAAACTTGTAGATCTCACTCAAGGGCAGTCTCTGGAGGGGTGAACTCAGTATGGCCCGTGCAATCACGGTTACATAAGTCAACGAAGACGAAGTCTGTTTTCGCCTTTGTTCTGCGTGTGGCAGTTGAAGCCCACCTCCATGGTATCTTTTTATCAAGCTTGATTCTCCTGTTTTTTCCATTTTCTTGTAGGGTGTTAACACACCAGAAAGGCTTCACATCACCCCACCCGATTCAGCTTACTGACAGCATGAGTAAAAGTTCTGTTATTTTATATGCCCTTTTATTGTCTTCCGTCTGTCTTGTTTTAACTTATTATTATAACTGTCAAACCCATCAAATAGCTGTCTGAGCACGTTTACTGTGATAAAGACATAAACAACTGCAGATGCTTAAGAAGAAAATATTTGCAGCTCGAAAGGTGAAATGTGTACCCGCTATTAGTCTTTTCCGCGTTCAATGCAAATTTCAAAATAAAGCATTGTCTATTTTCCCGCAGACGGCAAACTAATATCAATGTCTCTCAATCTAGTGTCCTATTCTTGTCCTTTCTCACTGAACCAGACACAAGTCTACATTACCTTGTTTTACCCATGCGTATCAATGATTACCACCACGCATCCCATTTCTCTTCCCCGGAGCCTCCTGGGGGCCTGAGCACGAGGACCAGGAGGCTCTGGGGACACAGGATTTGAAGTCCTAGATTTTAGGACTTCCGGTCATTTCTGATTTTCTGCAAGGTTTCTAATAGCGTTCACTGTAGAAGTGTCAATGACTGTAAATTTAGGTACTTACTTTTGAATCAGAAATGACCGAAAGTCCTAAAATCCTGTGTCCCCAGGAGGCTCTGAGGACGAGAATGCACGCATCGGTACTGAGACAAAGTCCAATCCCCGGCCTTTAGTGCGTGCAGCTAGACTGAGTTTATCCACAGGTAACGCCGAGATTCATGAACTTACTCATGGTGAAACGCACAATGAAAATCCGTTCATAGGCAAATTTTTAATATAAAATTTTATTGTGGTCGAATGTCAAATCTCTGTCAAATATATTTATCATATTTTCTTTATAACCAACTATAACTTTGAGAATAAAAAGACAAAAGAACCATTTACAAAAAAATAATTTAAGCATTCCAGAAGCCTATTTTGTATCGAAACGACGGTTGCGTAGGAAACTAAACCTATTCTAAACATCAGAACGTTACTTGTCTCCAAGTCAACAGTACACAGACTCTTCTTTTCGGCAGAAGGAGCTTCCTTAACCGTCACGAAAAAAGTGAGTGATCCTACCGCCAAGTCTTCACGGCGTGTTATTATCCATGGACAACAGAACTTGACGAACCATTTCATTTCTTCTTTCCTTTTCTAACACGCCATCCTAGAAAGAAAACTTAGCGTTAGTTCAATATATAGCACGCAACGAGTGCTTAAATGGACTTACAATCAGTTAAACGTCAGGAAAATGTCTGAGTACAAATGTGGTAAAGGATTGGAGAAAAAGAGAGAACAATTGTTCTCTCTTGTGATGGCATTATATAGACTGAGTCTATGACTACACTAGTCAGGCAACAGAACTCACCTTCCATAAGACAACAAGGCCATCGCTTCCGCATGACGCAAAGCCCTCTCGACCAAGATTAACGGCCATCTTTAAGAACCAAAACAATAACATGTCATCACTTTGTTGCCACGCCCACTTTTATGCGTGCACTGAACAACGAAAAACGAGTGCGGTCTGTTTGAAAACATAATAGACAGCGAGCTGCGAGTGTTTGGAACTCCAAGCCTAAAGGAGTCTACAATCGGCGACAAAATTAGTTGAGACACTTTGCCCTGTAGGGCCTTTCTGACGTTTTGTCGAATTCAAATGTGGAAAATTAAGTATTCCCTTCTTCACCCCTTCATAAAATAGAAGGGAGGGGAAGGTTGTGGATTGTTTTGTTCTCCGAAGTTACCAAACTTGTGTGTAGTGTCTCAAAAATTTTGCCACCGTATTTCTTTGACTTACATTAACAGCGCCGGTATGGGCAACACACTCCCCCAAAAGTGCTGGACGAATTGGATTGTTGAGATGCTGTATTTCTGAAATGCTGCAATAAAGAGAAAGCATTTTAGAGATGAAAACAACAGGAAGACGTAATTACCAATCAATCTAATGCAGGGGTTCTTACCATTTACATGGGAAAACCGGAAATACCGGTTGGAAAATCAAATGGTTCGCGCCATTCCGTTTGGGAAGCTTCAGAAAATATGGGCTGTGACTTGAGGCGATGCAATTTATTCGTCTGCTCTTTTTAGCCTGTTCAGCTGATTTTGATATACTTTGTAGCGATTCGTTCTCCTACCTTGTTGAATTTTACAGTTTTATGTTTGTGCACAGCTTTCCACCCGGGTGGTTTGTGTGAATAGTAGGCACCCCAGGTGTCGAGTGTTTGTGTACTTGCCTTTTTCCAAGGAATCGTTCGATGTGCAACGTAAACGGTTTGACGTCTGAGCCGTCGCCTATTCAGAGAAAATAGTACACAAAAAAATGCACTTGAAGTGTCAAAACTTGATCCCCATGGACTACAGCAACTTCTACTTGGTAAGTGAATTTGTTCGAGTAAATTGGAAAACTTGCCAGGTCTTTCCTTGGCAAGGTGAGAGGCTTGTCACGTTTTCTCATTTACACGACCAAAGGAAACTTATTTTGTTGGCGTTAGGGTAAAAGAAGGAGATGGGGGAGGGGAAGCGAAGTTTTCTTCTCTCCCTCTCCTCGCCTCCTTACCCGTCTCCTACCCCACCCACTTTGACTTGCTCCAACGCCTCGACTTCTTCGGAATTGAACACGGTGGCTACTCTAGAAGAAACATTAGAAGCGCATGTGGGAAAGTGTTCTTATCGAAACTTTTGTCGAGCCGTCTCCCGACCCAACAGAATGCCCCTACGTCTCCGATGATGCGACACTCATTTGATCGAGGCAATACAGCTGGTGTCAACTGAGTCAAATAAATAACCACCACAAAGTATGAACACTGACGTTGGCACTTAGAGGAGTGATACACTTTGACAAAAGATTGGTATTACTTACAGACTAAGCGAGGATGGGGAGATCCCCAAATCCTGACAGAACCGTCTTCAGAACAAGTAGCCAGGACATAACTAAAACAGCAAACACGAGGAATAATTAACACTAAATTATGAAATGATGATTCTCATTTCAAACAACGTTAAAATTCAGAAAATAAGGCCCGAGGCTCTTTTTGGAGGGGCTAAATATCGGAATTTAATTGACAAAAAACCTTACAAAAAAGCAAACAAACAAACAATCAAACTGTTATTAGAGAAACAAACCAGTAATAGCCTTCCTCTTAAGTTTGCCAAAGTTGTATTACCGACGTGACAATAGGGACCTTACGAAACTACGATGGCAACGGCAAAGGTAAAAACCGATAGGTTTAGTAAGCAAAACCACAACTCTGCGCGTGCATCACGCTTTTTTGTACATTTCTTTGCCTTCCCTACACAACTAAGACGTGAAATGACCAAATTTTAAGTTTTTTTGAGGACGGGAACGCCAAGGCGATAAATTCTACTATCTCTGTCTGAACTGGGGTGCAGTCCCCTCTATTCAGTTCCAACATGAATTCTCTTCTTTTAAGTAACAGGCCGACTTGGGAAAATCGCGAAATGGGTTGAAAGGAAGCGGAGTCTATTTTTTCAGTGACGTTTTCATGCACGTTGCCGTTGTCGGATCGTAAGGTCCCTATTATCGTCCTTCGGCATCTTGTTAATGGCAAAATCAGAAGAACAATACAACTGTCTTACTCCTTCACTTTGACTCTTATGATGAGGACTGCACAGGGTGCTTTTTAAACGTCAGCAGTCACTTTCACCATGGATATTGTCACCTTAGAAACTGTCACCATAGAACCTGTCACCATGGACACTGTCTATACTGTCAACAACAGACCAATGCAGGACCACAGTCACATGAACAATCATGTTCAAAATACTTATGGTATTTCATGAAAAACACCGACAGTTCTTACCCATCAAATAACAGAAGAGAGTGAAGTATTTTTCCATGGTGAGCATTTGTGACTTTAGCGAGGCATTTTCCTAAAATGGAACATTTTTGCAAATCACAAACATCTACACAAAAAGCTAAAAGTGAACGTAGTACGTAATGCCATCTCGGGGATATGGTGTTGAGAATTTTTTTTTCTGAATCGTTAGCATCATAAATAATTGAAAATTCACTGACCAGGGAGCAGGAAAAGCGGAGGAACTAAACCAATCACAACGCGTGTCAACTAGCATTATGATTGGTTTATTCTTCTGCTACTATTTCCAACTCCGACAATCTGGTTTTCGCAAGATCGAAAGCGACGGACTCATAAGAAGAGTCACAAGAAGCTGGAAACGTTCTGATTCCTGGGACTCCAATATCCAGTTGAGCTTGTGTCTCCATAGGCGTCTACGATTTCTACTAAGTCTTAAGCGCTCTCAAGACTCCAATTTACTACGATTCCGATTCCGATTCCGACACTGGTGAAAACCGGCCTTGAAAAGGGACAGTTATTGTCAACAAAGAAATAGATTAGAACGTCCCACAGCTTGACTTCTTGCTTATATGTCATTCTTTTTTGGAAATATCTTTGCCACACTGACTAGGTAGACTGTTCACAGTCTCATATTTTTTCGTGAGATCGTCGATATATAGCGCGTCTTACCGTTAATGGCGGCCATCTTGATTTTCAAATGTACCGAGGGGCGGGCGTTGGGGATTATAGCTGTAGGGGGAGTGGGGAGCGAGAAAAATAGCTCGCTTCCTCCCAAACCGCCAGTTTTGACACTCATGCAGGATGGAAGCCCGTAACGCAAAGCCCTCGATCTCGACCATCTAACGGAAAAATAGAGACTGTGAACAGTCTACTGAATAGGTGTCACTCTGAAGATTATTGTTTATAGAGAGGTGCCTCTTATGTCATCGTTAAAGAATCAGTCCAACAAAACTCAAACTACATCCTGCATATGATTTATTCCTACATATACAGTAAGAGACCCTACCGCAATTTTGCTAAAATTTACCTGACATTGAATCGAACAAGGAAAATCCTTGACCAATTGACGTAAACATGTATCTCTGAGAGGGTCAAGAAAAGAATATTCAATTACAAAAAACATATTACCCCGTTATGTAATATGGGGCGCGTGAAAGTTAATGAGCGTGGGAAGAGAGGCGGGCCTATCATCTCATTACCTTTCACTGTCTGCTAAGTCTTTTAAAGCGACCACTTTATTATCTTGTGTGGATGTTAGCCAATGAGATTTCTCCACCGACTCAGAAAGCGGGGAAAAAAAAAAAAGAAAAAGATTTTTCAGGCCTTGAAGTCAAAATTCAAGTGAGCGCGTTTGTCTATCAGCCATACCTGATCTACCGTAAACACATGTTGAGTGCTGGAGGGATAAGTGTGACTGGGTCCTTCGTAATTCTTGACAAAGTTAAACTGCCTTGTGTAAGAAAGACTGTGAGAACTCCAGAGAACAATGGCTCCATCCAGCGATGCAGAGGCAAACATACTATCTAGTATTTAAAACAAAAACTTAGCTCCTCTCACAAGAAAAGTAAAAGTTTCTGAGGGCACTTATACAAGTGTATTTTGTTTTGCTCCTGCTTATGATGGCGATGACGATGATGACGGATTGGATATTTGCCTAAAAACGAGGCTGCTTGGACATTATATCATTGAATCCATGGGATATTGCTCGCATCTTCCACATTTGGTCAATACCAGTTGGTTATGAAGAACTGATTTTAATTTCAGGGATGGGGAAATATTTTGAATAAATAATAAATATGATTTTTTTGGTAAGACCTTAAGATAATCTCCTGATATATAAAGCACGATTGCTTGGCAATGGAAATATCTTAAAGGCAACGTGAAGTTATGTTAGTTCTAAGGCCAGAATAACTAATATCCTACTTGTGGGTGAGTTGAGTGGACTTAATTTATGTAGGGGATAATGAAACCATTCGTTTTCGTTGAAGTACACGTAAAGGCAAGAGTAAAGAAAAGATCCAACCGAAATGAAAAAAACTAAACCTGCCTGCCACATTGATAAGACATCGAATTGATTCCCTGTGAGTTGGAAGTTTCTTGATTTCCACGACTTTCAGGGCTTCTGAATCATCTGAAGGCCTTATTATAGAATACACCACTGTAAAAACATAATAATAATTATTATATATAGATTTAGCCAGGGCTAAAAGCGAAGCTCTCGTTTATGTCAATAGTTTACTCAAACAAAATATAAAATCCAGGGCTCGAAATTATTAATTTTGTGTGCCCAAGTAACCCGATACGGTTAGCTAAATTTCTGTTAAATTGAGTATTTTTATACATTAAAATTTCATCCCGGCTTACAAGATTGATAAAAGGTTGGACTACTTAGGCTCTGCACTTTGGAAAGATTTCAACGTTTTAAGGAGAACGTTTATTACAGCTGGGGACAATGAATCTTTCTTTATCTTTTGGAACTTAGGTGCAGTCCCCTAGAATTCAACTCCAGGAAATTCATTTACATTTGACATGTTGAGCATACTAAGCAAGTTGACAAGCAAGTTAGGATTATCAAGGTGAGATGGGTTTGGAATGACGTTAATTCAATTCATCAGTGACGTCCTCACTGCCATCCGCTGTGACTGCTTAAACCCTCTATTAAGATATTTCAGCCAACCTTTTTACTAGAAACCAACCTAGGTTTAGAGAATTTCATGTCATAGTCATGCCTTGACAATAATAAAATGCACTAAAATTGTGTCATACACGTGCAGAGTTGTTGTTTTGCTTATTGAACCCCTAATGGTTTATAATTCTCGCTGCTGGCACCGTCATCAATTTTGAAATCAGAGCAATACCATTTGTAGCCATAAAAAAGCCTGGGTACACGTACGATTTGAAATGATCGTAAAAAGCAAAGTATCCCCTACACAAAGTTTTCGTCACTAATAAACACACTCACCAAGAGAAGATCTGTTGGAGGCTGCCACTATTCTGTTGTTTTTTATTGGGAGTAATGTGTGAATATCGGCTGCAATGGAGGCAGATAAAATTGCTATGTACTTGACATGTTACACTGTAATAATTTAGCATCTTCAGTCATATAAGGAGGCAAAATTTCAAACGTTTTCAAATGAAATGAGCACTCAATTTGAATGAGCAGTCAAATCATTCAATGCAGATAACTCTAAGCTACAAAATAGACTTTAAGAAACTGCAAGTGCATTAATCATTCATTTAAGAATTAGATGGCTGAAATGATGATGATGATGTAGATAACTGGACAAAACAGTGACATTGTTCATTCACTAAAAAGTTCTAATAAAATTTCAAAATTTAGTATGTACTTACAATGTTCACTGGCCCTGTCGCATTTGTGTAGCAACTCTCCCTTCTCATTCCACACACAGAGATCCTGACCACCAGAAAAGAAAATTTTTTCCTCTTTCATGTTGACTAAGCACTGAATGAATAAGTAAAATACATGCAGTTAACCTAGTGGCTGCATATAGAATACAGATATTGAGCGCTTTTAAATTAGCAAAATGCAACAAACCCATCAGCAATTAAAATGTTTACGTGACATAGGAGGCAAGACCCACCGTCTTGAAAAACTCACTTTCTAGTCACTGTTTACCATTTGGAACATAAAGAATAAAGCAAACTAACATCATGATCACAATCTCCATATTGGAAAGGAAGGGAAACTGGTGTCTACGCATTGACAGGGTCCTTGGGTGCGGATAGCGGGCAGGGAGGGGTTGTACTAAGCCCACCAGACAGTCCTATAGCTTCAGGCAGGATGGGATTATCAAAAGAAGTTGAGGTGATCCTCAATGATCCCTCCAATAAACACTGGTCTCCATACTTTTCCCAGAGAATTTGTCAGTGTCAGTCAGAGCAAGCTAAGATATATAAAAAGTGAGTATTTAGCAAGTAGCCAGGAAAGCATTTGATTCAGGGATAGTCTCCCTTGCACTGTCTGAAGACACTAAAAACAGCTGCATGAAGGGAGACTGAAGGTTGATTTACAACAGAATACAGTGGAACCCTACCTTATGATCACCTCATTATTACGACCATATTCTTTTGACCCAAACTTAAAAAATCAAAGATTCATTTTCCTATTTTTAAGACCCCGTTAATGCATCCACTTTTCTACTATGACCAGGATTTTATGGCTCAACACTGGTCACATTAACAAGGTTCCACTAAGTGGGTGGTGGGTGCACAGTCTTATTCAAAGACCTGCCCGTAGGTTCCAAGTGCCCTCCATTAAGGAGATAAGGAAATAAACCCCTGTACACTTACTACAAACCTTCACAGTGCCACAGTGATCTTTAATTGTGTGCAAGCACTGACCATCAGCAACATCCCAAACCTTTCATATGAAACCAAAATAGTAAGATAGTCAAGGAACAGAACAGGCTTATTAGATGTGGCCGTAACATTTTCTAAAATCTGGCTACAAAAATAATTATCAAGCTACTGTAAAGGCTAAAAGCTAGATAGTACTATCAACAAGGATACTAAAATAGTTCTGTCTGAAGAACCTGTCAACAACAGTGTGGCAGCTATCTCCTCATTTTGAAACTCATGTCTCTGGTGCAACAGAAGCATGCATTTAATGGGTCGTGAGTGACCTCTCAGAACGTTCAACCGTTTGCCAGTCTGTGGACAAGAATACAGCTCGTAAGTAGACAGCTCTAAAAGATTATTTTTTGACCATTCATTGGGTAGACATGCAACACAAGAGCTGAAATTGATATAAATTGTACATCAGTAATTCCATCCCTCCCCTAACCCAATATTTTGCAAAAAGTAGGAAGTAATAAGCATTAACATTAGATTTTATAGGAGAGCGGTAAGTGGGAGGGGAGTCAGGGGGGCACATGCACAGTCGAGAGCACTCGCCTCCAAATAACGTAGCCCGGAGTTAAAGTCCCAGGTTCAACACTATATGTGGATGGAATTTGTTGTTGGTTCTCTCCCTTACTCTGAGAAGTTTTTTGCTGAGTAGTCCAGCTTACCCTTCTCCTTAAAAACAAACACTTCCAAATTCCAGACAGATTATCCATCCTGCAGTTTAAAGGTTAAGCCTAATTTTATTCAGAAATAGAAGTAAAAAACCTTTGCATCCCAGATGACTGCAAGATTATCATCAGATGCTGATGCAAACCTGAAAGAAAATAAGCAGCAGGAGACAGTCCTCAATATTGAACCTATGCTGATGTGAACCTTCAACATCAATGTACTCGGTCTGGAAATTCTTCATACAAGTTTTTGTACTGTCTTTGTGATGTAATTGGTTTTTACTTTTCGCACTATACAAAATTAATTTTACTCTCTTCATGTTTGAACAAATAGACCTATAGTTTGTGTATTGTTGTCAGTTGTATCAAGCAAAAGCATCAGTGTTAGAAGAACAGATGTGCATGCATGTTGTTGAATCTGATGACTAAGACATGTTTCATACATGCCAACTCTCCCGGATTATCCGGGAGTATCCCGGATAAGACAACAATCTCCCGGTCTCCCGTACGGGTCACCAAATCTCCCGGATAAAATCGAGTTATGAGCTTTTCTGTGCTTTAATTTGGAATTTATCCCATTTTCTCCCAAAATTCGAATTTTCTATGATTCAAAGTTCGGTTTCTGGGGTATTTTCGCACGTATTTTAACACTGACAAAATCGTGAAAGCTAATTGTGATGGTCTATAACTCATGCAAGACTTCATAATAATCTCCTGAGCCGATTAGGGACTGGATCGAATTGTGCTTATGGGGGGGGGGTTGATCATTGATATTTGGGGGGCTAATGCAAAAGAAAGAGTCTCCAGATTTTAGATTTCCAGAGGTTGGCATCTCTGATGTTTTGCTATAGCAGATTAGGTTAGACAAGAAACTACATTCTAAAGGTTGTCAGTTTAGTTCTTATCTTGATCCATGGGTATACCTTGACAGCCAAAAGTGGCATCTGATCTGATTATAAATTTTTCTCACATAGATTTACATGTACCTTCTTTCATCAATGACTGTTAAAAGATGAACAATGTCTTTGTGAGAGGAGAGAAGTCTCAGCTCTGTGAATGGGTTTCTCGGTTGATCATCTTCAATCTCTGGTACAGCATCACTCTGTAGACAGTAATGATGCCAATGATAAAAGATGTAAGCTGAGGAGATTCGCCAGCATTGCAAACTGACTTGAGTTGTCTCAGGGAGTGGAGAAATATAACTTTCAGGGAGAAGCAGGGTAGGGGAGGGCACTTTTGAATCTTAGCTATATATTGGGTAAAGGTACATGTATGTGCTGCTGGGTGGTATGTGGTAGAGTTTTTAACAGTTTTGTGCAGGATAAAGTACTGCAGCTTTGAAAATCAGTGGTTAAGTTCAAATACCAGTATATGTGGGAAATTAATCTGTGGTATTAAACAATTATTAGAGATTTTGGTTAAATTTAAGTTGGGGATAGAATTGCAAATTTGGTTCCTTTTGTAGAATAGGGTTGACAAATTCAGCTGAACATAATTTGGTAGAGGCGAAGGCTTTCAGGGCCCAGTGGCACACTTTAACTCCTTACCTTGCAGACTTTCTTTAGCTGGTCACACATCATTAGAAATTCCGTGAAATTAGTCCAAGCAACAATAATAATATTATAATTGTGTGCGTACGGGGTAACTAGTATTTTTTGTCCCACATCAATTGAATAAAGCCACCATTACCCCGCCTGACAAGTTAGAAGTATATCTGTTTGTCCCGTTTCGTTGAAAGAAAAGGAAGGATACTGTGATGGGGTGGGATTCCGGTGTCTAGCCCCTCTTCGAAAATTCCATCTTCGTACCAAGCGACTTGTGGAATATTAGATTTATTTTTAAGTACAGGGTAAAGAGCAAAGGAAGACCGGGGTTAGACACGATTCGTCTCCGCATTCCTAATATACAAAGTGACTTTATGGCTAAATTTTTCTTATAACTACAGTGTGAATTTATTGCAAATTTCGCATTTATATATACACCCTAAGTTAAATTGTGCTCAATAATTCTGCATGATGCATGCACAATCAGATAAGCTCACCAAATGATACTCCCAGCATGGCGGGTATTAATAAATTTTACGCACGACAAATATGCCAGTACCTTTTGACTTCCTTTGCTGTCTTGCCGTTTGCGGAACATATCTCTTTGCTAAACGATGATTTGCAAGAACCCTGTCAGCTCATCCGCCATATTGCCGAGTGGGCATGGAATGAAACAAGTAACAAAATAGATAGGAAGTGGGAAGGGAGGGACAGTGAATTGTCGCGGTTGATTGAAATTTTCTTGACCCTGAACTTTGATCTCACACAAAATAGTTTGCATTTCGTATCAAAAATAACTTCTGATGGGCATGTTATACATATTTAGCCCTTAAACTTAGGAAGCAATAAAAGTGCGTTCAAGCATGTTCGGATACTGAAAAGTTCATTTCCTTTCTCCAGTCCCTACAGTTCGAGATCAGCACGCGGTCCCTTTGTTTTCCGGTAACAACAACAGGAGAAGAACGCGTCTTGTTGGCCTTTCAATGAGAACGTTTTACCGCCACAATGGACTCTACATCAGTTGTAATCGTGGAAGAGTCTCTTCCAAGGGATATTATGGAAGTTTTAGATAGCATGCGACGAAGCAAAGAGTTGTCCGATGTTACGCTTGTCGTTGAAGACCGCGAAATCGTCGCTCATCGAGCCGTTTTGGCGGCATGCAGTCCTTACTTTAGAGCCATGTTTTTGTCTGGGTTTTCGGAAGCCAGCGAGCAGAAGATAATCCTTAAAGAAGTCGATGCTAATGCGGTTGAACTAATCGTGGGATACTTCTACACTTCTGAACTTGAAGTGAATGTTTCCAACGTGGAAGAAATACTGCGAATTTGTGTTCTGTTGAGACTGAATTCCCTTGTCGATCACTGCGAAACTTTTCTTCGACGCAACATGACTCCGGCTAACTGTGTCGGTCTTCAGTTTGTCGCAGATCTTTTCTGTCTTGAGGAATTAAGCCAACATGCTAGTCGCTTTGCGCTTTGGCATTTTGCGAGCGTTTACAAAGAAGACGAGTTCAAGAAAATGCCATACAAACAGCTGAAGGATTTAATTAAGGATGATTCACTGAAAGTTCAGTCGGAGGAAATGGTTTTTGAAGCTGTATTGCAGTGGATTTCGCATGATACGAACGCAAGGAAGGACTTTGTCCCTGACATTATGCAGTATGTAAGATTCCCTTTAATGAACCTTCAGTATTTACATGGAAGTTCTTCCATCCAGAAACTCACACGTGATTATCGCATGTGCAAGGAATTGATCCGTGAAGCTATTAGCTATCAAACGGCTGTGGAAAGCAAATCAACTACAGCCATCGATAATTTCCGCGTCAGACCTCGCATGGCTTCAGAAGAGATTTTCGTCATTGGTGGCTGGTCCAATGGGCAGAAGATAAGTAGTGTCCAGTGCTTTAATGTGGACACTTTGGAATGGACAGTAGTTGCTGGAATGTCGGTCGCACATGTGTCCAGAGAGGATTACATTAGAGTTGTTGCTGTTGGTGATGAGCTCTACACTGTAAGTCGTTACAAGGTTGGCAAGTACGACCCCATAGCTAATTCGTGGATACAGGTAGCAACAGGCCCTGATGTGCAGTGTAAGTGGGCTGGTGTCTGTGAGTATGAAGGTTACATCTATGTTGTTGGGGGACACAGCAGTATGTGTGCCAAGCAATTTGACACAGAAACCATGATGTGGAGGTCTTTGCCATCAATGATGTATGCTCGCTACTATCCAGGTATCTATTACTGCTGACATTGTTCTTTCTAAGGAGTTATTCACATGATACCGAAATGACTTTTGTTCTGGAACAAGTTCATTCCATCTTCTCTTTATTTGTTTACATGATACCAAAATGGCATTTTATTTCTGTACAAGTCATTCTGGAATGAGTTTATTCCAGTCTTCAATGGCAATAAAATTTTTTCTTTCTGGTGAGAAATTTCATTCTGGTACAGTATCATGTAAACTGAAAATGAACTTCATTCTGGATTGAAAATTGCAAAATTGTGTAGTCTGGGGCAAGTGGCACATGAGTGATGCACTGATCTGGCGCATAAACCACACATGCGGGAATGCCTTAGGCTGAGCTGGTGTGTATTTTGTCATGTGAATGCTGTAAGAACTTCTTGTTATATACAGCTGTAACATAAAACAGTCTCTAAAGTTATTTGAGTTGGGAATTGTTGCACAATAGGCAATGGTACACTCACACACAGTTTATGACCTCGCTTGGGATCAAAAGAGCTGTTCATAATAGCGAGGGCTACACCGAGGCCATCAATTTGCAATAATTTATTGCTGGCTTCACAAGTAGGTAGATGAAGCAAATCCTGAACAAGCTCTTTGGCTGGATATTAGGCCTCTTCTTTTTTTGTGTGTTCATGAATGCTGACAAAGGCCTTGGCCAATATCTGACCATCTTCACCTCATGGTTGGTCATTGCAGTCAGTTTGTGGAAGATAAAAACTAAATAATTGCCTGTGGCTTAATGTGTCCTCATTTAAAATAAGATCCCAGAGACTTATTTTTGGCAATACTGTTATTATTCATTTACAGGTGTAGGTGTGATGAAAGGGAAGATTTATGCTGTTGGAGGCTTAGACCATCTGTGGGCTCCACTGAACACTGCAGAGCGATACAATCCCCACACCAACCAGTGGGAAGCCATCTCATCAATGAGCACAGCTCGTTGGAGTCTTGGTGTTGCTGTTCTTAGTGAGAAGCTGTATGCCATTGGAGGATCTGACAACCGAGAATCTTGTAGTAACAGTGTTGAAATGTATGATCCTGGTACTGATACATGGAGCCAGTCTGTAGCAGCCATGAATGCTGGCCGCCGCTGTCTGGGTGTGGCAGTCGTGAATGATACCATCTATGTGGTGGGTGGTCGTGTCACCAACAGTATTGAATATTATGATGAGGAAAGGAACACTTGGGTTGTAGTTGGTGCTGTCAACACAAGGTGTAACTTTGGATGTGTTGCATTAAGAATTTTGTAGACTGTATATTGTATTTTGTGGGTATGTCATGTTGTATTATTTATAGTAAATAATGCAAAGTGGTATTAGTCCAGGGCCAGAAATTCTGATCAGACTGTCACCAAGCATGACTAAAAGTTGCATACTGGCAATGAGATTTTCACAACTGGTTCTGATCAGTAAAACTTGATGTGTAATTTGGGTGCACCCTGTTTTTTTTCATCTACAGCTACTGTGGTTTAATGTCAAGTGGTGAGTCAACAACAAAGTTGATATCATTCCCTGATTAAGTGGCATACAAAATAAATTGCAGCTCTTTCAGGCAGTCTTACACAACAATGTGTAAGCAGTTTTGTTTATTTTAGGTTAAACATTTTGTTGAAATAATTTAAAAAAGAAATTGCCTTTAGCTTGTCACATCCATACCTGAGACCCCCAGGTGACTTTGCCACTCTTTGCATCTGCTAATGATATCTGTAGCTAATATAAAATACTGTCTGCAGTGTTGGTTAATTTATTTTGCTGGGTTATCTTTAGTTGACTCAGTACATCAGCAATCCCTCTTTGACTTAATTGCAACAGGCATGAGCCTCTTGTATCTCCAGCAATTAGTCATTTGAGATTATCTGTATATTCATAGTGTATTTATATAAGCACTTGTATTCGTGTTCATTAATGGATAAACCTACAACATGTTTATACTTTTCAGTGCCAAATATTATACATGTATGGTAAATTAAGTTTAGTCATTATTAGTGTGAAAGGTCACGTTTTATGTTCTTAGCTTGAGAACTTTACTATCCTATTTACTAATCATTCTGAAAGCATGTTGTTCATTATGTGCAGACAGTGATATATTTAATCTCCTTGTTCCTTCCTAGCCCTCTTTTATGGAGACAGCTCAAAAGAATTTTTTAAAAAGTGACGTAGGTAACAGCAAAGTGTCGTCACAGTACAAATTGTTTTTACCTCAATTTGAATTTAGCAAAATATATTCTTGGTAGTTTTCTGACAAATGTTCTAGTCAGACGACTAGTTGCTTCATTATTTTGGAAAGCTCTCTCAAGCAACGATAGATCGCAGAGTTTATTAAAGTCTGAAAGCAGATACACTATTCCCAGTCAGGTTTAATACTGGTGTGGGTTCTTATTTATTCAGTTTATTGGGTAAATGCCAGTGCTATATTATAATAATGACTAATTTGCTCAAGACGTTTGGTTTTTTGGAGAAAATCACACTGACCATAAAACAAAGGCTTGACTGTCTCTAACTGAGACCTCAAGTAAACATAAACATGTGCTATTATAAATATTGTAATTTATTATGAATAGAGGTGCACTTTAAAAGTATTAACTTATAGAAAAGTATTATATTATACAACTTTTACTCAGTCAACTGTATTTATTGGTAACATAATTATACGTAGAGTTTAACTTGCTTGTAGGTGAAACCACATATATATTAATGCAGAGCACAAGTAAAGTTGTTAGTATATCTGCAGTGATGTTTCCACATTTCATAAGTCCCACAACATTTTGATATCCAGCAACCGTTTCCTTAAACTTGTCCGTTGCGCAAACGTTACAATTTCGAAAACTCTCAGTTAATTTTTAAAATTCTCTCTAGTTTCGATCACAAATACACCTGGACTGAGCGAAGCACAACAACCACAGAAAACTAAATAATGAACAAATCAATTGTAACTAGTATTCAGTTACACCCCTAAGCGAGACGACGAGCATCCCCACCCCTTTCATATGCGGAGTCCCCCCCGGGCGTCAAGTGTGCAGTGATTCCGGACCTCTTACAACAAAATCAAAATTCGTCAGCCTTTTTTTTTTTTCACAGAGGCTCTGCCCTAATCGTGATAGTCTGGGACCAGGCTCTTTGTAAGGGGTCGACCATTTGACTTTTGAGGGAGGATATGGGTGATTTGCTGAGAGGAGAAAACGACTCGAAGTGATCGTCTGAAGTTCAGGCTATTGGGGATAGAATTTTTTTCACCGATATACAACGGTGTAAGAATTTTTCCAGCACTATACCCTACAAGACATATATTTTTTCAGAGCAGGAAGTTTTTTCCCTGGGTATTTCCTTGCAAGATTTTTTTCTCTCGAAATCAGTCTGGAATCCCGGCCGCGTCCGGAATCCGCGAACGTTTTGCTTGCGGAATTCGGAAAACAACAAAGTTTTGCTTTGAAAGGTGGAATCCTGGGCTTTGGAACCCGGAATACAGCTCAAGGAATCTGGAATTCACCCACGATTGGAATCCAGAACCAAAGTTCCACTATCAAGGAATCCGAAATGCAGTACATGGAATCTGGAAACCATGGCGTGGAATCCAGAAACCAAGACTGTTGCCGTTAATAATACATGGGGCGACACTTAATTAGAAGAAAGAAGCGAACCGCCCCACTCCACGCAGCATTGGCGGTTCATTCCGTTATTTTCCTTTTTCCCCAAACTAATCCCTCAGTCCCTGGATACATAGATAAACATATCTTCTTTCAACTAGCCTTCAGCCGTAATGCCGTTTTGAATTTTCTTTTTACGTCACTAGATTAGAGAGTGGTGCAAGCCTTTTTTAGGCAGTGGCCAACTGAAAAAATAAAACTTAACTGGGGCGCGTGTAACTTTTGGGGCGGCAGATCAGAGATTTTCACCACTGCGAGTGAAAGGGATAGGTTGCGGAATTTTTAAAGATGGTAGATGGTCTAGGTTCGCTGGCTAAAACTTTACTTCCTTAGACCTCGAATCCTCTTAGAATTGAGGTGGTGAAATTCCCCGCCCATTCATGCAGGCTGGAAAAAGTGTGGAACCTTGGTTAATCGTGCTTTTTGAAGACTGACGTCCCGACTGCGATAACGACTTAAGATAACGACGTACTAAAGCAGCGCTACATGAACGAAAGGGAAATCTTGAGGCTCTGTTACGCAGTTAACAGAGCAGCTGAACTGAGAGAAACGAAGTAGCCCAAGCTATCCTCATTTTCCGCATAAACTGAAGACTGGTCAGTCCCAGCGCGGGAGTTTAAGGAAGTGAAAAACTTCTTTCCTTATCTGAATCAGTGTTGATGGCCGGAATCCCTCACAACCGGGGTTCCTAAGATAGTGACTATTTGCTTTTGTCTTGTTACGCAAACAAGGCTCATTGATATTTAAGTCAGATAAAGTCTACGATTTTGCTCGGGAATTTTCCGTAAGGGCAGTTTAGGCTATAGGTTACCCAGTTTTTTTTTGTTTGATTGATAATATTACAATAATTTTTAGAGATTTACAAGATTTTCTAAGGGATTTTTAGAGAGTTTTTGGAGAATTCTAAAAGATTTTTAAGGCTATTTTTAGGGATTTTTGTAGCTAAGCCTAGTCGATGACCATCAAGTTTTTAAGGGATTCCCCGATTTCTCCCCGCGTGTGATGGTCATGCGGAAGTTTTGTTCGTGATTCGCCTTCCCCGCACACCGCAGTGTTATGATGCCACTACAAGAAACTACTTCACCCATTTACCTGTATTTGCTGATAATCAGAGTATTTCCTCTCCCCGAGAATCATTTCGCTGTCAAACTCTTGTGTTTCATGTCCACCTTGCGGTCCCGAAGTCCCTATCTCTGTCAATTCCTCCCAACATTCTGAACATCGTGGCACTTCTATCCGAAAGATCTTATGCGCAAGCATATTCGATATAAAACCCTTCATATAGTCGAAGTGCTCGCAAAATAACAAAGTAAAACTATTGTTGAAAAAGCTGTCGATGCAGACCTTTCACCGTTGTTTTTTAGCCGCTGTTGTGAGTTTTTTCTTCTTCATTGTAAAACTCATGGGAAACTTGTGACTCTCGTGTGATTGAGTCCAGAGATTAGTACTCTAAATTTTTCCGCTTAGTTTATCGCTGCAAGAAAAGCGTTCCTCTTTGATATTAAAACAATACATCACAAAAACGATACTGGCAATTTTGTTCCTTTATTAATGAGACGCAACAGGAAAGTAAAAGATTTCTCCGTGAAGCATTGAAAAACATACTTTCCTCTAAAATAGGGAAGCATGAGGCAGCAACTCAATGAAAATCGGGAGGGTTGGAAAGTGGCCTGCACAAGAGGCTTCAAAAGACGAATACTTTGCGATAACAGAGTAATTCTGAGACGGATCAAGTGTTTATCGCAAAGTGTGCGAAGAAACGAATCTGGAGGGTTCCGGGTACATGACCCCTCGGCCCTGAAAATTTTAATTTGCCACGCATCCTCTGATTAAATTGTAAAGCATTTGCTCTTGTACCGGCTAAGGTTCATTAAATTCGTAATTGAATAGTATTCAAACCAACTGAAACATGAAACTAGGTTTCACTCAATGCCTCATTTATTCACATTTTCTTTGAATAAAATTGAAATTTATACACAAGATTTAAAAATATATTTTTCTGTTACGAAAATCCCTGACAAGAACATGGGTTTACTTTAGCCTGCGTGGCAGGTGCGCTTAGTTTTTTTTAGTTAGTTTTTATGGAGCGCGCGAGAGAAACACGCGAGGAGATTGGTTTTTTCCCTCCCCTCGTACGCGTGCGCCTGCGCATACTCGAAATTTCTCCCTCATATCTCGTTCTCAGAATCCGCGATCCTTTTGGTCAGCGCATGACAAAAGGGACCCCTGGGGACGAAGTTGCTTTGCCCTATAAAAAACAGCGTCTGCTACGTAGGATAGGTTTACTTTAAACAATTCTTCCCTCCGAGAGTCTTTAAAAAACGAATTTTCTGTATTTCGAGGCACACTCTTCTACCACAGGGCATATGAAATGAAAGTTCTCATTCCCTTATTCGGAATGCCAAACTTAGAATTTTAGCTGTGAAACGATGGCGTGTAGGAGATCGAGAAAGGAAGCGTGATCACAATTTGCGAGTACAAAATGCTACGCTGAGGACGTCAGGGTTTTTTGTATTCCCCGCCAGTAAGCGTATTTGATTCCCCGTCAACGCAACATTAACCCATCCTTATCTTTCTCGCCATACATAGCTTAATAAAAACCTCATTTATGTTCTTTTTCAGGATACCTTTCGTGATAAATGTTGGGCGGTGGGTATTGGACGAAGCATGACGCGAAAAGAATTCTGAATGCGGTCTTAAACGTTGAATGCGTGTAGAAAGTTTGGAGAAAGCGCGCGGGATCTGTTGGGGATGTCCCTTTTCAAACTCGTCCCAAAGGTCTTTTCGCTGCCACTATATTGTCAAACGTGAAGACTCTGGGGATGAGTTTGGCTTTTAAAAAAGCTCGATGACTAGCATACAATCGCAATAAACCGTTTGAATTTCCACCGTATTGGTCAGCAATACCCAAGAAGGGGCCATTAGTTAATACATTTATGAATAAAGTGTTAGTGCCATTTTAACTTGGCCGTGCGCTAGCTTCGAATGAGCCCCGCCCCCGAATAGGTTATTGGAGCTCTGTGACCGACCAACACTTAACTGACAGATCAACTATTCCAACGAATTACGACCGACCGACCGACCGATGGACTGGCTCACAGAGATGACCAACTTACACACAGACGGCTTCCCACAAACTAACCGTCGACAAATTGACCGACAGTAGTCTCAGCGACCGGCGAGCTCTCTGTCCTCATCTAGTAACTGGGAAAATTGGATGGTTGGCTTGTTAAAAGAGTGACGGACGAGGCAATCACCTCACTGATCCCTGCCCGAGTGACAAGTGATGTACATGTAGGAGGTAAATAAAAAAATTCTTGCACCGAAATCCCCTCGCTCCTTCTCCCTCTACGTGAACATCAGCGACTAGCGTCTCACGGCCCAAAAAGGCAGTCTGGCACCCTGCCGACTCTTGTCCTCTTCTCTCTTATGCGGAGTAACCTGTTTGTGTTCGGGTGAAGTTGACCCTTCCTCGTCTGACGAGTCCTCCTCGCCGTAAGCTACCAATGATGCTATCGCGGAGGACGTCATGGCTGCGCTGTCCTCCGTTTTCTGTTTCTTTGTTGCAACAGGTGCGGGTTGTGAGAAAGTCGCTGCTTCTCGCTTTCCTGCTGTTATGAGAAACACACAGCACAACACATGGAAACAAATGATAACAGAGCAGAAAAAAAGAAGGCAGAAAAGAAGTAATTATAAGTTACCATCATCAGAGTGTCCACGGGGTTCACATGAAACAAGAATAAAACACAAATTAGTATTAAAGAAAAAAACAACACCGGTATAGATCCCATCTGCCATTATAGTCAATTCCAACCACTGCAAAAGCGAGCACCCCGCCAGCCGCGACTTGAGTCACTGTAATAACGTACGGTCATCAAGATCGCAACTGAGATTTCTTAAAACATAAATATTGCTCTAAAATAGCAAGGCTTCATGCCACTGGACGTTTTTATGGTTGTTTTTTTTTGCGACCGCAAAAGTCGGTGAAGTTTACGCTGGGTGAGAATTGACTCAACGTCACGGGATCTAGAAGAAATTTCCATATGGTTGTTTAAACTAAGGATCTGTAAAACAAAACATGCTTAGTAATTTTTAGGGCACAGTTTAGGCGTAGAAAACGCTGTTTTCAGTCTTGGTGTGGAGAAATCTACAGGAATGTGGGTGGTAGTTGTATGGTTAATACCGAAATTTCACTGGCCTCAATTATCTTTCATTCTTTTTCCTAGTGAAACCCTACTTAACTAAGGAACAAGGAGTAGCACTCTTTGAGGGAGGTTCAGTTCAATTCCCAGGTGTGCTCTTGTTCCAACTTTATTCCAGTTTCCATGTACCTTTAAGTTGCTTTACATATCCGTAAAACAGAGCACCGTCGGCCTCGGTTTTCTCAGTGGAGTCCTTTTATAATGGAGTTTTAAGATATCACGACGGCGACGGCCATGGGAAACTGCCCACCTACCCCTCCCCTAAGCTAACATTAACACTTACTTCTCATTTAGGGCAAAATGTTGGCTTAGGGGAGGGGTAGGTGGGCAGTTTTTGATCCTAGAACATCTTCTCCTTGTAGTCGCCCTGGTCTTAGAATCTAAAGCTCTCTAGTGTAATATGAGTACTGTTACAAGCTACCAACGCAAACAAAGGCCCTTTACCTTCATTTAAATCCAATGGGCCTTACCTGGTACTCGGCTACGCAGAGGAGCTATCGGGGGAGGCATCGCATCTTCAGGTGGCAGAGGTGCTGCAAACTCACTCTGTTTTGGTCTGGTTTTCAAGGACGGTGCGAGGGCTGGAGGAGGCGGCATGCTCTCTGCTGAAGAACGCCGGTGGCCTTCACCTAGGGAAGGATTTAAGATGGAGGACTCCTAGAAGAAAGTCATCAATCAGCAAAGGAAAGAAAGAACATACATGTTAGCAAACGCCATTAGTCTTAAATCCTGTTTGGTGGGAGTGAGAAAAGGCATTAGTAAAAAACTAGGAGACTTAAGTTATTGCAAGTTTCGTTCTTTGCCGGGTGTGTAAATTGTAGGGGGTGGTTAAAATGTTTGATTCTGAGGATAAAACGGAACTGAATTGCTAATCTCACAATGGATTACGATTGTTCTATGTCACTCAATGTGATTAGTTGGAACGCGACCAATCAGGTAGTAATATTTCGTTACGAGCGGGAAATCCAGTTTTTGTTATTTACAAGGTTTTCGGAAAATCCACTCGAAAAGCAAACGAAACACGAGTCTCAGAATCGTTCCAATGGAAAATTTCAAGGAGCAACGGGAATTCTGAAAAGGTAGTCCTGTTATCCCAAACGGAATGCTCCATGCGGAAATTCAAGTTCCACTTCTTCAAAGCCATCACTGATACCAGTTTCAGGCTTTCTTAGCCAGCGAAAACAGCCGTTTCTCCTCGCTCCTCGCCGCTGGGGAAACGTCTTCAGCGGTGAAGAGCGAGGAGAAACGACTGTTTTCGCAGGCTGAGGCTTTCTCTGCCGTTTTTGGGAAATTGGACGTAACAGTCCAGATTTGTTTGCTATTTCCCAAAAGGTGAACCGACCAGTTTGTCCATGTAAATAACAAACAATCATAAAGTCAGTGTAAAAGCAAACGAAAATTCCGAAACTTTCTCATGGCGTTGTTTTTCACCACGTTTACTACCTCCAGCTCTTTGGAGAAGAATGCCAAAAGACTGCTACATACAACTGAACTACAAATATAAAACAAACTCTTGAACTACTGAGTATTCCTGCAAAGGAAACAATAAAATAAGGAGCCCGGTGCACCTGATGTTTTGGGTCGGCTTCTACTGTCTTGTAATCCTGCGTAGAAGCTTTGAATGGAATCTAAATTCGTGTTTGAACAAACATTATCAAGTTACAGGGAAAGAAGAAAAGAAAAAAAATCATGTTAGCACGTGAAAAGACAAAATCAAGAATTAAAAATGCTTCACACAAAAGAAGCCAAAAAAGGAAGCAACTCTTTGTTGTTCTTTAACAATAAGATGCTGATGTAATGTAGGGACATAATGCGAAATAACTTTCTAGAGTTTTTTAAGTTGCAATCACAATATTAAATTACTATTTGTTCACTGACGCACCATTTATATGGAGAAACGTTGTCCAGGTAGAAGGGTCACCTGCCTACCCAAACTACCCTGAGCGAGCCGACATATCCCACATTTCCTTACAAAACTTGGCGAACCGTTTATATGAGAAACAAAAAGTTGGCTCGGTTAGAAAGGCGACCCGCCTAGCTGGGTCACCCTTTTGTGATGGTAGATTCACCAATCTAGCCGGGACAAATTCTCCCCACATTCTCGCCCAGCCAGGTCAACTCCGTCGAGGTGAGACGATCAGAGCATGAGCAAGTGCTGTTTTAGACAATCAGATCCCTTGCAGACCATGCACAACCGCTGTTGACTCGGGAAAGAGGACAACTCTATTCTCATATAGACGCTCGCTTAAGTTGACTTGGTTCGGAGGGTCACCCTTCTAAACGGGACAGGTTTTCTCCAGATTAAAGGTGCCTAATATTAATCCTAAGTTTTTTTTCAAAGAAGGAATCTGATTTTGTTAAAAAAACCTAGTTCTTTGGTGGAACAAAGGGCAGCACCACACTTGCAGTAAGTTTATGCCACTGACCCCCAGTGGGGTTTGAACCCACAACCTTTGGACCAAAGGCCCAACGCTCTACCGACTGAGCTATGGGAGTTCTTAAACAAGCACATTCTTGACAAAGCCAACTACTGCGACACAACAATACATGTACAGTACATGAACACTTAGCCAGAGGAAAAAAAAATAAAGACATTTTGCAACACTGATGTTCACTACGCAGATTTGGGTAGTACTTGTGATGGTTGAAGCAATTCTCAGCACGACCAATCAGACGCACTACCCAGATCTTAGTAGTAAGCATCGTCAGTATGGAATTTCTGCACAGGTGGGAAATCTGTCATCAACCTTAAATGACACCCGCTAATGAAACTCATATTTCAAAGCCACCGGTTGCTACAGTAGTCTTTAGTAAATAACCCGCTGGTCTTAGCCCCACTTACGTGTGCAAGAGACAGTACCTTTTCTTTGAACTTTCGTCTGGGTGGATCTTGGGATTGTGGTGGTCCACTTCCCCTCTGAGACTGCTCTTGGTGACTACAAAACAATAAAAAATTCCTTTTTCATTAAGGGGGCTGAATTATGGTTGTCTGGCTCATTCTGATAGTTTGGTGTCCTTACTCCCAATGGATCTTGAGAAATAACTTGGGAATGGCAAAATATTATTACAGGTTTGCGTGAAACAAGTATGTATGTCTCCCAAGCATTATAACAAGCGTTACAAATAACAAAAAATAATGAACTTTGAAAAACTGTTTGGTGAAAAAGCTTTGAATAACTATAAATGTAATCCATTTTAATCTTCTTCAAGTTTGTCCATCTTTCCCTCCTTTTGAATTTGCTGTGTTATTAATACCTTCATTTAATGTTTTGTGAAGTTATTTTGATGTTTCACTCAGTTTGGTAGCAGTTCCCCCTATTTGAAGTTTGATTACATGATTGATTACACGGCCCATTTAAGACACTCATTATGCAGTACTACTTTGTTTTATTATTGAGCATGTTTTAGTACTTTCACATAAATTATCAACAAGTTTATGGAAAGAAAAAATATAAAAAGAAACAAATTGAAGAAGAGATAAAATGAAATCACAACACATGCAATGTACCTACCTTGCTGCTGGGCCTTGATCTTGAGACTGATGTTCAGTTTCCCTTGGTGGTCCCTTCAAGAACAAACAAGCAAATTTAACATTTGCACTCCTTATTTTTTTTTTTGGAATTTTACAGCTTTTATTTATTTATTTTTTACAGTGAATACAAAACAAAAACACTGCAAAAGGTTAACAAATTACTTAAAAAAAAAACACTACAAAACAAAAAGTTTCCATATAAAATTTTGATGTATGCTATTTAGATTACAACCACAAAACCTACCAATACATAGAAACATTCACCATGCCATCAACAAGAGCAAAAAGGAAACAAAATTGCATCTGCATTCTGACAAACATTAAGATGAGTTTTTTGGACATGACACAAGATGCTACCTACCAAATGAGGTGTAAGAGGGGGAAGTTGCTTTAGGCCCTCCTGATGGGGCCCTATTGGCGGTGGGCCAGGTGGAGGCGCTCCTTGGTGATGGGGTCCAGGAGGGTAGCGATGATATGGTTCTGGTCCTCTGGGGGGCGGAGGACCCATATTGGGTGGCAGTTGGTTAGGATAACCAGCAACTACAACAACAAGTGAAATAACATTACAACAAGGTTAAGATTTACACTGGTGAAACTGCCACCACTAATGTTAGTGTACAGCAGAACTGTTATGTCTAACTCATCATAATTTTATACAAATAGTGCTGCTTTTAAATCATTATTCATTATGTTTAAAGTGCAGCATTGTACCCATTTTTCGGGGAAAAATCAAATTATCAAAGCTAGTTTAGTTCTGCCCCCAACCTTCTGTCATGCAATCCTACATACATGTAGCCATGAGATGGGGTTCAGGGACAATAATATCTGTTTTCACAGGACACTACGTTTAGTTACTTTTCTAAATAGCCACCATTGCACAATGCGTACCTGGAGGAGGTGGAGGCCCATAGCGAGGAGGAATAGCATGTGGTGGAACAGGCTATAAATAAAAGAAAATATATTTAAACAATGACAACAGTGATGCACAAAATGACCCTTACTATGCTTGCATGATAGTACTCTGGGTGCCAGAGACTTTTCTAGTGTGAAAGAACACATGAATGACAATTCACAGGTCACACACAAACCACAGGTAGGACAACAAAATATAGTGAGGATTTAAAAAAAGTGTCCAACAAGTCATAGCCATGTTCATCACTTCAATAAGTGCTTGTGTTCGAGGATCCAAGGACTCAAGTCAGATCTATTAATTCTCATAAACAGAAGTATTAACACATACCTGATGTAGTGGCACATGAGGAGGATGGTTGTACATGTATCCAGGTACTGGAGGAGGCTGGACAGGCTGGGGATAGCCATTACCATGTGGGGGTGGGTGTTGATATCCATAGGGTGGAGGCTGGAAATTAAGGAGGGTATTGCATGTAAATTACTCCTACGCTTTGATACTGAAATCATTACAATGTTCCTACTAAACAGATATATTATGACTAGGTCAAGAAAGATTAAGGGGAGAGGAAACAAGAGGAAAGAAGACAATGACAGTGAACCAAGCGGAAGAGAAATAAAGTTGAGCAAGGTAATGGCACACCATTGTCTCTGAAGAATTGCTAGAAATAATTATTTGTTTTGCTAACATTAATTCACATAAAGACTTTCCTTTGGTGTTAAAGATGGCGCTTGGTAACAGGAAAAACACTCACTGATCATATTTTGACAAAAATACACCAAGAACTTCATGACGGTGCTACATGTACTTCACTTGAAATAAATTGAGTTGACAAGAAAATACAAGTGAACACAGACTAATTCTGTACTACTTTGAAGTCAGGAATATCTATTTATAACTTCAAGATTTCATTTTACAGACCTGGTATCCTGAAGGAGGTTGTGCAGGTGGATTTCCAACTATTACAAAAGTAAAGCAAAGAAAACTGTTAAAGATGACAAAAAGCAAAAACAAAAACAGAAAGTAAAATTATTGATCAGTTTGAAATAGCAGGAAAATGGAATTAACTGAGTTTGAAGTAGTAGGGATCAGTCATAATAGGGCCATTTATACGAGGAAAAATAAGACGCGTCTTATGTAAGACGCATCTTAAATAAGACGCGAACTTTCTGTATAAATGGCACATTTTGTCTCAAATAAGACGCGGCTTAGCTAAGACGTGTCTTATTAGATAAGACATGCTCGTATAAATGGTACAGTTCGCGTCTTATGTAAGACATGTCTTATTTTTCCTCGTATAAATGGCCCTAATGTTGGCAAGATTTAGTACATGCTGCAAAGAACTTTACTGCAGCACTCGTTCAATTTGACTAGCTTTATATTGGAGGGCAATATCAGCAGATGGGAAATCTAAACCACCATCTACTTTCTTAACCCTCCTTTCAACATACATTAATAAATTTATTATTACTTTATATGTGCCTTGTTATTATGCATCATTTAAGTACAAGAGCTGTTTGCTACTAAGAGGGAGTCCTCTAGCTGAATCCATAAGTCCGGCAAAGCTTGAGGCTAATCAAACTTCTGGGCCCAGTTCCTCGAAAGATGGTTAAGTTAAACCCAGGATTAAGCCAAATTTTGACTAAGAATATGTCACTAGAGCTTACAAAATACTGTTTTCTCTTTACAACAAGACTCAATGATGATAACATAGAATGTTACTCTAAGCAATGCATAGGAAGGTAAATACAAAAATGGAAGAAAATTTTTAATCCTGGATTTAGTGCTAATCAGTCTTTCAGGGACTTGAGCGTGGAATTTTAACAAGAGCATAGTTACAGTAAAGGAACTATGCCATGAGGATTTTGCTGTTTGAGGCCAACAGACCTTTGTCACGTGGCGGCAATTTTATCTCAGGAGATTTAAAAAGTTTTGTTTATGCATGGCTAGCCTTGTGCCGTGCATAAACAAAGCTTTTTAAATCTCCTAAGACAAAATGGCCGCCGCGTAACAAAGGTCTATTCTGTGCTGAAGTCATAACTTCCGTCTTTACCCTTAAATGCAAAATGCCCCTGTAGAATTATGAAGAAGATGTCAGTTAAATTAATTTCATTAGGGAGCACTTAACCATAACAATGTTTTGGTGATTTTTGCAGGCGTGGCATTAATTGATAAAAATGGCTCAAATTTTTCAAGTTTCAATCCATGTCCAACAGGTGACATAAAAAAGTTTCATTACCTAAATATAGTGTTAAATAGCAGAACGGGGCTATTATTTTTGCAATGCACATGATGCAAAGACACCTTTAGCTTTTTATTAAGATAGTAAAGAGCATGATGTAGCCCCTTTGAATGTTTTCTTCTTTCCTTTTTGTAACCCACCATTCATGTAAGGTGAATATCCATAATGTGATCTTCTTGTTTGTTCAAATGCTTTGTATTCAGTATGAACCTAAAGGATTACAAGTAACAACAATCATCATTTTGTGTAAATTAATAAAATAATATTATTGGTTTGCCTTAAGTGAGAAGTAAGTGTTAATGTTGGCTTAGGGGAGGGGTAGGTGGGCAGTTTCCCAGAAACTTATAATGATCCACATATTATCAATGTGTAGTTCCAGAAAATATCCATACTCCCCTACAGAAGGGATTGGAAATTCCTGGGATGGGGGGGGGGGGAATTCCCAAAGGCCCAAAAATTTGAGTAAATATATGAAGCTTGACTGGAATTTCCAGAGAGGTGGGGGGTCTAAGGAAAAATTCCTTCTGTGCAGGAGGTATGGATAATTTTTGGAACCACACAATACCAAATAAACAGACCATCAATAATTATTAGTGGTGATCGATCAGAAGGTTTGATCTGACCATTCTACTGTATCCTTCACAATCTCTCTTTCTTATTAGTCTCAAGATCCTCAAGACAAGCTCATTCAAAAATCATAATTAACAATCAATATTCCTTATGCAAGAGTATTGTCTTAAAAAAGATCTAATAAATGACGCTGGCTAGAAACTCACTGTTTGTATAAGATTTTCCACTAATTTCTTTGCTGCTGCTAAGCCATCGACCTTACTATGGCTGTGGAAGGGAGAAAGAAAAAATACCATTGGCATTAAACAGAATAAGTTAGTGGAGTGTCCATATCACGAACCTCTTTATACTGGAGTCCTTGGTATAACAAATGGTATTCTTCACCACAGTTATGGTAAAAACTGTGGAAAAGAACGCCAATAAAATGAAACCTTGGGCCTACGTTATATTGAGGTTCCACCATAATCCAGTGAGTTTAGGAATGTTAGTTTAACTGAGTAAATACTGAAAAGAGCTGTAAATATTATTGGAACAAGAATATAATAGTAATATTATATCAGTAATATTATGTAGTATAGAATGTACACATTCACAATGTGAAACCAGTAAAGTGGACTCCACAAGCACCATTAAGTCCCAACTATTCTTCGTATTTTTGCTGTAAAATGAACCAGAATTTAGCAGACCCCTCTATCAAGAGGAAACTGACAAGAGCCCATGGAAGAGTTTTCTCAGTGCTGGTTTTATTATATACATGTAGCTGACGAAAAATTACAAGGTTAAAGTAGCTAAAAGACAGAATGTTAACATACCTTATGTAAATATACAGAGCTTCAAAAGCTTCTTTACCAGACGTTGGTTCAATAAATCCAGATCCTCTACCTCTAAGTTGTACCTTTAAAAAAATAATTTGAAAAAAGTCTGGGCTGATTACATGTTTAACACAACATCGTGAGAGGGGAAATGGATAGGACACCATATTATGAAAATTCTTTTGTTTTTAGTAAGATAAAAACAAAAAGACACACTTCTGACAATAATATACACACGGTATAACAGAAAATAAAATGCTGCCTGATAGCCTGATACCAGTGGAGCAACCCTTTGGGCTAGCATGTTTTAATAATAATCAATACAAGTTATCTGACAGGCAGGCAACATTTGCCAAGGAAAAGGGGGTTTGGTAGGCCTGCACAACTGCTTTAGGCTAATAAACCTCTGCAACAGCTTCCCAGAAAGGCAAATGATGTAAATTTTTTTGATAACAATAATTATACAGCAACAAAATAATAATAATCATTATTACAATAACAATAACCGCGGCAGGATTAGCTCAGTCGGTAGAGTGTTTGACTGCAGAGCGGGAGGTCGCGGGTTTGACTCCCGGGGCAGGACCAATACTCAGGGTCTTAAAAATAACTGAGAAATGAAGGTACTTCCTTTGCCCTGCAGGCTGCTGGACCTTTGCGTGGCTCGGATGACCACGTAAAATGGCGGTCCCGTCTCCATTAGGAGACATAAAATATAGTGTCCCAATTAGCACTTTCGTGCTAAATACATTGATACTCAAATAAAGTGCAAGTGCATAACAACAATGACAGCTGAAACAAGAATGATGGCAATAATCACCCTAACATGTCGAGGCCATTCACAACATGTAGAGATGATTGTCTGCCATGTTGAACAGATGTACACATCAATACACACAGGGACAGTAGTTTTATAATTAAATAATAATAACAGGGGACCTTTATCAATCAAGATGCAAGTTTGTAAGTATTCTTGAGAAATAACAATCTATAATAATCAGCACTTTTGAACTGAAAATCACATGTTTAAATTGGATGATAGCGATTGACAGTTACAATACCTTGGCTCCAGTTTGTGTGCAAATGTGCTGGAAATAGGATCCCTGGAAAAAGAAGAGTGAGCAAAAAAATATTGTGTTCAATATGCAATGTTGAGCCATCCTCGGAGACCCAGGGGCAGATAGTGGAGGCGAGGGAAAGTCTAAACAAGTGGAAAGATATGGCATGAAGAAAAGTAAAGGACAGCGAGAAGAGCCCCTGGGGACAATATCTTACCAGACCAGTTCCCAACAGTCACTGCCGTTCTGACTTCTGATTGGTGCCAGAAAACTTTTGTGTTTTCTGGCACCAATCAGAAGTCAGAGCTACGGCGACTGTTTGGAACTGGTCTGGTAAGACATTGTCCCCACGGGCTCTTCTCGCCATTCTTTACTTTTCTTCGTGCCATATTTTTCCGTCCATTTAGACTTTCCCTCACCCCCACTATCTGCCCCTGGGTCTCCGAGGATGATTTTGAGCAAAAGATACCATGGATCTACATTGCTGTAAAATTCAACCAATATGAAAAAAATAGTCTTCAAATGATTTAGCCTGAAGCTTCTCCACAAACAACAACAGATAGGATGACTACAGACATACCCCTGGTCCTTGAAGTTTGTCCTTCACAATAAATTCTGGCAAGGCATTATCTAGCCCAACAAACACTTTCTCTTGAACATAATGCATCTGCAAAAAAAAGCACATCTACTGGATTACTCAGGAACTATTTTTCTTAGAACAAGGAGATAGTTCTAAGAAATGTCACTAAGAGCCATCTGCCAGCTAATTTCAACAGCAGAAGAAGCACTTACCACTAGCTCAAATGGCTCTGGAAAACAAAGACATGGGCAAGTTTGAAGGTGCAGTTGATTAAAAAAGCTGGCTTGACTTATAAAAAAGCCTGCTTAGCTTTCCCTTACCTACATCCCTGAGTTGCTTCCCATAAATGTAGACTGTACTTACCCCTGGTGGCAATGGCTGTCGGTCAAATATTGCTAAAGTTTGGTTCAAAACAGGAGTTGGCATGGGGGCAGGAACAGGCATTCTCGGTGGCTGAGGCATTCCTGGCTGAGATGATTGACTGCTATTTATGTCTACTACTGGTGCTCCATTCATGATCTCCATTATTCGCTTCACAGCCACTGCAAGCAAAGTGATGATTTCAGATCAGAATGGTGTTGGCAAGGGCTAGGTCACCACATTGTATTCTTAGAGAAGACACTTTACTTTCACTCCACCCAGGTGCACAAAAGGATATACATGTTACAGGTCAAAATTAAATTCAGGTTCAAATTTTTTAGCCTAAGTTGATTCTCAATTTCCTTTGTCTTCTAGCCTTAATTATTTTTGAATTAGGGCTAGGAGACAAAGGAAATTGAGAATCAAACTAGGTAAAAAAATTTTAACCTGAATTTAATTTTGACCTGTAACATACACAAATTAACACTGATGGTAACCCTGCGATAGACTGGCATCCCATTCAGAAGGAATAGAGATATTCTGATGTACATTTCATGCTAGAGAAAATGGGTTAAGCTACCGCCTGATGAGCAAATGGATTTGGGGCAAATGGAATGCAATTTTGAAAGGGTCTCTTTTATTAATCCCTATTAAAAAAAATTCCTGGGTTAGTTAGGTCAGGCTAATCCATTCTGATTCAGTTTGATTGACATTCTCCAAATATAAAATGTGGCCACTGAAACAGCACATTTGTGATTTTAAAAAACACTCATATTTTTTCCAAACATGTTCCAGTTAGGTTTAATTTGTTGTTGTCATTTTATTATTAATCAATAAAGTCTATTGTTACTATTCTGCTAATATTCACATTTTACACTTGAAGCTGTTCAATAACTTACAATCAACTTTTTCTTGTGTGAGTCCTTGAATACAGAGGTACAGTGGTTTCACTCTGAAACAAATATATTTCAAGTGGCAATCAGCACATGCAAATTTTCATTAATATAACATATAACATTTTTTTAACATGAAAATTTGAGGAAGATATAAGCTGTATAAAGCTCTCTTAGCTTGTCTTTTAATGCCATCACTTTTCCTTCAACTGTACAAAGCATTAATTAGTCTTTTGAGCAAATATTAAAGAAGCAATGCTGGACTACAAAAGTCCCAGATGGAGATGTCTGATTATTGTGCCAATTTCCAATTTCCAAAATATGAGTGCATATGATAGAGGACACTTAAAGAAGATAAAAAATAATTCTCTAAGCAACTCTTACCCAGTTCCTTCCGCTTCCTTTTTTTCTTGATCAGTCATAAATTTCCCCCTGGTGGATACAGCTGCTCCACTGTAACGATTGATCTACCATAAAGAAGGCCAAATTAATTTACTTGAGTTTCCTGATTGCAAATTACAACTTCAAAAATTTAGGTATGTAGTTCTGCTTGTGCCAGTTGCTAGGCAACTGGCAGGTGCCATCATAATACATGTATATGATTTTATTTAAATTATATAAAACATAGGGACAACTCAAAATTCCACCCCGTTTATGATCCACATGTAACACTTTAATATTCCAACAAATTCATACACCAAGCATAAAATTGAACCATGACATACACATACAGTACACAGTACGTACATATTTTGTGTGGCAAAAATAATAAAATAAAATAAAACACAAGCATATGCGATAATAATATGCAGCCTTACCTCATCTTGTGTTGTGCCACGGCATAAGAAGTTTCTAACAAAAGAAGGAAAAAGGGAACATCAACAATATTTTATTAAACACGTATATACATGCAGTTTGATAAAAAACATTTGTTTACATTAAGCAAAGTTAGTAAATCATACTGAGTAATCAAACTTTATTAGAAGGTCATAAAGTTGATAAAAACCAGTTTTTGTGTTACCCACTTCTGATGTGTTAGTTCTACAACTTCTTTTTTGAAACAAACCTCTCCAAACAGTCAGTTGGTGAATAAAACATCCCTGATCAGTCCACCCGAAGTTTTACAGTCATGATTGACTAATACAGTCTGACTATCATTTATTAGTAAAGAATAATAAGGGGGAGGGGAGGGTGGGCTTAAAAGAGAGGGTGGGGGGCTTATTAACTTTCCTCCCATGAGAAGGGAGGGCTTATTAGAGGATTTACAGTATTTGCAAGTACATGACACAAACTGTAAATAGTATAAGGAAAGTGTCCGGAATCTTACCTTGCTGGAGAATCATTAATCTCAACTTCAGCTGTCATTAAATCTTGGTTGAGGTTCTTGTTGCCATTATTCAATGCCTGAGAAGGTGTTGCTGTCGCTTTGGCTGCGGGAGATGGTTGGCCCTGTAAATGTTCAATCAAAATTTATTTATCACAAAAAAACTCCTTGATCATTAGATTGAAGTACTGTAGAAAAATTAAACCAATTATATCATACCATGAATGGTGGTGGAGTGCCTTTTGCAAGTTTTCCTTGAGCTGCTAACATTGCATTTAGTTTTGCTGCCCTTTCTTTTGCTGCATCTGTAGCTGATAAATTGGCATTGCTTGAGCTGCTGTCATTTTCTGAGGATGGTACATCCCATTTGCTTTTTCGTCTGAAAGTTGACAAGATAATGATATTTATTATACCTTGTTTACCTTTTCCAATATTTAACAAACACATGCCAATAATCGTACTCAAACCAAATTTTTCAACCATAAAACTTTGTTAATAGCTCCAAAACAAGATCCGACATTCACACACTTCGATCCAAAAACTAGATCTTGTCTATCTCACAAATCGATAGCACAAGGTCTTACTGTGTGTCAAACTCCGAATCATAAGACAACTATTTTTCCCATTTCTGCAGACTCGTTCGCCTGGTTGTGCATTGCTTGTGACTTTCTAACATTCAAACGAAACGAGCCACGGAATCGCAAGTAAAAGGCTACATGTTACATGTATGAAATCGTTGTGATCCATGTTTACACAAAAGAGTTTGAAGCTTGACTAATACCAACTTTACGTATTCAAATGCTCGTGAAAATGCCGCTATTTAAAACAAAGACAGTTTGTCATATAAATGCATAAATATGTGACTTGCCAAGCCACACCTTTCATCTGTGTTAAAATCTCTGAACATGGTGAGCAAAGGCTACATACATTAGAAACGCAGGATAAATCTTTGAAACCAAAAATATAGATTTATACTTATTTATTGAAAGCTTGCCGAAAGCTGGTAATTCAAACAGTTACAGAACACTGCACCGCAAGCACTGATCATCAGTTTGAATTTCTGAATGGCTTCGTGACTGTGCAACATTGTTCTTTCAGAAAACAAAAATAATTTTGCGTAGATACCTTGAAGCCCAAAACTCGAGACTGTCAACTTACTTGTGAGTGGTAGTCAGTATGCCAAGTCATGTCTGATAGCCCAGGGCTAGTGGATTTTGTTATCGGGCTAGCGATTTTTGTTCTTAACTTGCCCGACAGGCATGTGCTGTTTTTTGGAGAAATTCAAATTACAGAATGTTTGAAATCAATCCTGTTAATCAAAAAGGGTTATGGGCTAGCTGAAATGACTTGTGGGCTAGTACATGCTAGCTACAGCTTGCCCGAATGGCAGGCTGTAAAACCGACTTTCTCCGCACCCTGGCCTGTGCAGGGTACCTTGTTTTTCACTTTGATAATCATTCTTTGTGAAAATGAAATTCTTCAGAGGGGCTGGGAGTCTTGGAAATTCAGGAGGGATGGGGAGTCATCAGTTCTTTATAAAAATGGAAAATTCAAGGAGGTGGGAGGGAGTGCTAAATAGAATACCCTCCATGGTGGTGGAATTGATATTTTCTGGAGCCACACAATCTAGATTTGGATATTCACAAAGAAATGCATCCTTCTTTTGCCCTATGATTAACACAATAATTATCACCCTGTTTGATAGGATAGTAATTGCAGCAAGGAGACAACTTTGTTTTTGGCTATATAATTATCTGTAGTATGATGACCTGTACTTATACCTGTGAAATAAGAGAAGGAAAACACTACCAACCCATGCTTATGTATGATAAGACAGTGGTCTTACAAGGAATTTGCTTAAAAACAAAACAGTAAATCTTCAATGCCAATCATAAAACAGGTCCTTCAGTCTTCAATCATTCGAACACTGATCAAATCGGGAAGGAGAGTTCTTTTCTCTTGGGAGCTTCATTGTTTGGCTGCATTGTTTATCTTCTTTTACGTTATGTGTGCCTCGGTAACTACAGAAGGAACCGATCAATCTAAAAACAGACGAGGCAGTGTTGCATAGCTAGAGATATCCCAATACTCTCCCCTAACTGGCATCAGCTGCGCTTGCATGCACAAAAAAGGATATTACATCGCAAAAATATTGATAAAAAAAGAGTAAGGACGTTTCCAACATTTGATATGTCTCTTCTCTTGAGTTTATAAGAGCGGATTATAGATATAATATAGCCACAAAAGACCGATTTCGGTTCTGCACTACTTACCGACGAGTCGCCGCCATCTTTGATTACCAAGCGTTACCGATGTGCATGACGGGAAGGACCCGACCCAGACCCCACCAGACCCCACCTCTCTCTCTTGAAAATGAAATTTCTGAAATTATGGGATTTGTCAGGATATTCTGAAAGAACAATGTCCAAGAGGCCCACTTACCAAAAATGAGCATTTCGGGGAAAATTGTCTCTGAGATGTTAGCCGGTTATACTCAGAAGAAAACTCCATACAAACCCTTCTAATTTTTTGGGGGGTCGACCCAAAAAAATTTAGAAGGGTTTGTATGGAGTTTTCTAAGCATAACTGGGCTACGATCTCAGAGACAATTTGCCCCGAAATACTCATTTTTGGCAGGTAGGCCTCTTGGATATTGTTCTCTCAGAATATCCTGACAAATCCCATAATTTCAGAAATTTCAAATGTCTATTAGTGACATTAACACGACATTTATCTTTTTAGTAACAACCCATAAAACGGCCATAAATCGGCCCATGGACCACACTGACATAGGAGAGATGAAACACACATTTTATGTAAGGTAAGCTGTTTTTTTATTGAAATCCTTTCATTTTCGTAGGTTACGGAAACAACAGGGTTTTTTCCCCATACAAATCCCTATATTTCGAAAGTTACGCAACAAATGCCGATTGGTCGCCGATGCTCATATTTCGAGTGGTTACAGGAACAGCTTTCAACAAGGAATGAAAACAATTTACAATAAACAGTTGAGAGATACGGATCAGTTAAGGTTTCTGAGAAACTGCCCACCTACTCCTCCGCTAACCCAACATATTGTTTTTGAAGAACTCAGGTGTAATAATGAGCAATTTATCTAAGAATACATACTTTAACAAACGTGACTTTATTTCATCTCGAATTTACAGAGTGGCTAATTTGTTCTAGAAAAATAGCATAGTAAATAATAATTAAAAAGCATTGTTTTGTCACCCACCCCTAGCGTGAGTAACTTGAGCTATTTTCATCCGTTTGGGTAGGCTTCAGACGGGAAGGTTTGCAGAGATTGGCGACCATTGATTCGCTCTCGATGCAAATGCGTCTTGAAGAAAGATCACGAATAGACAGCAGAACTATTGTGTGCTACCTAGACGTAATTTGGAGGCGATTGGAGCCATTGGAGCGAATTTAGGGCCCTTTTCCTTCGGTGGATCTGTCAGGCCGTTTCGCTGGAGTTCCCAACCTTAGTAAACCTTGTCTAGATAGAGAAAACCGTTAACGGTACAACCCATAAAACGGCCATAAATATGCCCATGGACCACACAGGAGAGATATAACACACATTTTATGTAAGGTAAGCTGTTTTTTATTGAAATACTTTCACTTTCGTAGGTTACAGAACAATAGGGTTTTTTCCCCAAACAAATCCGCCTTATATTTCGAATGTCACGCAACAATGCCGTGAGCATTTCGAGCTTGAGCTACCTTACATATAGAGAGAAAACCGTTTACAGTACAACCCATAAAACGGCCATAAATCGGCCCATGGACCACACAGGAGAGATGTAACACACGTTTTAAGCAAGGTAACCTGTTTTTTATTGAAATTTTTTCATTTTCGTACGTAGGTTACAGAAACAACAGGGTTTTTTCCCCAAACAAATCCCTATTTTTTGAAAGTTACGCAACAAATGCCGATTGGTCGCCGATGCTCATATTTCGAGTGGTTACAGGAACAGCTCTTCAACAGGGAATGAAAGCAATATGCGATAAACAATTGAGAGATACGGATCAGTTAAGGTTTCTGAGAAACTGCCCACCTACTCCTCCGCTAACCCAACATTTTGCAAAAAGTGAGAAGTTATTGTTAACGTTGGGTTTGGGGAGGAGTAGGTGGACAGTTTAGCCTGCGATCAGGGAGAGAAGCGACGACCGGAAATGCGTCTGCTGTTCGCAGGCTAATTAGGGGCTGATAACTGATCCAAAGGTATTTTATCAAACCGCCTCTTCAATGACAAAGTGACGGTAAATTCCCCTTTTAAGATTTACTTAACACTTGTGCAGGCCTCCAGTTTCAGTCGCCGAGTCGTCACACACCAAGAAGACGTAAGGTAGGATTAGATGTTTTATCAATCTTTTTTTTTCGATTTGTTGCATTGTCCTTGTCTTAAGTACTCCATAAAATGAGCGCAACGCATTTTTTTATCCTGTTTCTTTTGTTCGCAGTTCATATCTTTAATTTTCTATATTTATCTTCATTTCGGATTCTACCAAGACGGAAGTGTCTCGGGGGTACTCCCCTATAAAAGTGACGGGGGTGCTCGTTGTACCTTTTAGGGGTTTAAATTTGGTACCGCTTAGGGTGGTAAAACCTAAAATGACTGCTGCCAGAGTTGTCTCGATACCTTTTAGGGAAATTCGTCTACACTTGCCATTTTCAGCAAATTGAAATAAACGCGACAAAGATTGAAAAAACGGGAATTCATTTTAAAACTGACGTTTTCGCTGCCGTTGCCGTCGTCGATGCTTTCATATCCAACGCCCGCTCGTGGATTAATTGAATTATTATAAACACTAACAGGTAGCACTATGTACACTGTTACTTTGTTTTGTAAAGAGAAACAGGAAGAGACAGTGGCCTTCCGCTTTTCACATCACAGCAAAGGAATTTATCATGATACTAATGAGTTCAAACCAGCGGTGACGCCCAAAACTATGCTTGACAAAACCTGATTAATGAACAGTTCATTTATTGAAGATGATACATGTATGTGTCTGTTCAGATCAAAAATAAAAAGTTTTGTATCAATATTAATAGCTTCACTGACGAAGACAAAGTGTGCGGCTTTATTATCAATCAACTTAAATAGAAATATAAATCTTATTGCCTTTGGATCCTGTTAGAAATTATCAACTCGCAGCAACTGATCGAACTGTTAAAATGTTACTTGTCAGAAAATCTTTTTGTTCAAAATTCTTTCCGAGGGGAGAAGTTTATTCCAAAGAGCAGTTTTAAATTTTTTTTGCAACAAAAAGATTATACAAAGGTAGGTTACTCAACGAAATTTCAGCTTCCAAAGAGCTTTCAAACCCTATGAAATCCTCATCTAAAGTAGTCCGAAATTCGAGATCATTGGACTGCCGCCATCTTGGAGGACTCCCAGAAGCCTTGTGACTGCCTTTACTGTTTGTGTAATATATTTGTTGGCAAAAAAGAAAAAAAAACTTGCCATTGTGGAATGAAAACGGATTTCTAGTTCAGCAGATATTCTTCAAATAGTAGTTGTCATCCGTCGAGTGATATTTTTTCCGTACTTGCTATGTTTTTAGGCCTTAGTTTGGCCATTTCGCTTCAAATAACATGTGCAATCTTCTGCCATGATCTCCAGCTCTGCCAAAAATAGCTGAGCTACCGCGCCTTCACAGTTCTATAACCTGTCGAGGTTATTGAACCATTTACGTAAATCGTTCAATAATCTGCAAACATCTTCCAAATATGGTCAACGTTCACGAAGAATTAACCGAGGGATTATTCTAATCAGAAAGAGATATTTTGAATGAATATTAACCCACATTATATCTAAGTCGATGATTTGTTGAGCCGTATGGAAATAGAGTATAGCTTCAGTACATGATGTAGTGCAATTTGCCCTAAGTTAAACTGGAACAGGAACTTTAACAGTCAGGTCACAAGAATTAAATAGGCTAGTAGTAACATGTTTGCGTAAACATCAAGCACGAAGGGCCACTGTAATTTTTCAGTACAAAAATAACAAAATTATTAATACTGTCCAATTCCACTAATACTATGTATCTGAGTAACCCGCCCCCACACCTCTCCCCTGGGATTGAACAACAATGAATCTACTTCTTTTTGATTATTGTGCTAGATGCCTCTTTTACAGTTGGTCAGGTTTTTATATTGTTTCTTTGTTTTGTTTGGTCTTTATGTTAACCTTTCAAATAGGCGATTTAAAAAGAATTTAAATAGCCTATCTCAGAATTCTTCGACACAATTTTAATAGTTTAGGGTTCTGTATGTATAGCTTTCCTAGAGATTCCCATCAGAATAAGTACGTTGCTTGTCCACTAGTTTACATCTGGTCTGTCATTATTATTACATTTCATCAAAAGATCATTTGAATGTGCAAAAAAATAAGGGTAATTTTTGGGGAGATGAACAATACGGTAACTTATGTCCCTGAATTTTATGTTCTTGTTGAGATTTTGGTTACATGGTAGGAAAATGGCCGTTGCGCTATCATAGGTTTGTCTTCTTAGAGAAGTAAGTCTTTTATACGTTAAATAGCATTCGGTAATTACCGGTAGTTGAATATTCTGTTTTCCTTCCAGTCTGTGGTGATCTAATATGACTAGCACGACAAAATAACGCAAAATTTCCAGCAACTGTAGGGAAAAATTGTCAGTGCTACCTAGAAGCATACTCTAATGACTAGATAAAATGTGGGCTATTACTGTTGAAATTTTTAAGAACAGATTTTGAAACAAAACGATATTTTCACGTGCAACATTTTAATAGTTCTAGGTAAACGGATCCCAAAAAATGCTTTTCCATTTGATATAATTATCTGACATTCCTTGATCTGAACAGAGGTATCATTTTGAATAAATTTACGTTCATTTATCAGGTTTTGTCATTTTGTTTGTTTGTGTTCTCTTTTAAACTTTAAATCCTTTGTAAAAGCAATACTTGTATGTAAGCAGGATTTTAAAAAAATAGTTTTGAGTGTCAATGCTGGTTAGAGTTTGATTTGTTTCGACACTGCCTCTGCTAGAAGGTACAAAGCACAAATAAACACAGTGTTATGATTCCAAGTTCCTTTTTAAAAAAAATGTTGTTTGGGGGAACTAGTATGAACCATAAACGATACAAAACAATGGAATTTTAGGAACAAACCAAATACTACCCGTAAACATTTTCATCAATTGATATTTATTATCCTAAAAGGCGTAAAACATATAGTTTTTGAAGAACTCAGGTGTAATAATGAGCAATTTATCTGAGAATACAATTTATCTGATTTTATTATGTTTATCTACACCTATTTTAACGAGTTGTTTGAACCAGTTAAAATAGGCTCCGTTCTTAGGCCGACTCTGGGACCTAAACTCGCCTTAACTCGCCTTAACTCGCCCTAACTCGAATACCGGAAATTTTGGTTGAATGGATCGTGCCCAATATGTCATCCCACTCTCAGGATAATTTCACAATTAATCCACAAAGAGAAGACACCAAAAAAGAGGGATTTCAAAAATTATAAGCAATAGGGATTTGTAAGTCCCATCCTTCTGGAATTTCAATAGCCTCTGTGGTAAGGGTGTTTCACCACTAAGATTTGATGAGGGCTTGCTTAGTACTTAATGGACAGCCAATGGAACTACCAGGAAAACAACCTGAACATGCACAAACTTGTTACCTAACAAAAGGCTACAATGCAAAGCATGGCACGCCACAAATTGAGTGACATTAAGTAAAAAATGAAACAATAAATTTACTTATACTTCTAAGCGAGACAAAACAATACAAAACTGTAATAACAGAATATATATATATATATATTTTCTTTTAAGCTAGCTAGCTAATGATTTACAGTAAAGTTTGATGTTGTGGAAAATTTTAAAATTAAGCTACATTACTTTCCAAATGTATAATGTATGCAAGCTGTTTATGATAATGAAAAGCAGCAGCATAATTATCATCTTATAATCTGATGAAACTTAATGAGAATTCTAGCTGACAATGAAAGTCTGGGATGTAGCCAGAATCCTTCAAATACTCCACATTCTGATGGCAGTCCATATTTCTTGATTATAAAGTTACCTGGTACTAGAAGATCTGTGTATTGCTTTCACATGACATCCTGTTTGGCTTACATTGTAGTCAAGCTGGCGACCATAAGCCACCAACATGACTTTATTTTATCTCATCAATCTCCATTTGCAAGAGATTAAAATGGCATGAAAAACCAAACAGTTTGGCTTTCAGAGCAGCTAATTTCTTCTAGAAAAATAGCATTGTTAAAAATTATTAAAAAAAATAGAACAAAATGAACTGCTAACTACTGTTACTACTACTATTTAAAATATTATGTTTATCTACACCTATTTTAACGAGTTGTTTGAACCAGTTAAAATAGGCTCCGTTCTTATTTTCTAAGGTAGAGAGTTTCACAATAAGAAGTGGTAGCAGGTTAACACAATGAAAATATATCAGTTCCTCAAGAGAGTAGACCGGTTCGACGCAAAGTTAAAAAATCTTTAAGGTACCTGGGGTTGAAATTGTTACGCAAACATTTATAAAATGATAATTAACATATTTTGTACTCTTAAATTGTAGAGTGAGGTAGTTGCTGCTCTGTCTAATAACTGATAGTATGTTGATTCCCTATGTTGATTCCCGCTTGTTTAATGACTCAAATTTGTCGTTATTCAGGTCTAGAGCTACAAAAGTGCCATACTGCAGAACAACAAAAAAATGCGGCATAATAAAGGCCTTAAACAAATTTGACATGGTGCCGGGAGATGTTGACAACCTTGAGGAATCTTATGATGACATTCAGATGATTGTTCACACAATAAATTTTTCCGCTAAAGAAAGAACACTTTTTTCCCCTTTTTCCAGAAAATCATTCAGTATTGTCGATCATGGCTTAACTCCGACTGTTTACCTAAAAACGTATCTTTCAGTTGGTGTATATGTTGTGGTTCAATTTTATCCTTGGTTTAAATTATTTTTTCTTTTGTTTTTGGGTATGGCAATATATGATGATGTGTTTGAAACAATGGAAAATAAAAGTTAAACCAAGGATGAAATTGAACCACAATATATATCAGAAATGTGATAGTTGCAGTCAAGAGAGGATAAAGGGGACAGAGAAGGCATCCCCCATACACACCCTATTCCATTGGTAATTCGTCTCGAGTTATTTTTAGAATCGGGATACGGTTACCTTGCGCGCTGCGTGGATGTTTCGTGGAGGTTTCGCGTGACTAAACGCCGTGCAAAACATGTCGGACGAACGGCAAAGAAAGCGTAAAGAGATCGAATAAATATCAAACCAGAAATTGCTCTCTTCAAACGGTAAATTATAAATGATCCTGAGAGAATATTCAATGTGTTAAGGATTTTCCTGCTGTACTGTTAACTCTGTACAAGAGAGGAAGGGCGATTCTTTCTTAATTTCCGTTTCGCTGACACAGCTTTGGCAGGAGTCTCTCTGTAGTCGTTTTCGTCGACGAAACGAATATAGAAATATCGCTCTTCGCGTCTTCCGCCATTTTGTTCTGCGTCAATTCGTGAAGAACCCTTGGCTCTGAGCGTGGGTAATCTACGCTGAACACATTCGCGTTACGTGATTGGCTGTTGTCTAATCCCCTTTGGGATCTGTGGTCTTGAAAATAACTCGAGACGAATTACTTATGGAATAGGGTGTGTATGGGGGATGCCTTCTCTGTCCACTTTATCTTCTCTTGTTGCAGTTCATCAATTTAGAACCTTAGAAGCAGGCCTAAGAATCGAATTTTTCCTCCTTTCTACTGTTGAAACCTGGTTGGCAACAAACATCGAAGCTTCTCAAAATTTGTACCAATTTGTTGCTATCTTGACTAGAACGTGTTATGTAACTAACTGGGTAGAAAACTGTTCATAAACATGTACACATGTGGTTTGGCATTGGGCAAATGCGGTTGACTGACTTATCGTCGAAAAGTGGTTTCCCATTTAAAAAATCTTAAATTGCATTTGCTACTAGTTGCTTTTCTATTACATTTATGGTTAAAAGTGTGACATTTATGGTGAGTCAGGTTATTATATTTAAGATTAGTCATTCATTACATTTATGTTTTTTTACAGTTGAAAACGTGCGATTCTTTTTTCTTTTTTTTTTTTTAACTTGCTGCTGCCTCAAACTCTTTATATTTTTAGTATGAAAAGCACTAGGGACAGAGCTAAGAAGGTGGTGAAAGACAAGGGAGCTGTTATTGCAAGGGAAGTGGCCAATAAAGGAAATGAATACGTGTGGAAAGAAGTTGGCGCCCACGCATCTGCCGATGCCGCAACATTTTCGCATCATGCCCATGATTCTGCAACAGCGACTGAGTTTATAGGGATAAAAGTGGCTCATGCTGAGGCTGGTGCTGGGGTAGCAAAGGCGGCAGCAAGTGCCTCTGCGAACCCTCTTCAAGCAAAAGCAGGGGCTGGTGCCTATGGACCGAATGCAGGTGCCAAAGCAGCTCTAGTTGAGGGGATCGTCGAGGCTAATGCAGAGGCTTACGTGGGAAAAGCAGCAGCCGAAGCTGGCGTTGGCATCGAGCATTTGGGAGCCTATGCTGCAGCTGAAGCTGTGACTGCAAGGGCTGGTGCCGGAATCGCCCACACTCCGCTTCAAGCTCATGCCCAGGGACCCGCAGCAGGAGCAGAGACTGGAGTCTCCTGGGACTATGCAGGGGGAAACGTGTCTGCCTCACTCGGGGAGGCCAGGGCCGGGCCTTTTGCTGTAAGAGCCGGTGTCAAATTCGGTGCTGGGATTAGAAACGGAGTTCCAGAGTTGGACGTTGGTCCAATCTCTGTACCCTGCTCTGTAATGTGATCCCCCTCCTCCTTCAATTAATCCACCGGGGCATTATTATACAATGCATCTACTTCTTTTCGATTATTGTACTAGATGCCTCTTTAACGACTGGTCAGGCTTTTATATCGTTTTTTGTTTTGTTTGGTCTTTATGTTAACCTTTTTAATTCGGGACTTAAAAAGAATTTAAATAACATATCCCAGAATAGCCACGTTCGATATATTAAAATTCTAACATGACTCCGAGGCCTTAGGGACAAAATGGCAAATTTTTGTTGACTCCATTGTGTCGGAATTCCCAGAAGAGACTTGAGCACAAAGAAAACCAAACCAAATATATAAAAATGATCAGAAAGCCTCGGAGTCATGTTAGAATTTTGATGTATCGAACGTGGGCTATTCTCAGGCACAATTAATAGTCTACTACCTAGAAGGTATACTCTACTTGCACACCGCTTATTTTAATGAAGTATTGACTAGATAAAATGTGGGCTATTACTTTTGAAATTTTGCGGAACAAATTTTGAAACAAAGAGATATTCTCACATGCAACATTTTAATAGTTCCATTTTGTTGCAAGTTGGTTTAAGCTAGATAACTCGGTCCAAAAAAAGTGCTTTCTATTTGATATAATTATCTGATACAACATCCATACCTTGAACAGACATACTCTTTTATCATCTTAGATAAATGTATTGTTCATTTATCAGGCTTTGTCATTGTTTTTTACTTTTTAAGAGCGCTCTCCGTAAGAACAGACCAGTGATTGGCGGATCAAGTAATTAGTTTTCTATATATTCTGGGATATTAAACTCTTAACCTATCTAGTTACAAAAATGTATTTTGTTTGACCGAAAATGCGGAATATTACTTTTTACGAATTTTTGAATTGTAGGCCGGTTGGACCGGCGCCATAGCCTTTGAAACTGCAAAAATCGCCTACATTGCCGGCGCTACAAGAAAAAAAGCACACCTCGCTGAAGAAGCGCGACTTTCTTTTTAATATACGCAGACACCACTCTAGATTTCCTAGCCATATCACAGTTCCCCTGCATTTTATTCATTAGCGATTTATAAATTTTTGCTGCCCTTTTGCTGCCCCCCAAAAAGGTATGATTCTCCTCAGACACCACTACTCATCTTAAAACGGTAATCAACGCACTTATTTTACATGTAGTTGGAATTGACAGCCGCTCGTACTGAAGATGATTAAGTGATCAGTGGTCGGTGATCAATGAGTGTAACAAAGCAGTTTTCAATCAAAACGTTATTTCAACGTTTTGGGTGGTTACAATACTCAAAATATTCCAAATCATCACGACTAATACTTGTGACGAAATTAAACTATTAGATTTTTAAGTCTTAAGTTATTCGGTGTGACATCATTCTGAATGGGAGTTATTGCACCCATTTTGATTGGGGCGTAACAAAACTGTTTTCAATCAACACGTTATCTCCACGTTTGGGTGGTTACAATACGTTGTAGTTCAGCTTTCCGAGGTCTGGACTTGAGATTTCGGATTTCAGTACGTAGACTGATACTTCCAATGCTTGGCTTAATGACTAAAACTAGTAAAATGTCAGCTGGTATGCATTTGGGGTTGCCTGGTTAAAGGCAACAGGGGGGTGGGGATGTTCTAAAAAGCATGCTTTGTGCTGGATTCTTGGATTTCCTGAAATTTCCACCGGAGCTTATCCCTATTTTTCAAAGGTCAGTGTCTTCTTCAAATTGAGGGGGGCGTTGTGTCTAGCTGGGTGACATCTTGTTGCAGAGACACAGGGCTATCAGCTGGTATGCATTTTGGGTAGCCTGGTTAAATTCCAGGTGGGTGGGGTTGGTTTGTTTTAAAGTTTGATGTGTTACCGCAATGGGGTGCAGTTTTTTGTGCAGTTTGCATGCAAGCGATGAAACACTGTTCAAAGTCAGCAAGTAGTTAAATTGACGGTTGTAGGACGGTCGTCTCTTTGAGCAATGTTGTTTTGGATTGTATTCAGGAGACCAGTGGCAATGATAAATGAGGTGAATTGGAGAAATGGCTTTGCAATCGGTGTGCTCAAAGTGTCTTGAGCAGTAATGAACGCCATATAAATGTCAAAATTTTCAGGACAACGAGGAAATCTTCACTTTTCACACCTTTAAGGCAGAGGTTTCTATCAAGTGGAAGCTCGTATATTCAAAACAACAATTTCTTTTTGAGGTGAGATTTTTCTTTTCAAGTAAGAAGGGCCATTAAATTACCAATCAGTGCGAGTGACTGACATTTTTTAGCAGCCCGGTTTTCAAAAGAAGAAACAGGTATGTATAAACTTCGTGCATTACGAGGTAATGTTAGGAGCCATTGACTATTTGCCTTGCTTCCCGGTTTTCAATCGACACAAGCCAGTGACAGTTTACCTTGAGATGTTACACGGTAAAAATCTTTCAGGATTATTCTCTGAAAATGATGTGCTATGAAATAGAAAATCGCACGTTTTGTTAACTGACAGTAACACAGATATTTTAGTATTTTGAACTTCGTTAATTAATTGTAAAATGAAGCTGATTTAAACTTTATGCGTACGCTTTATGAGCTTGATAACTTTCTTAACGCCGTTAACTTTGATACTTCTTGGTTACCATGCATGAGGTAGAACTGCTATTTGTCTACAGACATGCTCACATGAAACCTTGTCTTCAGTTCACCACTGTCTAGTGCTATGGTCTCTCTCAATCTGTCCCATGAGCCTCAGCTCTTCGTCACTATAAAAGATTCCAGTTGTCCACTTTTCTGCGCATGTGCTGTTGCCTTGATTTAGTTGGCCAAATGGCACTTTTGAAGGGCCTGCCGCCATGGGTCTCAAGTCATCTCCATTAGTAACAGAAAAAGTACTGCTACGATTGATATCTGGCAAGTTAACGTGTGAGACCGCAGTCAATTTTGAAGGAAGGACTTCAGGCAACAGATCAGGGAATACCTCCGCAACTAACTCTTCGATAGTGCAATCCTCGGGCATTTTACATACTGTAGGACGTGATCCATCCACAGCTGCATCTTTCTTCCTCGCTTCCGTAACTCTTTGCTTCGATTTTTTCTCAATGTGCACGCTGTCATCAGAGAAAGCTCTCTTCGTCTTTTGCTTTGACGGAAGGCTAGTCGAGTTAATAACCGGAATTTGCAAAATCTCTTCGATGGCCTTAGCTAGCATTATGTCATCGAGATGGTCTTGTTCATCTGTGGGCGGCCTTGTAATAGGGCGTGCTGGCGTCCCGGGGGTAAAAATGTACTCATTGGCTTTGTTGGAAACAACACAGACTGCTTCTTTTGAACGGATATTTTTGTCACTCACACATTTTCGGGATAACTTTCTTGGTAAGACCAACAAATTTGAAGCTCTTCCTAGGGCATTAGAAACAAAATCCCCAAGGTCTTCTTCAATTATCGTGTCCATGCAAGTAGCTGCTTTAATGTCATCGTCGTTCTCCGGTTTTCTCATCGCATTTACACTTTGGGGACGTGAAGTTCTTCCACTTGACGTATTTTCTGTGAACTGTTCCTTAATTTGAATGTATTCGATATCCTTTGCCAACTGCCTTTCTTCTACCCCAGTTGGATTCTTTACTACAGCCTTTTTCCCACGCCGACCTGCACCGTTCCTGGGCGCTATCATTTCAGTTGAGCCAAAGCCGCCGACTTCTTCATCTAAAATCTGGTCAATATCTCTGGACAACATAATATTGTCGGTAAAAGTAGGTTTTCGCGTCGAATCCTTCTTTTTCCGGCGTGGAATTGCGCTATGGCCTAAAGTCATTGAAGTCGGGACAGAGTCGTCAGCAAAATTGTCCGTCACATCCGTAGCCAGGGCGAGGTCACGAGGCTCCTCGTTATCTCGAAAAAAGTAGTTATTTTTTGTATGTGGAATTAAACCATCATTATACCTCTTTAGTTGACCATCAGGCTTGGGAATATCATGTTGTAAAATATTCATGTCATCTGCAATGGTGAGGTCATATTTACTGAAGCTCTTTTGTTTTGGACCAATTTTCGGTAGGGGTGGTGCAACGGAAATCAGTGAAGATGCACCGATTTGTCTTAATTCTTCTGTAGGAGTGTCATAGCAAATATCCTGTCTTAAACTCAATTTTTGGCTGCTGTGACTCTCACTTCTGAAATCTTTACCAGAACGTCTTCCATCGCCATTTTCCCTTATAGTCACAGGATTTGCGATTGGAGGACCAAAATCGCAATCTCCCCATAAACCGTTTCGAATAATGATGTCTTCTTCGTCGATTGTACCCGGATGTCTACCGTTTGATATATTTCCACGCTGACCGGTCTGTGGAAAGCCATCATTAAAGCATTCTCCGCGGTAAATTTCAAATTTCTGCTCCTGTGGAAAAGTCTGGCTAGAAGCTGAATTTTCCATAAATCGCTTTTTTGGGGGTCTCCCGTAGGAGATATTTCTTGCGTTTTGTTCTTTTGTTCCATATGCCATTGCAGTTACTTGGCGCTCGGCCGTCATGGACGCACGTTCGAAATTTCGTAAAGCTGAAAATGAACTCGAACACCTTTTAACAGAGGTCTTTCGCCGTAAAGGATACATAACCGGTAACTTTGAAAAGATCTGTTATATCCCAAGATCAAGCAAAAGAGAACATTTACCATAATTATAATTTGAATTAGCCATCGTTTATTACGTATCTAACTTATCGAAAAGAATTAGAACGCATTAGAATAAAGTTTGCGCGCGCCAATGAAAGACCCTCCATAACACCAGATTGGTCCCGACTGAGGATTGAATCAATTAACTTGTACTTTGGGGATTTACATTATATTCTACAAGCGATGGAATTTTATGACGTCAACCGGTAAGCGTTTTTTTTGTTTCTCTTTTTTAAAAGCTATTTCATATTTTCATGAAATAGAAACAAGCAAATAAGACCGTAAAAAGTCGACGTTTCGGTGTGATCGTAAATTATGCCCATGTATTGAACGAGAGTTTTGAAACTCTTTAAAATACTTTCAACTAATTTGATACCGTATATAGTGTTGATTATGGCGCTATGATGACGCCGAAATGTCTTTTTTTTTCCGCGCTTTTTTGACTAAATCACCTAGGTCAAAAGTAATTCAAATGCTTTGGTCATTTACACACGTACGAAGATTAAAAAGTGAAGGAAAAAGTAGCCTGCAATCTGTAATATATTTTAAACAGTCTGGATGAAAAAGATTTTAGACGTGCTTGTCTCCGTGGCGCAATTGGTTAGCGCGTTCGGCTGTTAAGCGGAAACAAGAGAGGATGAAAGGACTTCCAACCCCTCTTGGAAAGCAACCGAAAGGATGGTGGTTCAAGCCCACCCGGGGACGCTTAATGTTTTTTTTTCTCTTGACAGTGCCTGCAGGACATAATCCTCTTCTGCATTAACGCATCTAACACATTGCTAAAAGAACTAACGAAAGATAACCAGCTTTTAACACAACATGAACAGCTAGCTAACGTTGTCCGAGTATTTGTTCTCACTTTGTAGTTCCAATAAGTGATTACGATCTAACCCTCGCCCAAAAGGGTTTGAAAGGCTATAAAGAAAGAGAACAAAAACACAAGGTAAGTCATCCCCCCCCCCCGAGTTTAATTTTGCCGAGAGGCAGAAATTAGGACGTATTATACTTATTCTCATGAATTCTCTTGTTCATGGAGTCTGGGTGGTCTATGGAGGTGGAGATTAAACTAATGCATTATGGCTTAGTACTAATAAAACTGAGAACATCTTAAAATGCTTTTAGTTCCACCACCAAAGGAGGAGTCTTTATTTATGACCTTTCAACAGTTGACAGGAGCCTGCTCCTGCAGTTTATTAAATCAGTGTACTTCATTTTTTTTTCTAATACTATCATGTAAAGTCTCTTAATACATCGTCAGGACTCAATTTAACCTGGAAATACACCCGCCTTTCATCGCTCCGAGGCTGTACTCACAAGCTAGACTCAAAGGACCTGTTTTAAACAAGGAGGAGGGGGGGGGGGGGGGGGGGGCGGTCAATACAATAGCTGAAAAATACAAAAATATATATCGAAGACAGCCTTTGGGTACAAGTTTTTTACGCACTATATTGAAAAGATTAAGAATTTGTATTTGTTGATCATTTCTTTTCATTTACCATGACCTTTTTGATTGATCTAAATCGATCGATATCGACCACCGGTATCTATGTGGAGAAATTAGCCCCTCATCACTAAGAGAGATCAAAAGACTAATTAAGGCGAAAAATTCTCTTATGTTATTCTTTGGACTTCCTTAGATATTTACAATTTTTTCTATTTCTCAGTAATTCGCTGTTTTTAAATATCACATTTTTGGAGAAGAAAAAGTTCACTAATGCATTAAAAGTACTTATTATCCATTCAAAATATTTCCCCAATTCTGATTGGCTCAAAGCACAAGCATGATTCACCATAATCAGTTACTGATGACCAAATTTGGAAGAATTTTGTGTTTAACGAAGAAATGACGTCAAAAATGCAGCCCGCTTGCTACAGGTTAAGGCACCGTTACCGAAAAGATCTGGGGACGAGGTTGAGTTGTTTTGGTTGTGAAAACAAAAATGGCGGACACTTCACATGTTCACTCCTTTCAAGAGTAAGAACCACAGCTGGAACTAGGCAAAATATAGCTAAAAACATAGCAAAAACAGCAAGACAACTCGGAGGGCGACATCAGCTATTTGGAGAATATTTGCGGAGCTGGACAAACCTAAACGTACACTATCGAAGTTGAACTTAACATCGATGCAGGTAAGCATGTTTTAGCTATGTTTTAAAACTAGGAATTATTTTGAATGAATAATAAAGCTATTAATGAATTCGGCTTTCGTAGGATATGAAGAATTAAGAGATATACTCAGCCTCATTCATTAGTTGCTAATTAAAAAGCTCTTTCAATATTCAGTTATTCACTAGGAACAACCGAGATTAGTTCATTTTAAATGTTTTTAAAAATTTACAGGCTAACTTCGACCCTTTCACACCCACTTAATACGTTGAAGTCCTGTTAATGAAACAGCCTGTATCGTCCTGACCAGGATTAAACTTGACGACATATTGTTTCGGAACCACTTCAAAGCCACTATCCTCGGCTGTGTGAACCTTCGGCTTTTGCTCGGTTCCCGGGACCAACTGCAAAAGATCTGAACTCCACACAGCAAGTCGCCCGTCCCGAGATCCCGGTCCCGAAATGACATGTCCGTAGTCTGTTAGGCACATAGCACGCACACGGTCTTCATGCAAGAGCAATTCCTGCAATGAAATACACATATTTGTTATACAGCAGGAAATTTTTTCCCTCGACAACATTTCCTAATATTGGTTATTCCGAGGTCGCATCTCAGCTAATCCCCTAAAAGTTTCTGAGAGGGCAATATCGCAAAACTTATAAATTCAAAGGGTAACAACAGTGCAATATCTAGAATGTTACCTACTTCCTGAGATATAGGCTGTGTTCACACGGCACACTGAGACAATTTTTGACCGCCTAAAAGTTTGACAGGACACATCACATGGAACCATTCGCTCTCTTCTCACGGAACTGACGAACCAAGTTGAATTTAAACCTTTCCCAGTCAGTGGTTTTACCATCTGCCCATGCGCAGGGCGTTACTTTGAAAATCTCGCAGGTGATTTACAACGCATCCATGCAACCACGCCTTTGTCTTTCAAGAAATTTAGACGGCCATGGTGTTTATACTGCGCCGGTCAAACTTTCAATCGTACCGCCTAAAACTTGAGCTCGATTCTCGCGTTCAAATTTTTGAAAAGCTAGTCGCCTAAACGTTCGTTCGGTTTCGCTGGTTACGTGTGAACAAAAACCCCAAGCGCACAATTTTCATCGAAAATCCGTCCGGTGCCATATGAGGGACACATTGAGATACTTGGGTAACGAAATTAACTCGTTTCTCGAGGGACGGGTATTAATTAAAAAAAGAGGTTCTAAAAGTATTTTTTACAAGACTCCTACAGACAGATCATATGAGGGGAGAGGCCAGTTAAAGGATGGAAAATAAAGAATTAATCATCTGTATTTAGAAGGCATATAATACCTTTTCAACTTTAATTTTCTTAGCGTCTAGGACATAAATGACGCCACTTTTGCTTCCAGCCCACACCTGCAAGATGACGAAGCGATGAATCAGTCAATAGCTCGGTCTAACAATCACTCTGTCAGTAATTCAATCAATCACTTCAAGAATCCGACAATCAACTGGCTTTCCAAGTCAGTCAGTCAATCAGTCAGTCAGTCAGTCAGTCAGTAAGTAAGTACGTAAATCAGTCCGTCAGTCAGTCAGCCAGTCAGTTAGTCAGCCAGCCGGCCAGCCAGCCATCCAGTGAGTCACTCAATCACTCACCCACTCAGTCAGTTACCCAGCCACTCAGGGGGCCAGTCAGTGGGTTAGTGAGTCAGTCAGTCAGTCAGTCAGCCAGTCAGTTAGTCTTACATGTCGGCCATGTTTAGTGAGTAAATCGGTCAGAGATGTTTACTTTACACTGTTACTGACTCAGTCAGTCAGACGATCAGTCAGTCAGTCAGTCAGTGCAAGTTGAGCAAGTTTCAACATAATTAACAATCAATCTTTGATTTCACTCGTAGAGCTCTACCTTTTGATCAACCCGCATCAAATACGTGAAGCCACCGCACTTGCATAGATCGGGGTAATGTTCGTTTTGATAGGTTTTAGTGTTCCAGACGACTATGTAACCTTTCCTGTCGCAGGCAGTCCACACCTAATATTGACAAAAACAAAACCTAATTGTGAGTACAAATGGGCAAAGAGAATTTCAGTCAAGAAAAAGCTAGAAAGAATCGTGACCCAGTTTGCTCACAGGAATAGATAATCAGCAAGATCCACGCATTGTTTACCCAACCATTTATGGATGATTTTTGGCGAGTGATTTGTGGTGGGCAAGTAAATGACAGTCTGTCATTCCACGATGTATGGAGTAACACTCACCTGAGTGTCAGAGACAGCACACATACAGTCAATACTCATCGGCTGATCGTTCTGTGGGGTCAGTACTTTGGCGTCTTCATAACCCTTCGCGTAGTTAACTACATAAATGGAAAACTTGGTGGCTATTGAAAATATAAGACAGTACTGTTAAGAAGAGCTGAAGAACACAGTACGTTAATAAAATAACTAAGATAGTACACGCGTTCTGATTGGTTAAAAAACTATGGTTTATTGTGCCGGTAACCTCATAGTTTTACTTAAAGTTATTTCATAAAAGCAATAGACTACACTTTCTACGGGTTTACCGGCGTGATAACCCAGTTGAGATGTTGGGGGAACACTCGAAAAGCTTGTAAATCACGAGCCTTCCGCTTCGAGCCTTTGGCATTATGAAAGCGTACTTTTTATAGAAACGAGGACTTGTCCACAACTTGTCAGTGTCGGCAACATAAACTAAACCCGTTGTCAACGCAAATTAACATCTATTGTGTAATGACCAATCAAACGCCTGCGTTGCTGGTACATCGCGCTCCGTGAGCGCGAGCTGCAGTGATGTTATTACTGAGTCCGTCTATTTTTCTCGCCCTTCTCCCCCTAGAGCTCATGTACAATCTCCGACGCCCGCCCCCTAGGTACATTTGAAAATCAAGATGGTCGCCATTAACGGTAAGACACGCTATATCTCGACCATGTCACGGAAAAATAGGGGACTGTGAACAGTCTAGGAGTGAGTAAGATCCTCACTTTCGCATTCTTCGATTCGTAACTCCATGAACTACGCGTAGAATGGGTATAACGTTTTGGCGCCAAGATTGCTGGGATTATTTGGGTGGACAGTATAAAAAAGGATTAAAAAAGGATTGGTTAATGTTGATTTTGTTTACCATCGACTACTCATGACTAAGGCAATAGTCGCGCAAACGATCCCTGAAGCCGTTGCCAAGAAAGCGTTTATAGGTTATAGGTTATGAAGTGGCGAAGTAATTGTCGGGTATTTAACGTCACAAAAAGTTGGATGTATTAGTTCTTCTTTTTTGGATAAAAATCTGGATTTTAATGTACTGACATGGTTAAATGAATAGCAATACAGGGCATTATTGTGACACCTACCACACCAGAACGTCTCTCCAACGGCACAAAACCAGTGAAGGGTTTTCTCGTCTTTCCTGCCTACTTTGACCTCAAGCTACGAAGACAAAAACGCGAATCATAATAATTTAAAGTACCGCCAGTATAAAATATTAGAAGAAATACCTCCTCCTTCCCCCTTTGTTCAAGAAAGTAAAAATTAGCGGGGCTGACAAGCGAAAAAAAGTTCGGGAAATGAAAGAGTAGGAAATAGAGAAATAGAACGCAAGGAAGAAAAATTAGTAGCTGGAGACTAGATTTCTTTCCCTTTGTCCAAAGCTAGCAACGTGATAAATATCAAGTGCCTCTCAGGTAATTGCTGAGAACATCAACTTGATCATCTTTCTTCAATGATTACCATGCAGGGCACTTTGGACAAAGTTGCAGTTTCCAGTGCATAAGAAGAGCAAAAAAATCTTGTCGGATTTTTGTGGTGTCCTAACAGCTTACCGCCGTATCATTTAGGAATAACTTAGCTAAGACCTGAAACACTGTCTTCTAAACACTTGTCAACACACCAAAAGTGCACTACTTAAAAATTACTCATGAGTCTTCTTCTCACCTCCTTTTTAGCTGTAAGAGTCACAGGATCCCAGCCTATAATCTGGCCATTCGAGCTGGCGCTCCACACGGTGGTGTGCCTGTGGAATGACCACAAAATAAGATAAAAAGACACTGCGACAATCCTTCGGGACTCTGGTAAATTGTCGCTAAAAACAGAGCGGCGGCTCAATACAACTTCGACTGTAACTACGATCTTTATAGACAAAACATCGATTGCTTGTATCTCATCTAAATCACAATACTGAAAACTAAAACGTAACAAACAACTTCCCTTTGCCGTAAACCTAACAAAAATGAAAAACCTGGGACTCCAAAGGGCCATTTTATCGTCCAGGTATACCTACCTATCATCCATCCGTTAAATAACAGAAATTGATAATAATAATAAAAAAAAAACAAGAACACATAAACTAATAAAAAGGATGAGGCGATATCAACAAGCAAAACAGAACACGTTGTTTTGGGATCACGAAAAAGATGAAACTTTCAGCTCATTTAAGAATGTCTATGATTTTTTAGTGCATCGCATTTTCCATTTATAATACAATTTGAATATAAATGCGCACGAGATGTGTGAAAGACTTTGCGTCTGTGTACAATCACAATTAATCAAATAAAGAAATATAAACTTACCCCTGTTTATCTCGTATTTCTATCATGTGTGAAAGACTGTCTCTATGACCTAACAGTTGCTGATCGGCTAAAGAACAAAAATGTGGAATCAGAAAAATACTTGACCGCAATGGACAATGCATCAGTACAGACATATTAGTCAGTATTCCACTTCACTCAAATGAGAAGGGCACTAATCGTGGCATCCTATAACACTCACATATTACATGTAATGTATTTCGCTTCATTCTAACGAGATGGGACTTAACCATGTCATCCTACAATGCTCACACATAACCGTATTCCATTTTACTCACATGAGATGGGACCTAATTGCGTCATCCTATACTACTCACACATAACCGTATTCCATTTTACTCACATGAGATGGGACCTAATCGCGACATCCTATACTACTCACACATAACCGTATTCCATTTTACTCACATGAGATGTATGTATGTATGTAAATCTTTATTTAAACACGGGAAATCATCAGTTAAGCTTAAGTTAAAAACTAAAACTAATTACAACTGCTTTACATGATTGCCGTGTGGGAATCCGATATATCAGCTACCTTCTTGATATTTCGCTTAAAATGCTCAACGGATGCAGCGTTTTTTAAGTTTTTGGGCAAGTTATTCCATAACATGGCCCCGCTGTAAGAGAAGCTTCGTTTCAAATAATTGGTGCTTGGTTTGGACAAGGTCAGCCTTCCCTCAGAGTTTCTTAAGTTGTAAGCAGAGTGACGCTGAGAGAAAAGACTTTGCAGATATTCTGGAGCAAGGTCATTCATGGTTTTATACATCATTACGGCTTTTTGTTTCTTTCGTCGAAGAGATAGCCTCTCCCAGCTGAGGGTGGAGAGAAGGTGGTTTGAGCTCGCATCAAAGGGTGATTTAGTAATAACTCTGGCTGCACGATTCTGTAATTTTTGGAGCTTATCACTCAAGTAACCACTCAAACAGTCCCAGACGGGGCTGCAGTAATCAAAATGAGGCATAATTAAAGCGTTATAAATTTGAATTGCAGTTTCTTTGGATATAAAGGGCCGCACACGTTTTAGGGCGCCTATAGCTGAAGAGACTTTCTTGCAAATCTCTTCAACGTGTTTACCCCAAGAGAGTTGAGCATCTATGGTAAGACCCAAGGATTTGGTATGATCGACTCTCTTAATAATTTGGTCATCAATTCTGATTTCTACATCGTCACATTGGGCAGATAGTCTTTGTCTTGATCCAATAATCATTAGCTCTGTTTTAGCAACATTTAGACTGAGCTTGTTAGCTTTCAGCCAACAGCTAAGGTTATTTAATTCAGGGGTTAGAGCTAGCTTAAGCTCTGTTAACGTCTTAGCAGATAACGTAAGGTTGGTGTCATCGGCAAACATTCTTGGTACGGCGCCCCGCAGGGAGTTGGGAAGATCATTAATGTAAATTAAAAATAGCAAAGGACCCAATATGCTACCCTGCGGCACGCCGCAACTGAGGGTACGAGCAGATGATAGTTTGCCACTGACATTACATCTTTGGGTTCGGCCACTTAAGTACGACGAGAACCATTTTATAGCTGCCTGATCGACACCCAAGTACGACATCTTACGCAAGATGATCTCATGATCAATGGTGTCGAATGCCTTAGTAAGGTCAATAAAGACAACGCCATTTAGAAGGCCATTGTCGATGTTTACTGACCAAGCATTTGTTGCCTCAAGCAAAGCCGTGAGCGTACTATGTAGAGAACGGAACCCTGATTGGCAACCTAGTAGCAATTTATTATCATCTAGATAATGGAAAAAGTTGATTATAAACAATTCTTTCAAAAACTTTCGAAATTATAGGGATTACAGATATCGGCCTGTAGTTGTTAGGGTCCGATTTAATGCCCTTTTTAAAAAGTGGAGTCACTTTGGCTGTTTTCCAATCGTTTGGATATATCCCAGTGAGAATAGACTTTGAGAATATTGAGGTAAGAGAGGGTGCGACGATATTAGCAGCCATTTTCAACAATTTACTCGGAATCATATCAAGACCGGTGGCTTTCTTTTCATCAATTTTCGACAAAACGTTAGAAACAATATCAACACTCGGAATTTGCAGAGAAAACGAATGATCAGTGGGCTTTAAATAAGACTCAGGATTAACATCGACAACAGGAATATCTTGTGCTAATACTTGCGCAACGTTTGTAAAGTGATCGTTAATAGTTTCCGCAATGTCCAAAGGGTTACTTGCTATTTTATCATCTACCTTGATCTCCAAAATATTCGTCGACTTACCACTGTTACGTGAAGTTAGCTCGTTGATAACATTCCATGTTTTGCGCAAATTACCTTTGTTGGCTTCCAGGTTGTCAGAAACATAGAGTTTTTTGGCGAGTTTAATTGCGTTATTTGCCTGATTTCTTGCACACCTAAATTGATCCCATATAGCCGGGTTATTGGAGGAGATTGCCTTCTTTTTAAGGAAATCTCGTTTTCGGATTTTGCTCAGTAACTCTCTAGTAATCCATGGAGATCGTTTTTTCCGAATTCTTTTGGATTTAAGTGGTGCGTGTTTATCGACGCAGCCAAGAAACATTTCTTTCCATACATGCCACATTTCATTGGGATCAGAATACAAATTAACATTGGCCCAAGGTAGTTGATTGAGGTCACTTAAGAATTTTCCTCTGTTAAAGTGTTTAAATTGCCGTGTTTCAATCACGCGAGGGCCAATACGGCAGTATTGAGTCTTACGTGACAAAAAAACAAGAGAATGATCACTTATGCCAAGGTGAATGACACCGGAATTTGTAATCTTATCTGGGGAGTTCGTTATACATAAATCAATTAATGTTTTTGAGTTCTGGGTGACACGTGTTGGTTCAATGATTAACTGACTAAGACCATATATATCGAAAATGTTTATCAGATGGGACGAATTGACTGTAATTGCTTCAGGCAACAAATTGCAGTTAATATCACCGAGTAAATATAATTCCTTATTTTCCGCGTCAATTTTAGCAATAACATTCTCAAATTCGCTAAATAAATTGGGTGGAGAACTTGGGGGTCGATACCAAGTACCGACCAGAAATGGTGTACTTCGTGGCTTACTGATTTCAACAAAAAGAGACTCTAAAAGATCATTATTTAAATCATTACGTATTCGATAGTTCATTAGATGGGACCTAATTGCGTCATCCTATACTACTCACACATAACCGTATTCCATTTTACTCACATGAGATGGGACCTAATCGCGACATCCTATACTACTCACACATAACCGTATTCCATTTTACTCACATGAGATGGGACCTAATTGCGTCATCCTATACTAATCACACATAACCGTATTCCATTTTACTCACATGAGATGGGACCTAATCGTGACATCCTATACTAGTCACGTATTACCGTATTCCATTTTACCCTCATGAGATGGGGCCTAATCGCGTCATCCTATACTAGCCACGCATTACCGTATTCCATTTTACTCACATGAGATGGGACCTAATCGCGTCATCCTATACTACTCACGCATAACCGTAAACCATTTTACTCACATGAGATGGGACCTAATCGTGACATCCTATACTACTCACACATAACCGTATTCCATTTTACTCACATGAGATGGGACCTAATCGCGTCATCCTATACTACTCACGCATAACCGTATTCCATTTTACTCACATGAGCTGGGACCTAATCGTGACATCCTATACTACTCACACATAACCGTATTCCATTTTACTCACATGAGATGGGACCTAATCGCGTCATCCTATACTCGTCACACGGTACCGTAATCCATTTTACTCTCATGAGATGGGACATAATCGCGTCATCCTAAACTACTCACACATTAATGCATTCAACTTCACTCAAAGGAGATGGGACCTAACCATGGAATCGTGTACTTCTCGTTTAAAAATGCATTCTCGGTGTCTGGATGTTAGAAGAAACATTCCTCTATGGCATAACTTACCTTTTCGGGTGTGCGTGTTAATGACGTAAATAGTTGTGTCTAGGGAACCAGCCCAGACTTGGTTGTTTCCAACGGCTAACAAGCAGCTCTACAAACAAGAACAAGACGGTTATTATTTGGTGTTACAGCGTAGTAACGCAAGCAATGAACGCCCGCTTTATTGTAAGCAAAAACAGTTACTTGGTTGGTGTGTGATAATGTCCTGTAAATTGCTAGAATCAGCAGTGTTGAATGCATCTCATGTGGTGATGCCTGTTTAGCACAGTGGCATACATATAAGCACAAGAAAAAGGAACTTTTTCATTTGGTTGCGCTTGTGCCTCTACTTGCGACGGATGTCGGAATAAAACGAAGGATTTTCAATGATTGTACCAGTAATGGCGATTTCGAATTTAGTGTTGACCCAACAAATTTATTTTGAAGAGACAAACGGCGCGCATGCGTATAACCGTGATCGCGTCCCTTTAAGACGTAATGTGAACCAGGACGACATCAGCACAACAGGAAACGAAAAAAAAATGGCGTTCAAAATGAGCCCCCTGCCGTCACACAATACGCGCGCGTAAACCAGAATCATTTAGGCGGGAAAACGCGATAGCCGTCGTCATTCTACTACGGGCCTCGAATCTAAAGGTCTCTCATAAAACTTCACGGCTCACCACTCGTTCCTTTGCATGCCTCATGTGAGTCTCGTACTCCCAAGCCAGGTCTGTCCCTTTTTTTAAGGTAGGGTTAGCATCAATCACGACAATGACACCAGATCCCTAGGACAACAAATGAAATAAGACGATCAGCAGAAAAAGCGGGGAGCAAAGACAAAAGATCATTTGTGACCATAACAAAAACACTAGTGCCAGGTTTTTGTACTCCAAAAATAAAATTGTGACCTCTCTCAGAAATTTTGAATGGAGTGTGAATGCAAAAAACGTGGAGTACAGTCTCCAAGAGAAAAATCTCGTAACATTTGAACAACTTAACCGGCGGTTCCACTATCCCAAATTCGTTTCCCCAGCTATTAAGCACAAGGTTTGTTCATGGAACGCACTTATTTCATGGTTTAGCTTGTAAACTACTTAATTCGAGCAATGGAAGACACGAGAGGGAAAGGGAGGGAGCGAAAACTAAAATGACGAGATTTTGTGAAAGATTTCGTTCCCCGCTTCTCTTCCAAGTCCTATCCACCAAGTCAGGAGCTTATAGACCTTTGTCACGTGGCGGCCATTTTGTCTCAAGAGATTAAAAAAGCTCTCTTCATGTCCGGCTAGCCTCGTAGAGAGAACGAGGCTAGCCGGGCATAAACAAAGCTTTTTAAATCTTTTGAGACAAAATGGCCGCCACGTGACAAAGGTCTATTCTCAGGCTAACAATGGGTCAGTATTGCTTTCTAAAGCATTATTCACCACATACCATAGCACACCACAACTTTGGACTGCTTCCTTTTGCTGAAAAAAAAAGAAGAAAAAAAAAGATGAGGTTAAATGGTTAAAAAATAACCTATTTCATAGGTATAGTAATTAGTATTTAGCGATAGAAGTAATACGAAGCCCATATGCACGACTTTTTTGATGAACAAAGAGAAAAATATCACCATCAAGCGCCGTGTCAAGGAGGCCACTGCCGTCAAACGAAGAAAACCCTCTCTTAACAGGGATGAGGGAATGGGCCTTCCAGCCATCTACAATCCTCTCCTGGGAATACGTAACAACCTTTCTGTTGCATAACTTAAGACATTTTACATTGCCGACGAAGTTCGAGCGATTGGTACGAAACATTCTATTTTGTCTTTAAATTGATGCTCTGAGAGAGAGAAATGATTGGAAGGTCTAGAGTCTCAACAGCATGGAATGAAAAATTCTAAGTTTACAATACACAAACACTTAGTCCAGTTCTGGCCCTTCTCTCTCTCTCCCTCTCTCTTTGTCACGCAACGCCCTCTCCCGGCGTTGCGTGACAAAGAGAAAGGAACCAGAACCGGACTAAAGAAAAACTCTACTTACAGCCAGACAAATAAAGCAAAGCCTCTACTGTTGTTTTCTCCATGTCTTGAGGTGATGGCCGCACTCGCATTAAGAGCGTCTGTTTGCAAGGTATAACGAAAAAGAATAATGGCACACTTAAATATCTTGATTCGACTGCTTGGAATACCTATAACCATTAGAATATATTCCTTTCCTGGGCAAAAATGCGTTTGTCATGTGACAACAATGTTGGATGTGTATCAATAGTGCAAGTGGGACAGAAATGGCGTCAGACGATACAACAGACTTCTTTCTAGCATACCGTAAAACCTCGAATTAAATTCATTTAAGAGACACTAAACACAGTTTTTGTTCGAGGAAGTAGGTTAGAATAATTAACGGTAGAAGTTAAATGCTTTCAGCGAGACGGGAAGTATTTACGCGAAATTTTGAGATTTCCTTAGCTTTTCATGCACTGGAGTATGTTTTGAGTGCAGTTAAAGAACTAAACAAGTTATCGCTATAAAAAAAAAAAACAGTCGAGTTCACATTCACCAAAACAGGCGCGAAGTGACACGAGTGAAATTGTTTAATGAGTTCGTGGAGGCATCCTCGAAAATCCTTAGCGAAATTCCGCGCGAACGATAGACGAAAGGAATTTCGCTCTCCCTGTATTTCGCGCAATTCTTTATTTGCTTGAAAATATTTACACTCTCATTTGGAAGGGAGCGGCCACTACTTTCAACTCCTGGGTGCTAAAGCCATTGAGTATTGCCTGAAATGATTTTATGACTGTGATTCGTGCCTATCCAAATTATACCCTTTAAAACCCGATGATACTTTATAATGCAAAGGAACAACTACTTACCTCTCTGGTATGTTTAGACAGTTTATTTTTCAAACCGTTTTTCTTGGAGTCAAGGACGAGCTACAGAGCCAAAAAGCGAATAAAATATACGTTAGATTCAGATTAATGGGAAGGGGTTATGTAGTGCAAATAACTTCAATCAGCTGTTACTTTAATTTCATCCCCATGACCTCTCATTTTCCCGATAAAAACAAACGAAAACTGAATATAAAATCATTGAGGAGTACAACTTGAGATTGAATTTAGGTAAACCTAAAAATCGTCGGCCCGACTTTGCTCAGGTTTATCACACGTTTTTCTGAAGTATAATTAACATTGATTGGGAGTCAGCTCTGTCATGTGACCATAGTAGGGACCTTACGATCCGACAACGGCGACGTCCATGAAAACGTCGCTGAAAAATAGACTTCGCATCCTTTTAAAACTTTTTCGCGAATATTCCAATTCGCCCTGTTACTTAAAAGAAGGGAATTTTGGTTGGAGCTGAAGAGAAGGAACCGCATCCGAATTAAGACGGAGATGGTAGAATTTATCACCTTGCCGTTCCCGTTCTCAAGTAAACTTAAAATTTGGTTTTTTCACGTCGTAGTTGTGCAGGGACAGCAAAGAAATGTACAAAAAAGCGTGATGCACATGCAGAGATGTTGTTTTGTTCACTAAACCTATTGCTTTTTTGACGTTGTCTTTGAGGATGCCTATATACCGAGCCACGACTCCGAGCCAGGACTCGAGCCAGGGATCAGAGCCAGGACTCGGCATTTTTTCGCGTTCCCGCCATTTTCACCTCCTGCAAGTCACATGACCATCGCCGTCGTAGTTTCGTGAGGTCCCTTGAAAATAAATGACTTCTGCTTCCACGTTTTTAAAAGTTCAATACTCATAATTAGGATCATAATAAACACAACACAAGGCAATTTAATGCAAGAGACAACGAAATGTGCTCTAAACTGTTTTGCTCGAAGATGACTCGTGTAATACGCAGTCGTTCGATTAAGATTCACGTTAACGCAAAACGGCAAACGTGAATTTGTACCACGTGACCTAGTTTTCCCTTAATTGTCGTTTACTGTTTATTACTTCTACTGAGAAATAAGTAATTTCACGCCAGTTTTGCCCATAAGAATTGTTCTTGACAGTTTTTATCCGCCTATTTCCTATTCCGAGAAATTCTTAACTTGAATCTGACGTTTGCCGTAAACGTGAATCTTTTCTACCTATTAACAAAATCCACCGCGTGATATGAACGCTATTCCGATAGCTCAACATGTTTTATTTGTGCTCAGTATAAATTCGCCCTGGTGTGAAGAAAAGAGTACAGAGCAACATGCATTAACTGTAATAAAAGCAAAGTTGTCTTACAACTGAAGGTTCCTCGGGGAAACCACTGCGAAAAGATGGAAAAGGAAATAGTCATACATGATAGACTGATAGCACACTTAGATATTTAACTAAACACTATACTGCAATGCCATCAACTAACTGGCCTGTGGTTAGCTGCACTTCAGGGCCCAGTTGTTCGAAGGCAGATCAGCGCTTAACCCGGGTTTCTTTTTCTCGTGTTCAAAAGCATTTTCTCGGATAATTTGCTGTGCTTTTTTTAGAGCTTCCAATCATCAACTTGTAGACAAAAAGAATTAAAACTGAAATGCTTTCTAAGCTTTCAAATTTGAATTCAAATCTCGCACTAACCCTGGGTTATCTTAGCCCAGCTTTGAACAACTCGGCCCAGGGGATTACCTTCTAGCTCACGAATTTTCCATAAGGGATCAAGAAAACAATCGGAAAAGACAAAAAATACCAAGAAATGTAACGGATGTGCGGGTTACTGGTGTGAACAGAACTAAGAATAACATTCGAGCGTCGACGTATCATTTTGAGGTGGGGCACGACACTGGCTAGGTTCTCTGTCGCATTACGCAATGGAACTGTTTTGGAGGACGAATTTGGACCCAGTTTGCCGTAAAAACTTCGTAATAGCCAATAAAAAAATCGATAGCTTCCCCCAAAACAGTCCCACAGTACAATTCGACACAAACGTAACAGACCCAGGCTCAAGCACAATCTCAATATGTCCAATATTTGTAATATGCGAGCTGCTAGACAGACATTACCGCCGTTTGCTAATTGAGTTATAGGGGAAGACCTGAAGAACTGGACTCTGATTCAAAACAGCGACTAAATTTGCATAAATGAGCCAGCCTGATTTCTGAGACATTAGTGCTCCTCGGTCTGGTCATATACTGGCATACTGTCTAAGGACGTTTGAAGAGGGGTGGGGTGGGGAAACAAGGAGTAAGACAGCTTCCGTCATTTTAGAGAAACAACGAATAACACAAAACATGCCAGACTATTATCTTAACTTAGCACTTTCCTCTTTAAGCTCACTACAGCATGAACTTCACTAACTGTTGTCTTTTATACAAGGGCCAAATACCTCATAGAACTTAAAGCGTCTGCCATGATCACGTTTTGAGCAGCGTGTTCTATGATTTCCGAGTCCCTCAAAGCTTGAAAAAGGGAAAATAACACACAATATATAGAATTCTTCATAAGAAATATTATAGTTTATCTTCAAATGGGACTTCATGTATTTTGTAGCCACGTAGTCCCCATTAGAGCAAGAGCTTAATTTTCCAACGGTTTTTAGAGGACGGAAGAATGTAATCGTTTAGGGTTCTGGTGATAGGGGAACTTATGAGACAAACAATGAGTAGACGTGACCACAACTGACATAAGAAACAGAAAAATGAAACGATTAACAACTCTCTTGGATCAGCAGCTACCCGATGCACGTAGACAGACAAGATTACTATCCTCTGGTGGGAGATATGGTTATTAAGCGATGATCTTCGAATAACATCGTTCTATACCCTACTTTACCCTGGTCTTACCATCTGCTATTTCGTATCCAGCTTTCATTTCCAGCAGACAATTGCGCCAAAAGTCCTTCTCTTCTTTGACAGATGCTACAAAAGACTTTGATGGATCAACTGAAGAGAAAAGACAAAGAAAAGACAAAGAAAAGTAAGTATCAAGTTTTTCTTCTGAAGACCAATCACTTAGTTATATTACAGCGGGGAAGCGTAGCCGAGTGTTCAGCGCGCTGGATTTGCAATCATATCATGCTCTGACCAGTGGGTAGATTTTTCTCTGTCATCTTGAGTTGAACTCCTCGACCAAGTTTGTGAATAGTTTTATTTGAATTATTTGTTTCAGACATTTGCTTTACCTCCCAAGCATTTGTGCTACAAATACTGCCAAGGGTACTGACAAAGAACATTATTATTATCTGAGAAGGGCGCCTGTAAACTAGCAAAAGTGCATTTTCACTAAGAACATAGCATATACATTTCATCCTCGTTTATTTATTCTCACCGTCAACACCTTTTCTGGAAACACATTGTCAAAAATTGCCTTAAATTTCATCTGAGTTCGGTTCACTTTAGTAGGGGGAACCAAGAAAACTTACGTTCGCTGGTTATTTTAATAGCTGTAACTCCACGAGGCCGCATGGTTCCGGAGAAGGTTAATGCTTCCACGGTCTCTATATCATTAATGTCGATGACAGAAGTACATTTATGTGTTCCGTTTTCCAAGAATAACAACCTAAGAAAAAAATATGGTATCACGGAATCATCAGCGACCAACATTGCTTGGAGGGGGTGGGGAAGGAATGCTTTAATAGACCTTTTTACCGATACGGCGGCTAAGGAGTATTATAGGATGCCCAGGGGGCATGAGCACATTTCGTTTGTATTTTCGAGCTCTTTTCGGGACATTTTTTGTTAAAGTTTTCTTAGAATAAGATTGTAATGGGAAAAAAGATCCTTGTGCCGTGTTTTGATGTAATAATGATCGCCTTTTTCTAGTTTAGTATTAGAAATATAGACTTTCACTTATATTTGTCGGGAAAAAGTGCTCATGCCCCCTGGGCATCCTATAATACTCCTTAAATCGAATTAATTCAATATGGCCACCGTATAGGTAAAAAGGTCTATTTCCCGGCTTTTAGAGCCGGCAAAAGATTACAAAAGCCCTTTTAAGGCAAAGTGTCTCATCTAATTTTGTTGCCTATTGATAGTCACATGTACTTTAACCCTGACAATAGATAGGGAGTTCATTTCAAAGAAATGCGCAACCCCCACTCCTTGACAGTCGTGCCCTATATATGGTTTGTTGGATTACATTACGTCATAAAACACTCATTGGTGATGTTCTTCTATTAATACTTGAATAAACCGGGAGACGTACATAGAATTCTACTCGCTAGCAAATGCTTTCTTTATCAGATGTATGAAAGGCTTTTAAATTTCACTACTGGACATTTCCATTTCCTGACAAGACTCTCTCTTTTCTTTTAAGTTAAAAAATACTCTTAACATGCGTATCTTTGTCGAAATCTACCTTTTGACGGTGAGAACAAGATAGCCCACTCCGCGACTCGTCTTTATCATCTGCGAGATCTTCAGGACGTACTGTGTAAGAAAAATCTTTCCTTAAAACACTAAGCAGCATAAAATCTAGCAATTTGTTGGTTCCACTGAGGACCAACCATCTAACAAGTTGAATAGACTGTTCCCGCATTCCAGTAAACAATAATCCCAATCCGATGCTTGCCATCGGCTTCCTTTACTACAGCGAATTGCGTGAAAGAGCTATTCTGAAGTAATCGGGCCTTAAGAATTTTTAGCAGCAAGTGAAAAAAGCAAACAAACAAATAGAAATCAAAATAAAAGCGATAATAATACTACTCTCACCTCGTTTTCTTCTAGAGGGGGATTTAAATCATGCAGTGTAACACTTCTTGCTTTACCGCTGGCCTATGAATGGAACAAAATGACTTTTATTTCGTGTATCGTATACACGCGTTCCGTACCTAGAGTTGCTGAGCGAATGAGCAAGGACATGTGCTCGCCCGGCATGATAGAATTAATCATGTTTGCTGTGTTCTGCTAATGCTTTGCACGTTGCTCTGGTACAATAAATGGCTCAAAGACAAATGCAATATGTGTAAGGAAGTGTTGTGCGAGACCATTCGTCCGAAAGCTGTCTTATTGGTCAGAAAGTATTGGCCAATCCTTCATCCTCTGGCTTAAATTTAAAAACAAAAATCTTCCCAAAAAAATCACAAAATAAAAGACTGAAGCATTAGAAAAGTTATTTGCAAAATATCTCTATCCACGTGCACTGTAGCAATGGTTTATAAAAGGGTGTATAATATAAAGATATCAAGATATTAATTTCACCGAATGCAATGTGTGGAGCAACAAGTGTTTGATTAAACTTTTTCAACGAATTAATTACCTCCGTCAAAGCTTCATAGAATAACGCAAACGCATCAGGTTCAACGACTAAAAAGGAAACATGAATTCAAAATTATTAAACTCACCATCAAGTAGAATGAAATGCAAAATATTATTGGAGATTAAGCGAACTCTCTAATATGACGAGTCATTCATTTGTTTTATTGAATCAATCAATCAGTCAATCAATCAAGTAAGCAACTAATCGATCAATTAATTGATCGATGAATCAGTCAATCAAAAACAGGCAAACATTCACTTTACCTTCCGTTATTGTGTTCTTCAATACTTCAAACAACCTTTTGCCCGCATCCTGGCTGTAGGCAATCTGCAATCTACTGACGTGCTTCTCAAAATCTAGCAGTTCTAGCAGCCAGAAAATAGATACTGGGTTAATAAATTGTAATTCAACGTTTTCCATTATTCACAAACTTATTCATTTTGATTAAAAAATTAGACCAAATAATAATTCAAAAACCTGGCAGGACAAAATCAAAGGATGCGATAACTTCCAGAAGATTAGAGCATTCATTTAGGGGGAATTGGGGCCAATTAGCTTATGGAACCAGAAAAAAGGACCAAAACCACCAGTGAAAGGCAAAGTTCCTTATGCGATATTTCGTAGATGACTAGTTTCCAGAGTGTCTTTGTCGCCATCCTACGTAACTCAAGCGTGCTGGTCAAAGCATGCTCGAATACAAAAAATCAAGTAAGGACCAATGAAACATGCACGAAAGATACTGACGACATTAAAAAAAACATTTACTATCCTACCAACCGCTATAGATTATAAATTCTACTGCTGGTCAAAGCATGCTCGAATACAACAAAATCAAATAAGGACCAATGAAACATGCACGAAAGATACTGACGACATTGAAAGAAACATTTACTATCCGACCAACCGCCATAGATTATAAATTCTACTTCTTGCTTGACACTTGGAGACCGAAGTTCACCCAAAAATCACCAACTGTAAACCGAAGAAAAAGGGCGGATGAAGGAAATACTTTTCATTTTCAGAGAGATGCCTTAATTTTGATAACGAAAACTTACCTAAAGGTGTAGGGGGCACTGCCGACGTAATAACCTCTTTCCTATTAATTATAAAAAAATAAATAAATAACTTGCCATTTTAAATTGTTCAGTACTTTATTAATAACACTAACAGCATCTTTGGTTTTCTCTCAGATTTCGGAATTGAAGCTTAAAAATAGACTGTTTGGGCAAGATTTTACTGACAGCATCCGCACGCAATCCAGACTGAGTACAGTGTCAGTCAAATCTACAACAACAATAATAAAGTTTCTATCTATCTATCTAACAAAACTCTGAAAAAAGCCTGCGTAGCAAGTGTTTCCGCGCGAGCTCGTCGAGAAAGTTGTGACGAGAGCAAAAAAGAGGAATGAAGGGGAGGGGGAGGGGAGAGAAGGAAACCTCTTCTCCCCTTCCCTTCTCCCTTGTATTTTTTTGTCTCTAACTCGATTGCAAACGCTTGCTACGCAGGATACCGCGAAAGAGAAATGCAAACAGTCAATAAAAAGAAAAGCGTTCTTACCTTTCTGGTCTGAATTCCTTTTTTCCCTGTAAGGATAAGAGTTAAAATAGGCAAACATCATGTCTCAGTTGCATTTGTACTGGAATGAAGCAAAGCAGATAATCTTTGCCTGCTCGAGCAAAGGAATGAATAAACACGAGACTTGTGTTCGATGCCCTAGGACTTGATTGACTGAAATGAAAACCACCCTGATTGGTTAAAGCCTGCAGATTGCACTATAGCCGCACGTGAACGGAAGTGAACTTGGCTTGTGAAATCCCACCCTATTTTACTGCATGTCACGCAACACACACATAATTCTCATGATTGTCTCATTAACTACAATTTATGGGGACATAAATTGACCTAAAGAACAACAAGAAGGTACAAAGAAGGGAAACCATGCTGAAAAGCCTTGCGTAATTAATTGCTAACAAAAGGAGGTTAGCTTTGATATGATTACTTCTAAGTGCTAGCGTGTCAACTTCAACATAGCCATCCCTTTCCAGAAAAGCATCAAAGCTCACCTTGGCTTGTGTTCTAAGCATCTCTGTTTTTCTCCAAAATGGGCGGGTTTTTAGCTCTCCTAGTTGTTCGGGCTTCATTTTACACAGCACCTCCTGCACGGTCCTAGTAACATTAATTACACACTAGGTAATGTGTTCTTTCTCCTAACTTGCCAAAAGAGTTAGACTGGTGGCTTTCCTTGGTACGCAACCAAAATTAAAAATCGAAACCATTCATGATCAATAAATAAAGTACAGACCCTGGGATATAAAAGAACATACATATGCGAGACAGTCTCGCCAAGATTCAGGTCTGTGTGACTTTTCGCATGAAAGAAACTCTTTGTCCGAGTAATCTGAGATCAGGCGTTTTTGTTTGTTTGTTTGGTTGTTGCTGTTGTTTTTTTTAAGACATAATCGAGATATAGGGTGAGTATGATCAAAGCTATCCCCTGAGTGGCACCAATACGGCCCAAAACGGCGGCCGTAAGCCAACAGAAACATCTGTCACTGAATTTGCCAGGAAAGCGTGAATTCTTCACTCGAGCGGCAAATCATAACAGTAAGAAATACTTATTCTAATAAAGGGTTCTCCAGAGATACGCTTCCCATGTGTTGCTAAAGTTTTATAATGCTTATCATTTAATGACTTTAGCAGACAGGACAGGCAGAAAAAATTGCTTACCAGTCACGAAACCATAATCACTTACTTGGTAGGAAAAAGTTGCACATTTTTTGATGAAACTCCATAGAAATCATCTACTGCCTAGTTGGGGATAAAGACAATAAAGTTACCTCTTCACACGGAACCATTCAGTCGTTCCTTCACATGGTATTATTCGTTTTGATGCAGTTCTAGCTCTTTTCCAAGTCTGTGGAAACCTCTGCAGTAGTATTTTCACGTTGTACTATTCGGTCTGTAAGTACTTTCTAAATTTGGAGGTTGTAGATGCAATCCTATGGTGCAATCAGTCAGATGAATCTGCTCTTGCAGTACTTTAGTATGTATATAACTCTTACTGTTGAGTCGTTGGATGAAATCCAGTGGTTTACCATTCAAATGAAACCTCTTTAGCAGTAATTTCACATGGTATCATTCAATGTATGTATAGTTCTTACTAGCTGTGGAGTCTGGTGATGAATTCCTGTGGTCGACCATTCAAATGTAACTTCCCGTTCCGTTACTACTTTCACGTGGTACTATTCGTTTGTGGGTAGTTCTAACTTTTGAGTCTTAGCATGAAAACCTGTAGAAGTTGAATTTTAAGTTTGTGAATGAAATCCTGTGGCTTGGCAAATCAAACGAAGCCTCTTCGGCCTCACTATTTAGTGGCACTAATCTGGTGATGTGTAATTTGGAATTTCTCTGGCAGTAAAACGATCAAACTGCCTCGTTCTAAGACGTCCAAGGTAGCCATGACGGAGTGGTTCACTAAGCAATACCTTGACGTCCTGTTCACAGGCAATACGTAACATTCCCCGCAGATACAAATAGTTGGCAAGTAGACTTGATGACTTCTCCATAAGGCCCTGCAAAGGAAAGGGTACTACGGTTGCTGGCATAAGAGATGAATCGAGAAAAGCAGTAGCAACAGGAAGAGAAACAAAACAACAAGCCAGTGAAGGACAGATGCCCATTCCCAGTAACAAAGAGCGTAAGGGAGCAAAAATCAAGACAATTTCACGCAATACATGGGCTACATAACTAGATATTGCGACCTACTTACCGAGATCTTCTCATTCAAAGACTTCAGGTAGTCCCCATAAAAACTACCTACAAAAGAAGATGACAGAGAAATAAAACGGAACGGACATTCAAACTTAAAAACGTTTTTTGGGCAACTTTACAAAGAAGGAAAGGTTGAAATGGAGACAACAAAAAGAGAGAACTCAGTTCCCTGTACGTTTTAAACTTTGTGTACAACTGGCGATGCACTCTAATAACCCTTCAGACTAAATTAGAAGCTCATTCCTCATTAATGAATTTTTGAATAAACTATGGGGTACTGTTTACTAGCAAAAAGGAAAATCGCTTATGCTTTCAAAGGGATTCTTTCACCAATTTAACCGAACGTATTTGATCATTCGATTACAGTTACCTTTGTAAACGCCCTCGAATGTAAAGGGTGGAAGAACAAATATGTTTAATTCTTCTTGGGGATTCACGAAGAATTCATCAGAAATGCGTGCAACGGAGGAGGAACTTCTTTTTCGCAATGGTACTGCTCTAGAACACAAAATGACAATAAAGAGACGTCTGAAAATGTGATGAGGTTTTATCCTACTTCAGTAACGAACTAAGTTCTTGGTGTGAAAGTATAATAAACACTTTAATGACTGGTTACCAGGGAAAAAGTGGGTAGCGCTATCCACCTTTGAACAACTGGGGCCAGGCGCTTAGTTTTTTCGCACTCTGGGTCCAGTTGTTTGAAGGCCGAGTAGCGTTACCCAAGTTTCTGTTTCCTGAGTTTCAAAGCATTTTCTCGGATAATTTTCTCTATTCACTTTTAGAGTATTCAGTCGTTAGACAAAAAGAATTAAACTGAATTTTCTTTTTAACCTTTCATTTGCGAATTCAAATTTCGCACTTTTAACCACGGTTTATCTTAACCCTGCTTGAACAATCCGGCCCTGGTCGTAAACAAAGGCGAGCACAAAACGCGAGTGACTGGTGACAAAGCGCAAGGGACCACGGGAAGGAGAGGAAGCGAGGCTGCGAAGCGAAGTCTCGGAGTCACCCGTTTTCTCCCTCCCGCCTTCCTTTACGCGCAAATTTACATCACGAGAGAGACGTCGGGTAGCGAGGCAGGGTAAACACATCACCGCTCACTCTTTCCTTTAGAAGCTGAACATGCAAAGAAATAAGACAAACCCAGGCGATGCCTTACTTTGGCGCTACTCTTGTTTTCTGTGCCTTTAGCGTGAAGTAATCTGTCTTTTCTGGATCATGCATAAGTTCATAAAGGAAGGTGCTGAATGCATGACTTTTGCATACCTGAAAGAGATCAATACAAGTCAGTCGTGAGTGATGAACTGATTGATCTACGTCGTAATCCTCGTCTAATTTCAATGAAATCTTTATGAGTGACTCATTCTCAAATGCGATCAGCTATCCAAAATCGGTTTTGCTACTAGCCTGAGAAAACAGCCATCACTAGTTTTCCCTCGAAATGACGTCTGTGAAATGAGCGCAGAAATTCCATACTGACGACGCGTCCCTACCCAGATCTGGGTAGTGCTTCCGACTGCTTTCTCAGGCTATTTTCCTATTCCCTACCCCTCGCCTCGCTGCTTCTTTTTTTTCCTGCTCACATCTCACGCAGAGTGAACTTTTCACAAATGACCAACCGTAAGCAACCACCGAATCCTGGCATTTAGGAGGTTGCTTACAGAAGGTTTCGACTGTAGTGAAAAAAAAAAAGAAAAAACCGAGCACAACAAAATAGACGCTGATCATTCCAACCAATTGCTCCGCCCTTACCGCGAAAAAAAAAAACAAAAACAAAAACAAAAGAGGCCTGGCGTGCTCAGGTTAGTGACGACAGGAAGTAATATTTTTTCAGATTTACCACACGATAAAAGTCGTGATCTTCTGTAGGCTTTGACTGAATGAAGGAATCCATGTCGAAGAAAAGCTGAAGATGAAATAATTATAAGCTGTAAGAACCCGCCCCTTTTCAAGTAAGCCTCCCTCTCTACTAAGTCCCCCATGACAGGAAGAAATAATTCGTGAATTTTAAAACAAGAAGATAAATAATTCCATAAGCTCGCAAGACGTGCAAGCTAAAAGGCAGGTATTGTCAGAGTAACACAAGTTAGTAGGTCACTGAATGACTGATTCAAACACGCGTGTATTTATGGTATTTTGGTATGTGTTTTGATAAAATTTTTCCCAGCAGCAGAAATGACTCTAAAACAATGTAATTGATATAAAAAAGCTATTTTCCCATTAATGCGTAGTCAGTCGGTCGTTTAAGTTAACAGTCTATTAATTAAGATGAAAAAGGCAATGAAAAAAATTTGCTCATCTTACGTCTTCCTGCCGGACAATGTAGTTTTTTATGTCACTAAAACAGAGAATACAATAATTAGTAGAATCTTACGCGAAATAAATCCGGACCAACAAAGAACAAGAGTAGATATTTAATTTCACCCTAAGTAAATCAATAACAATGATGTTCACGCACATACCACAAAAAACACGGTAACCTGTAATCTATAAACAGTTCATAATATGAGAGCGTTGATTTTGCCCGAGCTCTACTGACTCACCCAAACATTCCCAACATCATCTCCAACGTGGCTAGAGTAAAGAATAAAAACAAACCAAGATAAGCAAACCAAAAACTGCACGACTTAGCTTTATACCGTATAAGAATACGAATGAGTTATTGCCTTATTTTCAGGCAACTTAGCGAAAGGAAACGATTATCGGTTGATGGGACAGACTAACAAGTAAAACAAACATTTATAACGTAAGAAATTTTCAGATCATTCAATTGGTCACTTAGACCCTGTTTACATGGAGTGGGGGACCCCGGTCTAGTGGGGTAGGTTTCTTTTGTTTTGTGTCCCCTAGAGCGTGAAAACAAAAGAAACCAACCCCACTAGACCGGGGTCCCCCACTCCATGTAAACAGGCCCTTAGACGTTTGAGTTTATCACTGGTGTAAAAGTAACCTGGTATGCAAAGTGCAACTAAATGTATGAAACTGTCTTTAAGCGGAGGTAGAAATAGACCTTTCCCAAATTCCGCTCCAGTGAGCAAACATAAAAAAATGAGGTCAAGGCTCTGGTCATAGTTATTAGAGGAGACTGGTTATGAAAAGCGGCAAACATCAATGATAAAAACAACAGTGCTGCAGTTTATGTTCAAAGCACCGTGAAAGTGCACAATCCTTTGTTTTCTGTTGGCAAATTGTTACGGAATAAATTAATGCAACGTTTTTATTGGTCAATACAATCAAAATGATAGGAATTCTTTTGAACGTTGCGCACTTTCAGGTCCACAAAAACATATAACAAAGGAGTCTGACGGGTTTCATAACCATTCCACTCAATTAACTATGCTCTGGTGGACAATTTCATACAAATCACTGTCTTTTGTCCACCCGAACCTCGACTTGATGCCTTTGTTTACAGGAATGCGGGAAAGGTCAGTCTATGAGGGTTCAAATACAAAAACAACGGCAACAAATTCCAGATACACTCACCCGCTAAAACAAGCTGCTGAAATTTTCTCACGAATTTTTCTTGTTCGCGTTTTAGTTCCTCCATAGAGAAGAATGTCTGTCTAAAAAATGTAAAAACAGGTTTCAATGAGTATAAAACACGCCCAGGCAAAAAGAAGTAAAAGTCCATCAAGTTATCAAATTCAAAAGTACAGAAAACAAACCTTTGAAGCAGCAGTCTGTCAAAGTGGATTTCTGCATTTTTCATCCTACAAATTGTATAAGATCTTTTGGTTATTTATTTTCTAAGTGATAAGCAGCCTGCTAGAACGCTCTCCATTTAGAGAGGCGAGCGAGGCGAGTGGCGATACCACGCTCTCCATTTAGAGAGGCGAGCGAAGCGAGTTGCGAGAGCACACGCGAGTGTTGACAGTGTTCCCGACGAGTACGCTTCGAACTACCAAGCGAAGGTAAGCCATCTGCTTCTCTTATTCCGGAAAATATTCGAGAACAAATCGCAGGTTGTTAATCAACGATTAGGTTTGGGGTAACTTTCCCCCCTGTTTTTCGTTTGAGGATAATTTTAATAGATGATTCACAATGATATGGAATTTCCGGCGTTAAATGAGTGGATACGAATCAGCCGGAAATGAAATATTTCTGCGGAACGGGAGCAGTGGGGACTGGGGCGGTTTCAGTTGAAGTGCAGTATGGGTAGTATGGGGTGCTATAAAAGCGAAGTCGAAATACCTGAATTTATACAAGGAGACAGCAATAGATGGCAGTCGAGGAATTTCCGCATTTGGATGCGGTGTTACTGTTCCCTCGTCAATATCAGCTATCACTATACCGGACAACTGAAAGAAAAAAAGCCCAAAATTGGTGATCACTCAGCAGCACCTAGCAGAACAGCCACCTCTTGACAAGTCGTTATCCTCACATAGAGCAATCACAATTGTTTCTTTAAAATTCTTGGGTGCTTTCGATAGGGAAAGGTGAATTTAGAAACTAAACAATGATTTTTCCATCTGACATTCATTCGTCTGGGAATCTGTTTCCGAATTCGACTGGGAATTCAAAATCAAAATGCTGACTTCCAGTTCTTGAAGACACAGTCATCAATTTTTGCTATGCAAATAGCTCCAACCACTGGCAATACCTTCAGTGTTGTTTTGAAAATACTTCCTTCACAACGCTGTTCACGAACACCATTTAAACTTAACAACGTAAAGGAAATGGTGAGTTTCGATATCCGCTTGCTCGATGGTACTCGAACAAAAAAACATTGTAGGGTGTATTACCTCGTCCATCGCCGCTGCAACTCTTTGAACTTGCTTTTTGTGCTGGGCATGGCAGCCCATAATGAACGCTCCAGGAGCCTCCACTAAATCAAGCAAGACACTGAAAAGGTAAAACAAGAAAATAGCAAAACTATAAAACAATATTTTCGCAGGAAGCCCGCTTCACCAATATCGCAAGTATTTGTAAAACACCTTTTTATCATCTCCGTAACATCAGCTATATAAGAAAGTACCTGTCATCAAACACTACTGAAATACTTGTTTATGCATTTGTATTTTCAAAATTGGATCATTGCAATTCTTTAATCTATGGCCTACCGGACTGACCAAATTAAAAAGTTATTCAACACGTCCAGAATGGCGCTGCTCGCCTCATCACTCTTTCAAGAAAACATGAACACATTTTGTTAAACCTTCACTGGCTTCCGATAAATTATCGCATCAAGCAAGTTTAAAATTCTACTCATCACGAACAAGGCTCTTTACAATCTGGCATCATCGTACATTTGCGATCTACTTATACCTTACATGCCATCTCGTCAGCTACGTTCATCATCTAAACATCTACTTTCTATTCCGTATGTTAATTTGAGAACATACGGTGCAAGATCTTTCTCCGTGGCAGCCACACCTCTGGAATACTCTGCCGTCTGACATTAAGAATAGCTCCTCCGTATCCGTTTTTAAAAACAGACTTAAAACTTTCCTTTTTAAAAAAGCATTTTTCTAACATTTTAGCCATTTTTATTTTAGTCGTAAGATTTGAAGCTTTTTCTTAATTTTTAAGTTTTTTTTTAATTTTATTATTATTTTTTTGATGTTCTCGTTAAGCGCTTTTGAACTTGAAGGATACTGGCGCTACATAAATATTTTATTTATTTATAAGGCTTTTCACTAGGGCCCTCTTAAGGACCAATGAATTATACCGCGATAAATGAACGGAGTCCCTAATACCACACATCAAAGAACTAGCAGAGCGGCACAACGTACCTGGGTAAAATTGGTACATACGTCCAGCTCCACGAGAAAGGTCGAATAAAAGTGAAAAAGCTCTGTGGATAAAGAAACATGCACAACTCAGTGAAAGGTTTAAATTTACAGACCCTTGTACAAAATTGATACGACGTAAACCTAAACTCAACTACAGTTCTTACTTTTCCCGCCCATCATCAAATAAACCAGTCACACAAATACAACTAGATGGCACCAAGCTCTTACCCCGGCGAGCAGAGGTTTTTTCTCTTGCATGGTTTTTAGCGTTTACGAACTCGTTCGCGTCGCTTGTCGGTCGCGAAGTTAATTTGTTTCATATACCCCAACGCGAACGACTTCGTAAACGCTTAAAGCCATACAAGCGAGCAAGTTTGATCGGAGGGTAGGGAAAATTTATGAGGGCAAGTCAAGACTGCTTTGTGTTTACCTTCGATTCGTGACAAAGGACAATAATAAAAAAAACAAAGCTATCGAGAAATTCAAACTTCTCTAACCGATTTTGGCGATAACAAGCCTAAATGGAGAGGTTGCTGGCAGGCTATACTTTGCGCGAGAACTAACCGAACAAATGCTGGAGGCCTTTGTTAGCTATTTCAAATGAAGCCATAGTGTAAAAGGTCTGTAAAGTAGTGAAACCAACTAGATTCTTGAACGCTACAGGACCATACAATACAAACACAGTTCAGTTGTACTGTCTCTCAGTGTACAGCCAGAGAAAACAGCCGACGTTTTGCGACGCCATCAATGATTTCCCCAGGAAATTTGCTTCAACCAGTCGGAAGCCCTACCCAGATCTGGGTAGTGACACGTGGTTTTTCAGACGTCACTTCGCGGGGAACCAGCGGTTGCGTCGCACAATGTCGGCGGTTTTCACAGGTTACTGAGTGTGCAGACCTCAATGACTGGCGTGAGTAGAGAATACGAGGATGACAGAAACACAATCCGTTGCTGAGTTAAAATACATCCTATTAGCAGAAGTACTTCATCCAATGAAAAGGAAAGAAACGGATAACGAAGGTCCAAATTTATGACTCTGGTCTCTGTAAATGAAATTAAATGACAGGAAAAAAAAATTACTTCGTAAACCACGGGCAAAATGTAATAATAATAATAATAATAAACAATACCGATATTAACTCACTAACCAGGATCTTCGGCAGGTCTCACAACGTGACTAACACCGTACAAACCAAACTCCTGCCGGCAAAAAATATCAATTGAACATTATTATTTGAAAAAAAAATCGTTAATGAATTAATTATTTATTAAAAATTTATTCATATAAATGGGAAAGAGAGAAAGTGAGAGAAATAAAATGAAAGAATAAGAAATAATGAAATAATGAAATGGATGAACAAGATAAAATGAAATAACAGTCAAATGAATAAAACGGCTGAGTAGATATAGGACCTCGTCCACTGTATGAATGATTAATGGCCGTAAGAAACAACAAAACCAATTCGCTACCTTATAAATGACAAGGACTTAAACTGAACCAAATTACCTTTCGCAAAGACTCCTGCAACTGTTACTTGGGACAGCGGGCAAAAAAATGGTCAATAGGGAGCTTAAGCAATCATGATAGCGATGACGTCGAAAACTTTACTTAAAATGTGCATTGATTCGCGTTGTTTCAATCATCATCCTTCCTCTTCCATCTCGTTCCCAACCCGGCTCGTTCCTAGGAAGGAGAGAACCCTGGGAACGAGGTTGTCTCGTTCAATTTGTCAAAAGTTGACGAATTTTTCTGAAGGTAAATTCTAAAGGTCTGTTTCTAAGTTGACAAAAGATAATGAAAGTCGCTACCTTGAGCTCACGTTGTACACAAAACGTCAAATTAGGACGTTTTACGTCGTAGTCGTGCAGCGACGGCAAAGAAATGTACAAGAAAGCGTGATGCACGTGCAAAGTAGTTGTTTTGCGAATCCAAACATATTGCTTTTCTGCAGTTTTCGTTGCCGTCGCCGTCGTCGTTGCTTTAACTCCCTAATAGCTGTCCGGCGCGTCCCCAGTAACGGTTCCAGAAACAACTGTGGGACGCATTTCGTTTCCAGTTTCCTGGACAATTTAATAGGAGTATCAATCACCGCCGTACAAAGTAAACAACGTACTATTCCTAGAGAACCGGCTGGGGGGACTGGTACCATAGACAACTGTGACACAAACTCCATTAAAGCCATTCTAAATCCACGTGCATCAGTTGTCAGCAACTTGGGTAGAACGCTGTAATAAGAATGGACAGACACTGATTAAAACGACCGAGTTATCCTTTAACTACAAGGAAAACTTGCTCGCATAAATTGGAAACCTTGACAATTTTTTCCTGCAACATATAGTTGTTTGTCACTCTTATAAAATTGGAAAGATACCAGGGCTCGAAATTAACGCTCGCAAACTCGCAAAATGCGAGTGATTTTGATAATCTGCGAGTAAGAAAAATATCCACTAGCAAACGATTGCGAGTTAGAATTATCCATGTCTCCCAAACAAAGGGAAATAAATTGCTTGTGGTCTCACCAGTTTGCTAGTGGAAAAAAATCTTACTAGCAAAACTTTGCAAGTACACTAAAAAGATAACTTCGAGCCCTGGATACATTGAAGGAATTGCAGGTAGAAGAACGTTGCGGAATTCCGTGGAGAGCTATCGGTCATGCGTGACACATTTTCTATGAATGTCGCGGATTGAGAAAGAGTTAAACCAACCACTACGATTAGAGCAAGGAGTATGGTACGAAAAAAAAAAAAGATTTAAAGCAAGATGAGCGGCAGTCAGCAGTCCAAACGACAAATAATATCAGGGACCGCGGAGCTATGGGGCTGAGTGGGCTATAGCCCACCCCCCCCCTTTTTTTTTTTTTTTTTTACAAAAATGTACATTTAAGGAATGGCCTTAATATTAAGCTTTTGTCTCTTCGAATGAACGTCATATCACATTACAATTACGTTTTAAATGTACGTCTTTGTGATAATGATTCGATAAAATTTTCTCAGCATTAGAGAGAATAAGCATCACGTTTATATGGCAAACAGCACACGTCAAATTTAAGTTGAGAATTTCTCAGAATAAAAAATATGCTGATAAAAACTGTCCACAACAATTCTTATGGATAAAACTGGGGTGAAACCACTTATTTTTGAGTAGAAGCAATAAAAGCAAACGACAATTAAGGGTGACCTGGTACAAATTGACGTTTGCCGTATGGCGTAAACGTGAATCTCAGTCTCTCTAATGGATAGTAATATGCGCGTTCCTGGCGATTGCAGAACCTCTACTATTCAAACGTTTGTGGGGGAGCATGCTCTCGGTCCCCTCTTGATAAGCTCGCGCTTAAGACGCCCGTTTGGCTCGCGCGTAGTTCCACCAATTCAAAATATGCTGTGCTGTCCCTGCATATTACTTTATTATCATTGAACTTCCTGAACTTCATCGTGTTGAATAACTATAACATTTTCAGTCTAATACAAAAGCTGTAAGTGACTCACCATGACAAGCAGTCCTTCATGAGGTTGAAATAAGGCCACTTGGAAATTAAACAGCAGCATGTCGGTACATAACAAATGGAATGAGAAGAATCTTGCAAGGCTGCCGAAAACGGTTAAATATCAAATTCAAATCTATTAGTAATTGCTGAGATCGAGGTTTGGACATGTGATGCTAATCGCCAAAAATTTGGGACTTGCTGGCGGTACTGGAAATAAAACCTTCTCAAGGAGGTCACTCGGTAAAAAAGCGATTCATCAATATTACCCAGCTATTATGGGGATACTAATAAAACAGTCTTTTCCGCGTTTAATATATACAGTACATTTGACTCTCTAAGGAGGAAACCACTAAGAACTGCGTTAAGAGTCTGAATTCCAGAGAGGTGTTCAACAAATAAAGGGTCAAACCAAAATAACTAAACGGCAGGGAACAACTTAAAATGTCCATCCATTTTAGGGAGATGTCTGTCTTATAAATGTGGCGGTAAAGGGATAGTTGGCTTTAACAGTAGATAGTGTTTTTCGCGCGCTCTGATTGGCTTCTTAACCTCCGGATATCCAGTGCTATTTCCCGAAATACACGAAGAAGCTGACGAAATTCGGTTTGCAAGTTTTAACAGGTGCAGCTTTGTCTGTTTGACTTGAATTTATCCATGAAACTGTTGAAAGAGGTTTTTGTTTACAAATGCAAATGAAGCTCAAACTTAAGTCTTGCGTTACTTCATTAAGCTGACATGTTCACTAATAAGCTTAAAACTAAATTTAATAGCTTTTTACAGAATGGTTTTAAATACAAAGAGAATTCACAACTCCTTTTGAAGACATTTCTCCGAAGGAGCTCAACAAACGCCTTCAAAAGTTTTATTTGTCGGCAAGAAAACGCGACAGCCGTTCGGTCATTGCGCGCCAAAATTGTAATCGTTGGCAACAGTAAATGAGTTAAAAATCATCATTTTTGTGCTCAATTATCTCACTGTTTTAGTATATACTAAAACAATTATTCACCTCACTTTCGGTGGCTAGTGGTGGATAATTGTTATGTACTGCCTAAAATCCAATAGAAAGACGGGGCAATGTTTTCCTCATGTCATTAGGTACTCAGGCACCGAAACTCACCCCTTTGGTCTGTTTTCTCATCCAGATAAAGTACTTTATAAGCTCCAGGGATGGTACCGGCCTGTTAATAAGAGCATCATATAGCGGTTAGTCCCTGGAGATATCATGATCCTCCGGCACATCCAACGTGTATTTTCTGTACATTCAAATCCCGGTGATCAGGGAGTTCGGACTGTTCTAATACGGTACGGGTAAACGTTTCCCAGAAATAATATAACCTGAGCAAAAAAATGTGGTAGCAAAGATCTAAATAAACTGAAGAAAAGCGATAACGTGGATTTGAATTCACGGAAAGTAGCGGTAACCGTAATTCATGTAAAATCGAGAGCGACTTTGAACACTCGTCGTCTAAGAAGGAGCGAAGGCACAAACTTTTTTTTCTTCCATGTCCACTAATTACCATTAATTACTTAACAAATGGAATTCAAAATGTCAGTAAGCCTAGCCCCTACCCCCACCCCCACTCAACCCCTCTTGGTAAGCCTACCTCTTTAATAATAAATCCTCTGTGGAATGTCATACACATACAATAAGAGCGGGTACCTAAATGTGAAAAAAAATTGTTTCAACTGGAAATACATTGACATAAAAAAACCTATATAATCTTTTTCAGTTATCTCGCTTAAATTAATCCCGCTGAACATTTGGTTTTATCAACTGATCTGATAAAAAAGCGAACTGGAACCCGAAAGAGGATCAAAAGAGGCTACCTACTGCTACTGTAGCCCTGCACGGGAGAGAAACGATTCGCCCTCTGAAAAAGGGGAAACGCTCAAAGGTTGTTAAATTAAATAACAACAAAACTTCAGCAGCGCCCTGTATTCGTCGGTCCGAAATTCGAAATAGTTGTTTTGTCCGTTTTCAATGGATTATACCCCCGTTACTCGTGAAGTTTGTTTTAGTACTTACTTCATGGTTTGCAGAAACATTTTTTTCTTTATGAACGTCGTATTCGTCTTCGGGCTTAAAGAAGTATTTTTCTGCTTAATGTACGTTTGATTACTAGTACTGGAAATGCAGACGTAGAAGCAGAAGAGCTCTATAATTAAACAGTACACCATACCCTCAATATCAGTGAGAACCAGAGAATGACAATCAACTGGCTTCTTTTTCTTGGAAACAAAACCACCATCTGCAAACAGCAATGGAACATGAAAAAGTTAAAACGCAACAAAGACATTGATAAAACCCAACAACACACAGTAGTGAAGACGCGGAGCTTTTGACTCGTTTACAGGGAACTAAAGCAATCAGTTTAAAAAGAGAGTAAAAAACTTGTCGTCTTGTATTCACGTTGTCCATTAAACGTCATAGTAGATGAAACGGCATGTCATAGTTGTGCAGTTGTTGTGCAGTTTTCGCCAAAGAATGTACCCAGACGTGGAAGGCACGTGATGAGCTCACGAAAATCACTCATAAGAACACTGATTTCGGCGCGATTTCTGTATAGGTGGATTTCCACTGCCCCGTAATTTTCACGCGTACACGCACGTAAATTTTACGCGCATAAGTGAAGTAGAGGCAGTGCATGGAAAGTCGCCCGTAAACGTAAAAGATGAACCGTGTAAACGATTAAGTTGAGCGGGTTCAACTTTTACGTTTACGTGTGGCCTTCCAAGCATTGTCTCTACAATATTTATGCGCGTACAATTTACGTGCACGCACGCGTAAAAACTACGGGGCATTAGTGGCATTGGAATCCACCTATACAGAAATCGCGCCGAAATCACTGTTCTTATGAGTGAAAAGACGCTTTTCCGTTATGGTTTTCTTGTTGGGGCAAGAGCTCTCCGGTACAGAGTGAACACAGACTAATTTTCCTACATAGTCTCTATTTTATTTACGCACGTAAAATTTACGTGCGTACGCCGCACGGAAAAATTACGTGACAGTGGAAATCCACTTTAACGGAGCTCAGTGCGCCGCAATCTTGAAAGTGGATCGTCACATAATTATTGGATAGGTTTCTGCTACTCTTCGTCGCAGTGTGACAAGAATTCAGACCGTAACAGAAATAGATGAGTAGGAGCAAGGACTTAAACCCACTAAGAGAGAAGTAACTATTCAGAGGTGAGGTAATGCAACAGACCGTTTCGGCAAATTGATCCGGTACGATTTTCGACGCGTTTTGTGAACGGCTTGTTCCAGTCCTCTGCTGTTCCTGTTCATACGGTGCTAGGTAGCGTTTCATGTCGGCACGAAAAGCTCCCCGGTACATAATTATAGTGTAGACATGGTCTTATTCAGTTTGTTTGTTTGCCTCTTGACGTTCGTGGCATTGCCTTTACACTGCTAAAAAGTTATGGCAATCCGAAACAGTCACTTTAGCCTCCAGGAATACCTTAATGTCGTCGTTGTCGAAGTTTCAATTCTTGAGATCACTTACAGTGCTTTTGGAAAAAGGATTAGTAGAGAGGTTAAGCATCACGTTTACGTCAACCGGCAAACGCGAATTTCTACCACGTGACCAAGTTTCCCCTTTACTTGTCGTTCACTGTTCATTATTTCTACATATAAACTAGTAGTTTCATGCAATTTGATATCCCCAAGAATTGTTTGGAGCTGTTTTTATCTGCTAATTTTCTGTTTTGAGAAATTCTCAACTTGAGTCTGATGTTTGCCGTTTGGGGTATAAGTGAACCTTACACTCTCTAGAGTGACATTGAGAATGTCCCGTCAACTCCATAGGGGGGATGTAAGCTGCGTGCTTTTTTTTTGGTCTTTAAGCATTAATGTGACGTCAAGTAGCGTGAATAGTTAAAACAAACGCTTTGTACTAACCAATCACACCGTGTGCATTAATTTTTCCCTTTTTATAAAAGCGATTAGAACTACTGACTAGCAGTGATGATACTCAAAATAACCCTGTCCTATCTAAACCCAGTTGCATCATCTCTGATCTGGATTACCTTGATCGAACCAGGCTGACGCGCATGCACATAAAGACGTAATTCGAAATGGCGCCAAAAATTTAGACGTATGATGAAAAAAACTTGCTGAGAAGGTCACCCTTGAGTACCACAGGAGAACCAAGTACAACTGTACCACAATATCCAAAGATTAGGGGTTGTGTTCGACGTTAGCCCAACGCAATAAATGTTTACCTGGAAAACAAAGAGCTGGCAAACTGTTAATGACATCTTGACCTAACGGTAACTCTGCTGTCTTGACTCTGCAGCCCGACAATATTGACCCACGGCGACGCTTTGTTGGGTTGGCTGGTTTAGTTGGACTGCCCACGATCCCCAATTTAGGATAATATGGCTCTCCTGCCAACAGCAAAGCACAACAGAAAAAATAAATAGGTTTGAGGTAACAATGCATGCATATGTTGTAGTTACGTGTAATTTTTTTTTATCTCAGGTAATTTTTCATTTTTCTTTTGTTTCAGTTTCACTAGCATACATTACCGTGCCCAAAAACAAAAGAAAAAGAAAAATTACCTGAGATAAAAAATTAACTACAACATATATCAAACATCTGAAGGAGCGTTTCACGCTTTATCAAGGGCGAGGAACTAAAAAGTCAGAGGGAAAAAGAGGTTCTTTGAGGTGCTTGGATATCAGACTAATCTGGCATCTCAAATGACAAAAATGTTTGGGATGGTTCTAAGATATATTTGTTAAGGGTGTCCAAATAAAAACCCTAGAGAGAGTGGGATCATCTGGGAGAAAGAAGCAGAGGGGAGGGGGTAGGGACATGCTCCCTGAAAAAATTAATTTTGAAATTTCAGTGCTTGGAAATCCAGTTTCTAGTTTTCTTATGGTCTGTGCAAGAGTTTATGCAACTACAGGATTGTATTTACACCCAACCTTCGCGATAGTGATCAATTTCCTCTAATTGAGTTTTCAGTTAATCAAGTATACAACGTTTAACAACCTCTGTTTCAACCCAAGTTCAGTACTTTCAAAATGTGGCTTCTGAATAATTTATTTGCAAACATGCATATGTCCTCTCATTGTTCTTTTCTTTCTTTTTCTTTTTAAGGAAGCAACCATTCACAATTTGCCTATCTCCCATGAAAACCCACCTTGTTTCACCAAAAATTTAGAAAAACCTTTGTTTTTACATTCCCCTGGGTATTATAGTTGCCCCAAGAGAAATCCAAAACAGTGCTTCTGCATCCTTTTTTGTTTGTTTGTTTGTTTGTTTGTTTTTTTGGGAGGGGGGCTTATTACGGGAGATGTGAAAATGAGGAGTTTGAGACAAAGTTTAGTAATAAAGAAAAGTTGTTCAATTCTAATTTCTTAGTTGACAAGTTGTCCACTTATGCACTACGTACTCACCATTGATTTGGTCATATGGTGCATGAGGAAATGATGCTGTCTCTACTGACATGGCTGCCAACACATTTGTCTCAAACATGGTCGAATACACGCGGGAGTCAGGGTCGTTTCCTTTGGACACTTGTCTTTTCTGTTGTAACAAGAAAATGTATGTAGTAGATGTTGAGGAAAAATAAAATAAAATAATTCAACTTTCAACTTAACTTAAATTTGGAAATATAACAAAAGATACATTGGGACTGGCTTGCAGTTAGCAAGGCTATTCGAGGCAGGCCAGGCTACATAATTTACTACAAACTAGACAAATACAAAGAAATTATGCACGTTATATAAGTATATATATTTTACATTAAATAGATACTATTCTACTTAAATGCAAGGACAATATTAAAGTGAAATAATATAAAATTAAATGACATCAAAAGGCAGGTGTAATTTTTAATAGCTGGAATTTTTCCTCAGCAGTGTACAAACTCTTTCCCAGGGTCCTCTCTTTCTTGTGCTCACTCTGGGGGACAAGTAGGAGAGAATGCTGGGAATGAAATTGCAGTGCTACCCTCCTCGATACATTACTCTGGGGTCTTATTACTTCTGACAAAAAAACTCTTTCCAACCAGTTTTTGAGTGGGCAACAATGCATACTAATATTACAAGAGAGAGAAACAGTGCACTAGCTGCTAACTGTCAATGTAGACTGCCCTTTGAAATTTATTTGGCAATATTATTATTTATTTGTGGATGGTATAATAAGAAGTAACTTGAGAAACTTTGAGATTCTTGGGACACAAAAAATACCTGTTACCCTTGGGACCAGTCTTGGAGTGTTAATTAGTATTACCAGTATTATTCATTCAAAATATTTCCCCAATTCTGATTGGCTAAAAGCACACCCAGAATTCACCATAACCAGCTACTGATGACCAAATTTGGAAGAATTTTGCGATTAATGAACCCTTGACGTCAAAAGTGCCGCTTCCTTGCAGGTTAATGAACTGTTGACCGAGAAGACCTGGGGAAGAGGTTGAGTTGTTTTGGTCGTGAAAACAAAAATGACAGACATTTCACTCGTTTCAAGAGTAAGAACTAGGTGAAATAATAGCTAAAAACATGGCAAGAACAGCAAGAAGATGATTTGAAGGGTGACATCTACTATTTGGAGAAAATTATTTTGCAGAGCTGAATAACCCTAAACGTGCACTATCAAAGATGAACTTGACGTCCATGGAGGTAAGCATGTTTTAGCTATGTTGTTAAACCACGAAATTATTAAATTTTTGAATGAATAATAAAACAATTATTGAATTCCGCTCTCGTATCATATGAAGAATTATGGAGATCTCGAAGGGGGTTATCGGCTGATAACACCCTCCTTGATCTCCATAATTCTTCATATTAAGATACTCAACCTCATTCATTAATATTGTTAAATATAACACTAACTATATTTATTGTCTTCTGGGGACAACCGACCAGCCCATTCCTCACAAACTGTTTTTTGCCAACCCCTACCAACCCTTCATCCACGATACACCCATACATTCATCCATCAGGAGAATAAATTTTAAATTCAAATCTAATACAGTCAAACCCTATTAATACTGACACTCATGAAGGGGTCATACAAATTGCTCGTAAATAGTCTCCAGGGGTGCTCATAAAGTGATACAGTTCGACAGTATTACTAATACACATGATATGACTTGTCAAGTTAAGAATTAAAACTTGAGGCTTAAATTCTAAACCTGATATTTTGAAACCTATGTAGCACTACCCACTGCATAAACCACTTTCCTCTGAACATTTAACTTATTTACATGTATGAGGGTCACTAATAACAATCTGGCAACAGAAATGATTCAATGAAAAGTAGCCTTGTGATAAATGGTCATTGTCACATGATTTTCAGAAGGTTTTTACCGTTTTTTCCATAAGGTGCCAAATAATTTTAATGACGTTTGTGAATTTTTTTTCTCCCATGTGATCATCACATGAAACACGTAATTGAGTAAAGCAAATGAAATGCAGACCTATTAACCCATTCGCCCCTGAACCGCCCGTAACCGCCCATGCGGATCCAGGTCCTTTCTACCCTTTGTGACGTCATCAGTTTTAACGGTCAAGGACAACTTTCTTCGCTAACTTGCGCAGAGTGAACAGATCTTTCAAACCATACCAGAATGAGCACAATTCAGTCAAGGACACCGGAGAAAGAAGCAAAAAACCACGTGACAAGGACCTGAAAATCTCCATGAAAATCTTGTTCCATTACCCACCTACCTTTCCTTTCACCTAATCCTAAGATCCTAAAAGCTTTCCTAAAAACTCTTCCCACCAAAATGAAGCCTACTAAATGCCCAGCAAGAGAAAAAAAAATGAGGCAAGAAAAGCGAAAAAAGAAGGGAGGAGAGAAAGCGAAAAGTAAAAGTCAAGACTGCTGTGTCACTTTTAAACCCAAAAACTCGAAATTGTCGAAATTTTGCTTTCTGCGCATGCCCGAACTTCGAAAGCTGATATTTTGCATCTGGATCAGAAGGCCGCCGAGTGTAAGACCTGTAAACCGGTTTGTGGTAAGTTTTAGCTCTTTATAGCACGACAGTGACCAGAAAACCACTCAAATAGCTTCAAAACGCGTTTTTCGGCAAAATCCCCAGGAGTGAATGGGTTAAGCAAAGTACCAAGCTTTTTGAAAAAAATCCACTTTTCAGCATAAAACAACCAAATCTGTCTATTTCATGTAAAATTAGGTGAAAAAGTTGGTAAAAGGCCATTTTTAGGTTTTTTGATTAAAGAATTTCAAAGTGTTTTAGAACCAGGAGCTACATATAACCAGACACTTTGAGGTATACACAGGACGTGCAGTGTATTTTGGTGTCAAATACAGGTCACCCATTTCCCTAATACTTATCAACCACCAGGTACCACAGCATTTTTCAATCTCTTTTCATTCACTCCACACATATCTTTCGGGAAAAATGCTTTTACAATGTATATGATCATGACAATTTAATGTCAGATTTTCTGGAAACAATTAAAAAAAAACTGAAGTTGTGTAATAATATTTATCTTGGTGTTCAACATGTTTGTTTCTGGTAGTGGTTTTTATAAGGAAAATCATTAATTTACCTCCGGTGAATAAGCAGGTACAAGGCCTGTGTCTTGGTCCATACCGACCACAATGCAGATCTCTACCAGACTGTTTAACATCTTGTGGCAATGATGTTCCATTGTGCTTCTTTCTTCAACAATAAAATGACTATTACTATAAGAAATAAATAAAACCTGGCTATACAATCCATTTTTAAATATTTTCAAAATACCTGGATGTCATATTTAGGCACTAAACTGTACACGAGTCAAAGTATTGGAGAAGAAAGTTTTGAAAACTTAAAACATTTCTTAATGAACTAATATAATAAACAACACTAGTGTATGGAAAGCATTAGCAAGGCCACTGCAGAAGATTTTTGTAAAGAAAGGCCACAGAGGCCAGTGTGGAAGATTTGTGAAGAATTTGAAGATAAGCAATTAAATTGGCACAGTTTGCAAAGATTGCCACTGGAAGAGATGACTTATAACTTACTTCTGTGATAAAAATGACAAATGCCTGAAAAATGACAGCAGCCACCCGAATCACCTCCTTCTCACCTCCCAAATATAAATATGAACATGGAAAGGCATGTTCAAGCCGGTTATTTCACAATAAAAGCATGACTTGATTAAACAATTATGCTACAGCTGTATTTAGCAAAATTAAGTTCAAATTTTGTCACATGGTGCCCTGTTACAGAAATTACATAACTCAGAGAGTTCAATTGCAAAAAGTATGACGCCATATTTAAATGCTAACAATTCACAAATGAAAATTTACAAATTCTTCTTATTAGCTAATGAATGTGTGCACATGGGTTTTCAGTGCAATATGCATGTATGCCCTTCAGCGGAAACAGTCCATGGAATGGCGGATATCTGTGGATATCGAATAAATTTGGGGATTCAATATAAAGAACAATATAATCGTGATTCTTAGCTTTCATACAATCTAAACCATAAAGGCTTAAGTGAACTTACTGTATTTTCTAGTCACCATGTTTAAGATCGATTGCACAAGCAGCGGGCTCAATGTTTTTGGCAAATGTGATCGAGGCGGCGCAATAAATGCAAAGAAGATACATACATACATCCATTTCCAAATTTCCCACCTGGATTAGCAGATTTAGCAGATTTAGTAGGTTTAAAAACAACTTTTTAAACTCATATACAAGTGTGATAACAGGTAACAGTGCGAAAATTGTGGAAATGAAACTCACCGTGCAAAAAAAACTTGCTTTTCAAGTTTCTCCTTTCGAGAGGTTAGACTTCAAATAAAGCACGCAGAAGTTAGTATTTCTGATATGACTATGAGCTCTTCAAAACATGGCGACCAAACTAAAACATTTTCCGTAAATTCGAGGTGAACTTAAAACGAAATCGCCATTTTTGGGAAAGCGGCTTTTCCTAGAATCGATAGTGTTGCGTGACTTCCGGAAGCATACACAAGGGACTAGACTGAACTCAGTGCGATCCTCTGAAAAACAATAAACCAACAAAGTTACGAAGCTCCAAACGCAAGTAGATCAAAGCCACTTGAGTAAGTGAAAGTCTCTCGAATCAATTATATTTGAGAGGGTTTTGACCTTTCGGTTTTTAAACTTGAATAAGCAAGATGGTGGGGATAGCAAGATAGGCAGGGCAACTAGATCTAATTTGCATTGCTAAGACATACCGATATCGTTATTGTGGTAAAGGTAGTGCGTAGACAGAGGACAAAAACTGATTGAATTCAGTTATATATACATTTTTATTATTTTGCTAGAATTAACTCGTCCAATTTCTTTGTTACCATGAAAATAAATATTATCTATTCAAGTACCGTATTAAAAAGGAATTTGAGAATAAAGAGTGCAATTTGTACTAGAAAGTGTAACTGACTAACCCGTGGTTGTGGATATCACAGGAAAAAATAACGGATTCCCATTTTTGGATATTTTAGGGTATTTAAAGAATACCCATAAAAATCCCAAATTTGGCAAAGTGAGTCAAGTCCCAACCAGGGAATTCCCAACCAAGTTCCCTGATTGGAACTTGTCTCACTCTTCCAAATTTGGGATTTTTGTGGGTATTCTTTAAATACCCTAAAATATCCAAAAATGGGAATCGGTTATTTTTTCCTGTGGGAAATCAAGGAGAAGGGAAGGGCCTGACTTAGTCCTAAGGATGTGCCACTGTAAAGTGTAGTGTGAATCGGAGGATTTTAGGGCACAATGGGGCATCATTTATGCCCGCATTTATGTCAGCTGATCAGTGATTTGAAGATATCATCATTAGTGTGGGGTGGGATAGGAATTTTCGGTGCCTTGTCTACCAGTCAGGTAGCAAAAATTTCACTTGAAGGTAGAAGGTGGATGGTCTGACCATCAACTTTAGAACGATGGCATGGTTTAAAATCTTTCTTTTGACCAAGGGTTGAACTAAACAGGTCTTAGTCTGATTAAAAGGAATCACGCCCCCACTTATACGCCCCATTCCCCCAAGACAAATATCATTAAAAATTTAGAACATTTCTTAATGTCAAAAGACTTTCCACCCCTTCGCAGATTCACAGTTTTGTAAGTTCAGGAACACGCGCTGGAATGATCAGTATATTTGGTTTTGTTTCAGCTGTAAATTCCCTGGTCTTGATAAGTCTCATGACCATCAACTTTATTTACCAATCTCTAACCGAACGATGGCATCAGCGCTTTGAAAATCTTTCTTTTGTATTAGCTCACGTGAAACGTAGTGATGAACTAAACTTTTCATTTATTTTGGTCTTATTACACTGCAATGATAATCTCGTGATTAAAAGGAATCCAACGGCTTCAGTTTGTCCCGCATACTTGGCATATTTTTACAGGTCGTTCATTCTCTTCCGGGTTTGACTTAGATTGTTTTCGTAACCGGAACAAGGAGCTAAAATTAAGCTAGTTTTGAGTACCTCATCTCTTAAAACTTTCCTTCGAAAATCTCTTGGATACTCAAAGCAATTTCCCTTACTGGATCGTGGCTCCGTTCACGCGAATACAATAATATAATCGGATGAGCGCATAAGAAATTCCATTCTTAGAAGAAAATGGTGAGATCGACTTCCTGAAACTTTAATTATCATCATTCCCAGAATTCAATTTAATCGATACAGAAATGGCAGACGATGTTCTAGTAGTACACAGGATAAATTTCACGTTTTGTCGAGGATGTGAACGAAGACAACGACTTTCTTTTTCTTTTCCGACCTGGACTTCGAAGTAGTCTTTAAGAATTCACCTCCAGAAAAAAATTACAACAATTGTCCGTATTGAAAGAGGAATAGGAGCGGCAAAGTTTGAAGCAGAGCGAATTCACCTTTTTAAGTGACGTTTTCGTAGCCGTCGCTGTCGTTTTTGCTTAAGCTCCCTAATCACGGGTAACAGTGCACTGTTACCCTCCGTCGTCATAGATTTTGCTATGATTTTGGCGGGAAACAGTTTTATTGTTAGATGTCATGTGACCTCCAAGTATAATAACCATTTGAGGGAGCGCGCTGTTGGGGGTTTCCAGCAGAATAACAAAACAATATATATCGATTTGCAATCTAACACACTGCGAAAGCTGGTCCTCGACGTGCAGCTTTATATGTTTCAAAGCCTTTCTGCGGTTTGTATTACAACATATTTTTCTATACCGTTTTGATATTATAAAAACGTAAGGAACCTATCAACAACTTTCTTTTCCCCTTGCATGAATAAATTTAACCATAAGCCGCAGTTTAAGTACCAAAAAACTCATATAAATAACAGTGTCGTCATACTTTGTTTCATTAAAGGGGGCTGTCTGCGGAGACATCCATAGATTAGTTTGGCCATGGGCCTGCGAATTTTTATGGGAGGTTTGGACTTCACAGTCCGGTCAACGTCACATCTCTCAGCTACTGATTTGCCATTTACCCAACACTCGATCCGGCGAAGAAATGTCAAAAATGATGGCAAATCTTGGTAAAAACTATACTGACCGTATCTGATACTTCAGATGATATTACATCCGGCTGTAATTTAAGATTTCGGGGGTGGGTGGCAAAACTAAACGCCGGCAAAGCAAAGTTATATACACATAGCATCGGTCTTCGTGTGAGGATTTATCACTAAGTGAAGTGAAAAGATTGCTGCTCACAACATTGAATTTAAATCACCCTCACGGTTCCTTATCCTTGTCTGTTCGATCCCTGCAGTGTTTGCGTGTCTTTGCCAGTTTATTGCTCCGCAGTTTTAGCGTAAAAGGAATGAAGGTTCTAGTCCAAGGAGGTCAGTATTCTTAAACACCAACGGGGTATCCCTGCATTGAAATCTCATAAATTACCCAGCCCAAAAAAAGGTTGACCACACCACCAGGGTTTACGTCCCCTACTCTTTTCGGGGCTCTTTTCTTTTTTTTGTTGGGTTCTTTTACGTCCCTTAGCTTAATAATCAGATAAATGAAAGTGCTGTGAGACGGGTTCTATGATTTTTCGTCCTTATCATCCGTTTGACCGTTTGCAGACGTCATTACAAAGGCAGCACTGTTTTAACAAATCGTTTAGCTTTGAGTAATCTTCGTACAGTTTTGAACGATAATCCGGCAGAACTTTAAGGACTGTCGAATGTTTTAAACTGAATTTCAGTTGAACTTACTAAGTTCAATATTGAATTTTATGACCGAGGAAAAAACTAAACTTAATATGCGTGCTCCATACATCTTCATAGCCTGTCATTCATCTCTGCCTCGGTTAAGAAATTGTTTACTTGGTACATAAAAACACGTCCAGAGGCATCGAAGAAGAAAATTAGTTACTGGAGAACATCACGACTGTGTACGGTTTCTTATTTGGCTTTGTCATTAAAATAGCTATCAATTCAACAATTCAATGCTAATAACCAAACGCTTTATTTATAAAACCTAACGTTATGTATCTAACTAGAAGCTATACTTTCTCAAAACTACCAAGACTGATATCGTCATCGAATTTAATTTCGACATTCAAGTGTATATGAGGATGAGGAAGCATATCATCGATCTCCCAAATGGACACAATTGATCCCCTCCCCAACTGGGGGGAGGGAGGAGGCCTAAACACAGTTACATTGTGTGCGCTCGAATTTCGTTGCAAATAACACCTGGTAATGATTTTCTAGTTTTGAGAAAGAGAGGGCTGACACCATTCGAAATCTGTCAACGTCTGTAAAGAAAAACATTTGGCGTTGGCTAGAGAATTCTTATTTTAAATATTAACCATGACCAGTTTTACTGGGATTTATATTACAAACCACTTGTGTTAAAGACACAAATAGTGTAGCCACCTGATCAACATGTGTTTTGGGTTTTAAGGGGAAGCGTCATTATTGTTAAATAAATTTTAATCATTTTTATTAACCAACTACAAACTTGGCTTTGCAAAGCAGTTTTCTAAACCAAAGCACTTTTTATCATGTGCAAATTAAAACTGATAAGTCGAGGTCGTACTCAAGCATAATGCTGACCACACCTAAGGGAGATAGTATCATGACTCAAAATGTCGCACGAGCTGGATTTCTTGGGGAAGATTTCTTTTGATTCTTCAAATGCATGATATTTTGCTAAGATTCAAAAAATTAAAACTGAACGCAAAATACCTTTGATGAGTTTTCAGATTAAAATAAATGGAATGAATTCAGTGATAGAGCAAGTTTGGTTATAATAACTAGAGAATTAAATAAGTTAATCGGCCATCACCGAGCCATCATTAAGAAAAAAGCAGAGGTCCTCGATGGCCAAAGGCCATTTTAGTAACAGCTTTGTTGCCTGTGTACAGACGCTCCCTCTGATTTTCTCTTGAGGAAAGGGGGCACTTGTGCACAGGCTATACCTACATCTTTGTGGTACGTCGAGAGGACTGTGAATCCTTTTTAAACTTTGCAGTGTTAAAGTCCTTAAGTCGGCCTGATTATCCTTTTAGGTCTTCCCTTAAACACAGAAATACCGACCATAGAAATCGTAGCCTGTAAATTGCTTCTACTTAAGAGACCTACAATTAAACAATTTTTTCAATTCAGGTTTGTTTGCGGGATATTTCAGTTTTTCTTAATCATTTAGCCCCTTCCTCTAAAGGTGTCTGATGCCGAAGGCTCTTAGGGATGTGAAGTTTCCTTTTTTTTTGGCTTATAAAGTTCAAGTTTTGTTTATTATTATTATTATTTTTTATTTTTTATTTAATATATTATTTGGCTTAATTTAAACACAAAACGTTCATATCACAACTTATTACTTTAATTTGATTGCTTTTTTGATTGCTTTTATGATAAGTATAGAAACGGAGGCTTCGCTTTTAGCCCTACCTGGCTAAATATATATATTTCAGGGCCATATCAGCAACATCTTTGAATCCTTTTGTTAACCTTGCAGTGTTATTGGGGGTGTTTCTTCTGACGGTGGAGGCCAACCATTGTAGGAAGGTGGATTGGTGGCATTCATTTGACAAGAGAGGCTGGTCTAGGTGTAGCCACTCTACCGAGTACTTGAATGGGATCTACAGAAATGACAACAAGGGTCATAACGATGGATTATATCTGATCGAGGAAGGATGGTGCTGCAAGGCTCCTTCGCCGAACCAACACCAGCCGTCACATTGCAAGATCGCAAACTGGTGGAGTGTGTTGGACAGGTCAGTGAGATCAGGTTCCGCCCGGTACCCAACCTCTTACCCTTTGCATACCATTTTTGACAGAATACTATAATCTACAAACAGTACCCCTTTCACATACCTAGTTTAGAACTTTGTAGCCCTTTTAACTGCTCTAAATGCGCTGTCTTTAAAATATGAATAATCACAAAAACAGAACATGGTCAGAACGTTTTTTCGACTTTTGTCACTGAGCATGATAATATGTAGCCTCCCTCGCAGCCGTTTTTTGGATGTCATAACATCCAAAAAACGGCTGCGAGGGAGACTAGATAATATGCACCTGGGCCTAATTAGACACCGACGACCCCTTATAGGCCATAGGCAGAACTCCCGGTATATATGCCGCTAGTTTAAGACCGAGATGTTTCAAATATATCAATGTGTACTTGTATCCGTGTGCCAACAGAAAGTTGGATGATGAAGGGCTCTTATATAGAATTTTGAGCGCACAGTTTTGATCACACGTAACTCTTATTTAACTTTTTGCATACAAGTTCTCATACGAGTGGTCATATAAAACGGTTAATGTGCATTGTCACTCGTGATATTTTAATAATGGACCGTACTGTTAGGACCCCGTTAAAATATAAACAGGACCTCAAAATAAAATTAAAGGGGCCTTAGTGTCTTTCTATGTGTTGTTGTGTTTCTCGCAATAATGGTTAGTAAATGTACTAAAACACACAAGCTAGACATTTAAAGATACCTGTCACAGTTAAGAAAATCGGCCTCACTGTTTTCTTTATCAGCAATTGCTAAATAATGGCATTGAAATCAAGCAAAGGGGCCTCCATCCTACCTGGTGGTTAAGCAAGGAATCTCCATAGAGAAGCCTATTTCTTTTTCAAGATGACCGGTCCGGCCGACCAGTACGGCGTCAGTCTGACCTTTCATATACAATTAGCGCCCTAAGAAAAACAGCGAATTTAATTATTTTTTCAGAAACCACCATTGGGCACTCTGTCCAAAAGGCTACTTTCTGCAGGGATTTTACCGTACCGATGGTCAATGGCTGGGTAACATTGAGAACGGCCGATGCTGTAGACCCAACAACTTACCTGATAAATACCGGCATTGTTATGTTAAGAACGTCTATCGTGCGTTTGACCACAAAGGATGGAATAGATGTATGAAGGATTATTACTTGGTTGGTCTATACAGAGGAAGTTGTCACTATTTAGGCTGTATTGAACAGTTCAAGTGTTGCAGCATGATCGTTGGTCAGTACATTTTTTAGCAGTTATTGCATGAGGTTGAGTATAATATGAAGAATTACGCAGATCAATTTACATAATTATTTATATCACTCGAAAGCCAAATCATATATTACTTGTTTTGTTATTGCATCTCTGAAAATATTTCCAAAATATTTCCAACTCAGTCAACAAAACGTGCCATCTATATAAACTGTTCGCGTCTTCATAACTCCCTTTGCACTGTTCCTCGTCAGCCGAAAGAAAAAGTTCAATTAAAGGAAAGGTATCATCAGTGAGTCCTCGATCGTGACAGAGCGATGAAACCTATTTTGCTTGTTTTGATCACGATCGGCTCATTTATGAATGTAACTATTGAATCAAACTTTGATTTTTAAGTCGACTGGTTTTATAAAAGGTGTTTTACTGAGGAGTGCTGAAGGAAAGAGAAATCGGCACCACAAAATTTGTCCTACTTAACGTTATGGGAGGTTTCATTTTCCTTAACAGAGAGTCGAACGTCTAGTTCTGTAATTATATTTTATCACCAATTTGCTTTGCTTTAGATGTGAACAAGTGTAACCAAAAGCCATGCAAAAATGGCGCTACCTGTGTTGACCTTCAAGGAGCCGGTTATCGGTGCAATTGTAAATCTGGATTCACTGGCAAAAACTGCGAGCAAGGTTTGGTAGTATATGATTTTATGCTCTGCCGATAAATTGATTTTTCTTTCTTTTCATTGGCCGAGAGCCCACTTCGTGACCTGCAAATAACTGCCATAAATAACTGCCTACAAAAAATGGTCTGCTCATGCACAATGCCGTCCAACGGTGTTTAGCTTTAAGTGTTTGGCTGCAAATAATATTCTGCTCATGCGTCAAGGAAACCGTGCTTTTCTCCTTCTTGCGTCCGCTCTTGCGTGAAAATGGCAGATTCGCTTCCCAAGGATATTCATTAAAGAAACAAACTCGGTGATCGAATGATTAATGCTTTAAAAATGCTGTTTCGTACCAGGGAGTACTTTAAGCACAAACGTTGTCTTCACAGGATGTTTCGGATTGAATTTTAAGTAACATTTAACGGAGTATGTCCGAGTGTTGTCCCCGGGGGGTCGTTAAGCGCTGATTTAGTTGAACACATTCGTTCTAAAAAGTGAAAATAGACTAAAACCGAGTCTTCTTTTCAAGATTAGGCGTTGCTAGTAGCGTTATCCAAGAACTCAGGTATAGTGTAATTAATATCCAAAGAACGAGCTATTCGAGGCAAGACTGGCCCGGAAATTCCTACGTAAACGTAAAGTTTTATGTCCGCAATGCGCCTGAAAATAGATGACTGAGAAACCCAAATTGAATTGTGTTTTACAGTGTTTAAAAGTGCCCCTGATACTCCGACCTGGAACGAATATGCGGAGAGCTTTTAACAGAATGCTTTACCTCGGGGCAGGAGATTAGCGGTGGCTTCACACTAGATCAATGTTTAAAAGTATTCCGTTTAATTTTCCTGCCTGTCTCGGGAGAAATTTAGGGCACTCGTGCATAGTTCGTAGACTAACTGATTGAAAGAAAACTGATCATGAAGACTTTGACGTCATTTGAATCTCCCGACTGAGAGAGTTATACCTTTTGAAGACAGCGGATCTGATCTTCTCGGCCTTGCCACTTTAGTAGTGGGCGGGACTATATTAGGATAAGTTTGATGGCGCTAACATTTGACCTTTCGTTTACTGTTCCAGATATCAATGAATGTGAAGCAAGCCCTTGTAAGAACGGTGCCACATGTGAGAACCTTTCAGGAAGCTATCACTGCAAGTGCAAATCCGGTTACGCTGGCAAAAACTGTGAAGAAGGTCGGTAAAGAATAAATTGAATTCAAATTGAGTCCCTATTTTCATTTCTACGGGGATTATTTTTTTCTCTTGTCATGCCCGCTCGACGTCTACTATCCCTGAGGAAAAATGGGGACTTTAGTCTATTTCTTCGATTTTAACGTCACCTTATGTGGAAGATTTAGGCTAGGGTTCGATTTCGGTGCCGGTGTGCCAATCAAAGAACAATCAATCTAAAAAGTCATACAAGCTAAGAAAAAAGACCGGTGATCTTGTAACGAGCCATACAAACATTGCATGCAAAGCAGATCCTCCCCCCCCCCCCCATTCACTTTTTTAACGGTCTGTCCCCAGCCAATTTCCCGGGAAATTGTCCCTAAAAGCCCCGAGGGGAGTACTTGTATTTGATTTATTTTCTCCATTTGTTTTATTTTACAGATTTGAAGATGTTATTCTTAAGATTTAAATATGGGATTACAAGAATAAATGGAGAAGGGCAAGATATAGTGAAACGGGTCTGAAACTAATAATTACATGACCTTCGATTAAATTACATTTACGAGAAAAGAGAAGTACCGGTATATAAAGTATGAAAATAGGAAGTCTGTGTTTCGATTTTTCCGTAGTAGTAATAGTAACGTGTATACTTTTTTGTTTTGAAGACATTGACGAATGCCTCGACGAACCTTGCAAGAACGGTGGCACTTGCGTCAATATTCTGGGAAGCTATCGCTGTAATTGCCCATCCGGTTTTACTGGCAGAGAGTGTGAAAAAGGTCAGGAATTAAAATTTTAGTTCGCCTAATGGATGAATAAATTCCATCTTTCCAGAATTTTTCGTTGTACACAAATAACTACGTAAAATGTTTTGAAATCAAAGAATGACGACACGTCATTTTTATCGCATCAAGGCCGGTTTTCACAACAGCAGACAAAATGGTGGAAGTCGTCCGTGACAATAACTGGCATTAAAAAGAGGATGACGAGGCGCTTCGTAAATCCGCAAAAAATAGATTTACTAGTTGGAGCAGAGAGGAAACGTTTTGGAGAGAAGCGACGACCGCTGAATGCGTCTGTGTTCGCAGGCAGGCATTCGAACGGTATCACACATGAGTCCAAGGCTAATTCCTGCGATCTAAATTGAGCTCTATTTTCAAAAGCATAATGCAAAACATCGTCAAAGAGGTTATCTCGTGTCAGCAATGTTTGTTAACGCCACTTGTTTTTATAACTTCAACGACCTAAACAGTACAACAGGAATAGGATTTTTTAAAAAAACAGAGATCGATAACGAGCAAATTAAGAGATCCTGCTAAATCTATAATGTCAGGGAAGAGGTGATAAATGACAGAGGTTCCTTTTGTTCATGTAGACATCGACGAATGTGTTGACGAACCATGCAAGAACGGTGCCACCTGTCTCAATCTTCCAGGAAGCTATCGCTGCGATTGTAAATCTGGTTACCATGGCAAGAACTGTGAGAAGGGTTAGAAAACCATGATTGTCTCTATAATATCTTCCAATACTCATATATGTATTCAGTCTCTTTTAATAATTGCTGTTTCTAAAATAACGAGAAAACGTACTTCGATCAATTACTGAGATACATTACTCGTTCGTTGGTGGAGATAACTGTAATATCAACATGCTACTTTCCTCTTCTTGCAGACATTAACGAATGCCTCAACCAACCGTGCAAGAACGAAGCCACATGTGTCAATCTTCCGGGAAGTTATCGCTGCAAGTGCACATCTGGATTTATTGGCAGAAATTGTGAAACAGGTCATAAAAGAATGGACTTTTTCAGTTTTACTTCTTCAGGAGCTCCTGACTTGTTCCGTTACTAGTCCGTTTTTTCTTTCGTAGATGACAAATGAACCGGTAGATGTCATTTCTTTTTCTACATACCCTTATTTTGATTGTTGCAAAGCGCCTTTTAAGTCTTAATTACCACTTTGAAAACTGGGATAAAAATTTAAGGAAAACTTTTTGTGATGACATAATACCCGTGCCCTGTAACTATATGACAAGGTCACTCCAGGGAAGATGACACATTTTTTAATTTTCTGAGCTCTCAACATCCTTCTAGAACTTTCGAAATTATCCGCCGAAGATTGTAAGCGACCACTGGCATGTGAGCGGCCATGTTGGATCATGCTTAGTAGCCTGGCCCTCTGGCGTTTCGTCCACTTCGCTGTTTCTTCGATCCTTCGTTGCTGTTTTGCTAAATATATCTTTCGTGGCAGCTTTCCCCTAATTTCAGGGTGACAATTAAGCTATAGTCAAGTCAGGAAATCTTAAACAGATCCAAAATGGCGGCTCACGATGCTGTGTTTTTACACTACTTGGAGAAAAATTATGTCCTTTGTCAATGAAACTCGGATTTTGGATTCCGGATTCCTGGAGCTGTATTATGGACTCCAAAGCCCAGGGTCCCGGACTCCAAGAGCAAAATTTTCCCATATTCCGAATACTACAAGTCATAATTTCCCGGACTCAGGGGTCTCTTACAGGGAGCGAAACGTGGAGCTTTTTTCTTTCTACAGACAAAGACGAATGTCTCGGCAACCCTTGCAAGAATGGCGCTACATGTATGAATATTCCTGGAAGTTATCGTTGCAAGTGCACATCTGCTTACACTGGCAGAAACTGTGAAAAAGGTCAGGATCGATATGATATTTGGCTCTTAACTGTCTGATAACTGAGGCCCAGCCGGTATTTAATCGTCTTTCCTTTTTTCAAATTCACTTTCTAAAGAGTTCCTTGAAGCCCTTATTCTACATTTTAAAATGATATAAACGGGTTCTTGCAGAAGTAAAGAGGTGAAAAGGAGACATGAAAAGGAAGCAACTAACAAAGCGCTTTGGAATTGGGTTTTCACGAGCAGATAACTACATATAAAGACCTTTTTTTATTCTCCATTGGCTCCCTGAAGGTGAAGTTGGGACTGATCGGATGGTGTAAAATTTTAATGCCTGAGAGGAAAAGAATGTTTATGTTTTACATATGTACAACTGTGCAACATTGCCGTGAGATAAACTAGAACACACGGGAACGCAGAAAAATCAGAGAACAAAAGTGACCAAAAGTATTCAACAGGTTTCAGACAAAATTGACTGGGAGAACTGAATGACTGTTCAGAAGTGGTTGAGTGATTAAATAACAATAACCATATTAACATGATACTTTATCCTTATGATTTGTGCAGACATAAACGAATGTCTTGACAAACCATGCAAGAACGGTGGAAAGTGCGTTAATCTGCCGGGAAGTTATCGTTGCAATTGCAAAGTCGGTTTCACTGGTAGACACTGCGAAAAAGGTCAGTATGGGACACATTGATCGCGTTATACGGTTTATACTTCTCCCTCGTCTTGATGTATTTCTATTGAAAACATAGCCTGTGAGAGAAGACGCCCCTTTCGACTTTTCCTTCACTCGCTGAGAAAGGAGCGTACGTTCACTTCTGTCTGTATAAGCATGATCTCTTTTATTAATTAAGCACACCAGCTACAGTTACGGAATCTGCCACCAGTTCAAACTGAAAAGTAGACGACCTTTGTAGGTAGATCAGTAATCTTATAAAAATACAGCTTAGAGAACTGCCTTGATAATACTCCATGAACGCTAATCGTCTCAAGACAACTGACTTCCATGACCGTAAAAGATTTAACGCTCCATTTTCAATGTGCACTGATATCTCCATAGACACTTACGTATACTACTAGAAAGAAATTGCCTTTGGTAAAAAAAATTGGTTTCATGCTATTAAAACAAGGAGCGACTTCTCTTAAAATCTTAAAGACCAAAAAAAATAACAAATATCGAATTGTGATTTTACATGTGTTTTCCGCAGCTTATAAAATAATTAATAATCTGGTATGTATTTGTACTGCATGGCTAAGAGCAAATTAACGTAATTTAAACAGCTCAAGTCAGAAGGACGTTAGCCTTCTTAAATAAAATTTGGAATAAACAAAAAGAGCTCACAATTAGTGGTAACAAAGTGATATACTTTCTCTCTTATAGACATTAACGAGTGCCTCGAAAAACCGTGCAAGAACGGTGCCACCTGTGTTAATCATCCGGGAACTTATAGCTGCAACTGTAAAGGTGGATTCATGGGACGCCACTGTCAAATAGGTGATGCTACTAATCCAGGAGTGTAGTATCTCTTGGCAAATCAGCTTTACACTATACACAGTTACCAATAGCGTGTGGTCATCACTCTCTAATCAAACTTTTAACACAGAGACTCTGACTAAAGATCTTAACATAATTAGATATTTCTGCAAATTTTAACCCCGGAATCTGGACACTTATGGAGAGACTATTGCTTTTTTAAATCTCAAACTCTGCATTTTGCCATTCAAAACTTTAAATTCTGTAGGTTTTGATGGCTGATATTTCCTTTTAAAATATATAGTTCACTTATAGTTAATTAAAGCACTTTCAAGGTTTAAATTTATTTATTCGTATCTACTGTAAGCTTCATATGGCTCCAAGTCCCACGCGATGATGACGGCATGATGAATTATTCCGCACCAAAATTTCAATTAAACCCTCAGCTGAAAAAAAATTAGAATACCCGACGCCACCCACCAAAACTTGTGTTATTTTAAACAGAAATTTCCAACTTTCTTTAGTGTTTCATACTTATTTAATTTTCTACGAAAACAAGCGAACGTTATTAATTTGTTGTGAACAAGTATATCCATTTTTAAGTGATCAATCAATCAGTCAACAAATTAATTTATTTAACTACGCTTAAGCCACACACAAACTGAGGTGGGGCATAGGCAAACACATATTAAAGCATATAGTGTTCACTGTCGGAAGATAAGATGCATCGATGTTACATAAGTTCAGAGAATAATTAATTAGTAATACGTAAAAATTTTACACAATACAGTTTGTTTCACAATAATTGTTTTGGTGGGAGTTTTTAAGAATAATTAATATAAGTTTGAAATTAATATTCCCACAAAAAAAATTATGGAATCAGAGCGATACAGCAGAAGGCAAAGAGGCAAGTTTGCTTTTAAATTCGGAAAGCGATTGTGCTGTTTATATGTAATGTGTTCCTCGTAAGAAAGATTGTTTGAGAGCATTACACCACTATACTTAAAATTACGTCTGGTTTATCTTGACCGAGGTAGTAGTTGAGCCACAACAATTGCCTTCAATTTCCTTTTTACCCGCAGATTAATGCTGTATAACCCCGTTTTAATAGACTGCACACCGGAAGAGCTCGCTGGCAGGCTACTGTTTTAATTTCCCATTTGATTTCACCATTTTTAGGTAATACCGCTATCAAACTGAATATTTCGTTATTAGACTATTTGCTTCTATCCCTAGATATCGACGAGTGTTTCGAAGAATGCAATCCTTGTAAAAACAGAGCTAAATGCGTCAATCTTCAAGGGAGTTATCGCTGTGATTGTAAGCCTGGATATTCTGGAATCAACTGCGAAATTGGTGAGAATCAAGCCTTTAGTTTACCCTGGTCTGTTGCAAAAACTCCCAAACTATTAAACTACCTTTTTTCTGTTGTAGACTTTGAAGGAGTGGGCTGCTATAAAGACACTGCAGAGCGGGCAATCTCTTCGCTAGAAGGAAAAGATCCCTCTTTGGATGGTAATTACAAAACTCGTAAGAACCCGATAGCTAAGTGCGCTATGGTTGCTCGCAAAAGAGGTTACCGCGTGTTTGCAGTGCAGGATGGAGGATGGTGTGCAGCAAGTGCTACTGCCGAAGAGACTTTTAACAAATATGGGAAGAGCAGCGCATGCAAATTAGACGGCCAAGGCGGACCTGGGGCAAACGAGGTCTATGTCTTTCAAGGTCAGTCAGGAGCCCATAAACCCGGAGCGAGCAACTTCCATATACTTGTGTCACGGCGTTTTGTCCAACCAGTTTTTTTTTTAGAACGGTAGTGGCGCGAACTTACAGTATCTTTGTTTTGAGTCCCACAAACTAGTCAGAAAAACCTAAAGACCTAAAAATGGTATTTATTGCCTTTTAATGACGTTTAGTTTTCCTTTTTGATATCTTATGCTCTGAATGAGCTCATAGACGGAGCCGTGATTCCACTTTAACGGGGAAAAGTGCGGTAAAATGTGTCTAAAAATAAACCGGTCCATGAAAACGTCGTGACATAGGGCACATATATGCCTAGTATAGGAGTTGCTCGCTCCGGGTTATAGGCTCGTGGGTCAGTATAGAATTTCATCTTTCTTTCTTCAACAGGGAGGTCCCATTCAGACTCCTTTGGGAATCTCATGACCTTAAGATACACTGTTTCTGCTTACAAATATGAGTCGGTAGGCGAACATATTTGCCTTTAGTTATAACTTATATAGGCGACCTTAAAGGCTCACAGAACCCTACATCAGGGCACAATGCGTTACGGTTCGTTCGATCCGTACGGTCCGTACACATACGGAGCGTGCATCTCAATATTACATCAGAGCATATAGCGCTAGGGGAAGGGAGTTGAGAAACACACGCTCCCTTAGTAGAATTGACACTCATCGCCAGGCTAGACTTTGGAACATTTAACACCAAGGCAGCCACCCGTAACGGATAGCGCTCATCGACAATCTCGACGATCCTAATGAAAAATGGGGAGGGGCTGTGAACAATCTACAGGCGACAATAATTTCCCATATGTGGTAATGGCATCATCGTTATCCTTGGTAGCCTGACCGAATTTCCGAAATATGAGCGAGCAATTTATCTATTCTACTGATGTTAAAATTATCATTGGTATCATGACGGCAGCTTGAAGTTTTAAAGTAGCAAGTGAAATAACACGGTTTGTATAAATCAGCAACACGTTATCTCGCCATTTTGTCTGCAGAGAGTTAAGGTTGATCATCACCCGCGATGCAGGATTGATGGAGTTGCAGTTTTCTTCCAAGATATATTACCCTGCGAGCAGAGGAATGCATAAATGAGAATGACATAAATAATTAAGGATAACTGTAAACTGTAGAACCTTGAAATAAACTTGCACTGTCAGAAAACGAAATTGAAGTTGTATACTTAACATTTTGTGTTTTTGCTTTTCCTATATAACAGCTAGGATACTAAAAAACCCCTTAGCTTGGCGACAACCATTTAGGAACGAAAAACCCTTATTTCTAGACCTTTTATCGGCCAGTTAACATGGGAATAGCTAAAAAGAGATTTGCAACATTAAGGGCCTTTTTGTCCGCTAATATCATGCAAATATGCTAAAATTTGTTGGAGGAATTTTTGCAGGCCTTGGAGGAGCGCGGGCTCATTTCCTGAACAGCGGGTAGTAATCGAGCCTAGTCTATATCGAACTTTTTCCGATTTCTTTTATTTATTTTTTTTTTCCATTACCTTTTAATTCATTTTATCGTCTTTCTTTCGCATTGAATTTTGGCTGACTAACTTTCCAGGAAAGGGACAAATTTAAACTGTGCTAAATAGTAAGGGGTGAATAGGAAAATTTGCAGTGCATTTTTCCCTAAAGTGAATTCTTTGATCTTTCCAAAATATTAGACCTATGCGAACACTTAAGAAAGTAACAATTTTACTTGCTTCAGGAGTAAAATATATTATAATCAAACAGTTTTTTTAGATCGTGGTGAAACCTCATGTGACATTAGGGAAAGGGGAATATCGAAAGCCTGCCATACAGGCTAACTGTGACACATCCGAGAAACCCGTAAGAGAGGGAATTGCATGTTGCTGCGTCCTTTGTCCTGTTGTTGGGTCCTTCGAGTCTCCTTTGTCACTGTATATATCTCGGTGGCATGCTGTGGTATGTTCTCGCGGACTGAAAAAGCTGCAAGCTAATCCCCTTTAAAGAGAGTCTGGGCGTTTTAGAACAGCTCGTCCTCGATGAATCTTTCATAGTTCATGTCATCGTTATACAGTTGAGGATTATCGGCTGCCAATAAATCAAAAGCGTACATAAGAAAATGCCGGATTGCCTATTACAATCACCTCTCTCTTAACGGAGACCTATATAAGACGGACACCTTGAGTTGGTCCCTTCCTTTCTTAACTCCTTTCAGTTGACTCTATAAGAAGGGCATCTCTTTAAGACCGACACATTAGTATACCGGTCCTAAAGGTGTGAATCCGTCTTGAGGTGGTGTTACACGGGACGATTCGCAACAACAATTTTCAGCGCAACACAGCATTACAGCATTGTTGCGACATTGTTTCGAACGGTTGCAACATTGTTCCAACATTGCCGGACAACGCTGTGTTGCCTGAAAATGGTCGTTGCATCGTCTCTTGTGACATCACCTTTAGAGAGAGCTGACTGTATGGTAATGTGCCTCAATCCATGTCACGAGACAAGCGATTCAAAGACCAGCTGAAAATAAAAAAAAAATGATCAAGTCCAGTCAATGCCAAATTATAAAAAATTTCTCCCCCGGCTACCTGCACCGTTGCCACCATGTTGTGTAAGAAAACGAAAGAAATTATCCATCATTCTATAACTACTAACAGTTTTTGAACTGAAATAGATCACATATTTCCTTATACTTGTTTACAACGGGGCGCCGGGTTTCTAGAAAGATGGTCAACCTCAAAGTGAACAAACGTCGGTTTGCTCAGTTGCACAAGCTTTTGTAGGCCGGGATAAATAATACTAATTAGTAAAATCCAGCTAGTGGTCTATTATCAATGCTGCGTTCTGATTGGTTGAGCTACTACTAGGCTATTTGTTATAGCCCCCTAGTAGCGAAAACCGCGGGCTTTTTGGCGGCAAAAGGATTAAAGTCTATCTTTTAACTAGCTAAAACTTTTTATTCTCGATATTTTTGACCAACTAGTTGGATTTTACTAAAGCAATCATTCCTCTCGCCCTCATGGCTTCTGAGTCAATAGCACATTCGGCCTTCGGCCTCATGGCCTATTGACTCAGAGCCGGTATTCGGGCTCGAGTTTAAATTGAATCCCAGTAATGCCGAAGTAATGTTTACCGGACTTAAAATGACTCCAACAGTCTCTGAGAAACTTCAGAAACGAAATCGCATACTAGGTAAAATTTTAACCCTGGGTTGTTAAATCTAACCGGCTTTCAAGGATCTGGATCCAGAGGTATTTTTCTTTCCCTGCTGTAGTCCGGCCACTTTGTTCCCCTTTTCTTCTTCTGTGCCCGGCGATTTTTCGAAACCTTGTTCGTCTCCAACCGCAGTATCATTTTTTCTAGAGCTCTCGTCCATGATAAATTTTTCTAAATTACAATTGTGCAAGGGCTTGTGAGACGGGGCCTACTGTTTATCGTCCTCATCCGAGAAGACTAGAAGGTCAACCCGTTTGCAGATGTTATTACAAAGTTATTTAAAGACCCTGAGTGTTGGTCCGGGAGGGGTTTGAACCTACGACCTCCCGCTCAGCAGACCGGTGCTTATCCCATTGAGCTAACCGGGCGGCAAGCAACTCCATGTAGTATACAAGAAAACCTAACAGAGTATACTTAAAACTTTAAGAAACCGCACTAAATTTAAGAAAAAAAATCTAGTACGGCTTTGTAGTCATTTATAATTATCACTTTTGAAAATGCGAATAATGAAAATCGATTTAGCGAGCATTTTTTTCGACAGAATTTGTCCTCTCAGAACTCCACTAGAAATCGCGTTTAAGAGCATCAAACGCCCCTAAGTGGCTTCCGCCCTCGCCGCTCGCGTGAGTCGTAGTTGAAAAGTTGAACCGTCTGTTAAACTGTGTGATTTGAGGGATAAAGTTAAACGCATGCGCATTTGTATGAAGAACAAGGTCTTAGTTTCAGAACGTCTACGCCCTTCTGAACACACCGACTGCAATTCAACGGACGTACAAAGATTGTTAAGCTTAATATAAGCCACCCTACAAAAAAGGCAGCAACATGATTCAGGAACTAGGGAAGTTATCAAAGCTAAATATACGTAAATAAGCCTCACCTTCATCTGAATTTGAACGAAAAGAGGCGACGAAAGCAAAGGCAAACGCTAAGGAGGGCTTCATCTTGAAAAACAGATTGAAACGAATATCTATGCAGCAAAGCCTCTGTCCCTTTCCAATGGATTAAACAAAAACAAGAAACAATTCGGTATTTTTGTTTACTGCTTACAGGACAATAGCAAAGTTAATCGGTGGGAAGTTTTTGAAAAATGTTCTTAAATTTAAGAAAACCTCTCACGAAAGGAGTAAATCAGAATGCTTTTCGCCACATTACTATTAATATTGAATTGAAAGGTTAATGTTTTTTATTTGCTTGAAACAACAGCATCGAACATATGTCAGTTGAAATTGGCAGTCATGAAGGCGAAGAGGGGTCACAGCAGGTTCGTCTAACTCATTACAACAGCTGTTGCGATTTTTTTCAGTTCCACCATTGTGAGTTTTTGCGATGAACAATCAAGAACAATTCGAGCGTTTGTCTGGAAACACATGCTGTTATCAGTGAAGCTGGCTGGCCCTACAAATTCAAAGGGGCTATCACGCCATTTGCTATTTTTTTCCGCATCACTTGAATTCTAAAAGTAACTTCGTTTTTTTTATATAAGACTTAATATTAAGACATTGAAACTGTTTCCTGTCGTCTGTTGCAACGAATGGCAACGATCATGCCATGGACACAGAATGAAACTTGGCCAACGTTTTCAAGTTTTTTTTTTTTGCCTACAAAAATATATCACAAAAAAGTGGTTAGTGCTTCCTGATAAAATTTGGGTTTGATATCTTCGTCATCTGACTCTACAGGAGTATTTTGCGTATGGGTAAAGCATGAAGTAATGATTTCAGCACAGAATTGACCTGAACACCCGGGGGGAGGGGGGAACTCCGCATAGGAAAGGGATGGGGATGCTCGTCATCTCGCTTAGGGGTGTAAATTTCGGATTTTGGTCTCACTAATAGCGTGTTCTGGGCAAAACGCCATCATATTTAGCCGTGAAGGTCTCGTTTAGGGTTGCACGCCAAAAAATACAAAAATATCTATATTGTCTGTGTTTTAAAATGGTCTCTTTGAGGGATCAAAAAGAGCTTGGGCCGCGCCCTGATCGGTTTTATTAAGACTTTAATTTAAAATTTCCGACGAGCATCCCCACCCCTCTCATATGCGGAGTCGCCCCCGGACCTAAACAGCTGAATTTTGACATCTTTAATTGGCCAAGCAATAAATCACATAGACACGCTTTTGCAAAGAAGAGAAAATAATTGTGATTGACATCAAATTATACCGGCTTTATACAACAGGATACAATGAAGCTACTAACGACTTGACTGTCTACACTTCAACTCTTGAAAACGAGGAAACAGCTAGATTGGGGTTTTTATTTCCCCTAGTTAATTGCTTCCTTTAATTTTGCAGTTGAGAAAGGACAATTCAATGCCTTTTGTTACGCCTTGTTTAGCTTGACGGGTTTTAGTTTTGACCTTAAGTTTGAAAAAGATCATTAAGAGGACTGTGTCATGTCTGTTTTTATACCCGTTATGCGTCCTATCCGCTAGTTTACATGTCCATGGATGACAAAAGTACAACTTCGTGTCAAACAAATAAGTCTCCGAGGCATTAATTGTATCAAATGTTACGAGCAACAAAATTGGACTCAGTCTGAAAAAGAGTCTTAGGCAAACAAGTTTTAAAAGTCACAATTACAATCCGTTTCAATCTTCTTCAAGTTTGTCCATCCCTGTAACCATTTTCATTTTCCGTGTTTTTTATTTCTTCTTTTGATGTTTTGACAGGTTTATTATTTTTGTTTCACACAGTTTGCTGGCAGTCCTGTCCCAATGAGTTTAAAAAAATTTCGTGACGACGCAGCTCCTTTAATACATATCCTTTGCGGACATTGCCCGTTGGAGAGACAATTAATCCAGTATGTCATTTCCTGTGCTTCAAATGGGCCAAGACCGTTTCATAACGTCGCTTTTGCGAACAAAACAAACTAGCATATCACTACAAGATACCAAAGAAACAAACGGCTTGTTTTGATACAGCCGTCATGCAATTCCGGGCTTTTGTTGTAGATGGTTTGACTCAGCTTCCTGAACTACATCCTACGTTTTGTAAAATAGCACAGAGTTTTAAAATCCAAGAAATCATTTGCAAAAATTGTGGTTGTGTGGTTTGGCTTTGATAACTTTCTGCATCTGAGTTCAAAGAAGTAAAAGGCTTATGCCTCAGTGGATTTAGAGAAAGACGAATCCATGTCACAATCTACGTGATAGGTTTCAAGTCAGCATTCTTGATAATTTTCGAAGTCATCATAGTTTTCAACGGCAGGTGGCGTACAGTGACAGAGCAAAATTTTCTTCCGGATATTTAATATCAGTGCTTAATATATTTTACCATTACTGGGGTAAAGAAAATCGTCCGTTATACTGAGAACTTCGTTATATCGAGGTTCCACTGTATCAGATATATTGCTGACCTGGTTGCCAGGGTCCATCTTTCCATTATTTTCCTTATTTCGCCCTTTTAAAAGAGATTTCATATTCGAGCAGCGGAGCCATCAAGCCAAGACTTAGAACCATTGCTCGACAGGTCCTGACTAAAATGAAAAGGAATTATTTCTTTCAACTACAGATTTGTTAACAGAATTAAACCTCGACTAAACAAATAGTCATTAAAAGGTGTTACGTAATATGGGACATGACTCTTGGCGTCATAAAATTACCTCCTACACGCAAGTCACAGATACTCTCACAAAGACAATGACGTCTATATCAAGTGGGCAGAATTGTCTCGTCAACTTTATTTCAGTGTATCAATAAATTAACAACACAATCGAATCAAACGTACCATGTCAAACATTTCAAGCACTGAAAGACTTTTGAATTGAGAAATTCGCCCTCGTTTTCTCGCAACATCTACGAGTAAGCCGTCAAAATACTCTAGTTGAATTATCTACTACCGAAGTACATTGCCGAATTAATGTAAAATCTCTAATTGCCCATATGATGTTTATTTAATGAAGACCGGTTATCAGTGCGACTTCCATACGCACTGAAAATAAAAGGTTAAAATAATATGTAATTTCCTGGGAGTTGGCTCGCCAGTAATGATGAACGCATCACCTGCCGGAATCCAACGAGGATATGGAGAGTGGGAGTCCGGATATATGCGTTTGCAAATGAAGTCATAAGAGAGCTCTATATAGTATATAAAGAATTTGTAGCTCGCAGTTATAGAGAAGAACTTACTTGGAGATTGTGCATGTACTAGTCTATGCTTAACACCGATTGAATTTCTTTTCAATCCACGTATAACAAAGGTCAGTAACTATTTTATTAGTACGGAAATGTATCTATGTGTTTGGGTTATGACTGGCTGAGGGAAGTAACTAAAGTTTATGTTATCAGTTCCAGTTTCTAAACTTTGATCACATAAAAAGGGTGTAATTCATTTTACCTGCAAAACACAAAGGACCTCTTATTTAAGAGCTTGTCGTCCAAGTTGAAGTCTTATGTCTTAATTTATTTCTTTTTTATTTCATTTTTTACGTTCCTTTGTTCCTGTTTCTTTTGTTTCAGATTGACGAAGAAACGACGGAAACAATCACTGTCTAAAAATGTACTTCTCGGCTGTTGCGCTTTGTATACTCGCTTCTGTTGTCATTCAAGATACTGGTAGGTAACTTATGCTGTAGAGTAAGTTAGAGCAATATGATTATCAACGTAAAAAAAGTGCGGGGTTCAAATAATAGACCAAACGTTACCCCTTTGTGTCTTGTTTGCAAATTTTGCTCCTCGAGCCACAGTCACTCAAACGTGAGAAATTTTGGAACGTTTATAACTCAGACATTTTCTAAAAGTATAACCGAGGCGGGGGAATTTTCGTGAACAGTTTGTTTTGAAACCGTAATGTGTTTTGGTATATCTTATTGAATGAAAGCGCTGTTCAAGATCTGTTTCATAGTCTATTTTACTTTTCTTTACAGAGGCCATGAAATATGTATCGATTGGATGCTTCAGAGATAAGATGATAAGACCCAGGCCCCTTCCTGAACTGCTGAAGAACTTTCGAAGACAAATTGACTGGTACAATTTGAACAAGACAATCAACGCATGCGCCAAACAAGCGGAAGTAAATGGTTACCTCTACTTTGGAGTTCAGTTTTACGGAGAATGCTGGAGTGGACCACTGGCTCACATGACTTATGACAAAGACGGACCAAGCACAGAATGCATCGCCGGTGTTGGCAAAGGTTTCGCAAACTCAGTGTATATGCTGACTGGCAAAGGTTAGTATTTGAATATCCCCGGCTCAGATGTAGAATTAGTGACAGAAAAATTTGCCCCGTTTTCTCGACTACTCAGTTCATTAGTGAAATTCAAATTCGGACCTGACCGAATTGTTCAACCTGCGTGTACGATCAGTACTAAAAAATTGTATTCATAAAAAATAACCTACTTTCAAGTGAATATTATTTAGCACGAAAGTACTAAATAATTAAAGACATCGCGTATACAATTAGAGACAAGACCACCATTTCTACCAGATCATCTGAGCGTCTCGTCGCGTCGCTTCGTCGTGAGTTTTATACTTTAGACCCTGATTTTTGTTCGGCCTTGGGAATAGAACCCACGATTTCCCTCTTTTTAGTGCAGCACTGTACCGACTGAGCTAGGCCTGTTAGAATTAAAACAATCTTTTCAAATGCCAAAAGTGGTGAAGGTTCTCTCAGTCTACTTGCCCTGTTAGAAGCGGCTAGTGATCATGAAATAGTCGGATAGATTGAGAGTTCAACAAAAGGTTGCCTTCAGCGCCTTTTTCCAAGAACAGTATTTTAACCAAATGTTTGAGAAGTTCTAAACAGTTCAAATAAAAGATAAAACGATTGTGCCATGAATGAGATAGGAGACAAAAGTTAAATTAAGGCCCAGAGAACGGCGGTGTATTTTTAACTTACGTACGTTATGCAATAATTTGAAAAACCCTTTTTTTTTCATAGTGGTCAGTGAAACTAACATGATTGATAAGTAAAAATTGTGCGCCAATACTTGGAGTGAGATAAAAGAATTCCACACTGCTTTTTTCTTGTCAGAAAATGAATGTTCCGATTATGCTACCCTGAGTTCCACTGACAGATCCAAGGCGCACGTTACTGTTGGTCGCCCAAAGTGCGATCACTGGACATATGGTTTTCCACTTCGCTGGTACAGATTCACTGGCGGAGCAGGCCAGGCGATTGCGAATAAATGCGTAAATTCAAGGCGGTGTCAAACGTATATGAGTGGATGGATGGACGGTCAGCATCCAAAGGTTAGTTAATATAATCCATATTATTTCATTCATTCAAAATATTCAGTTCGCCCTTTCTGATTGGCCCTAATGCTCCGGCTAACGGAGGGTTCATAACCAACTGGCGCTTACCATATTTGGAAGGAGGGAGTAGTTATAAAAATACTCCTCGATCTGCATAATTCTTCACATCCTACTCAGCCTCCTTCAATAGCTACTAATTATGATATAGCAAAGCTGCATGTGTAAGGCTGCATGGTGTTGGGGTCCCAAGTTAGAGTTGTCAACCAAAAAACAAAGATAATCCGTTTTAAAATTGTATGTTTTCAGGTTGTTGATGGAATCGTAAGAAGGCGTGTATGCTTCAACTGGGGAAACAAATGTTGTTATCGTTCGTCAAATATAAGTGTCAGGAACTGTGGAAAATTTTACGTCTATAAACTTCCTTCTACTGTAGGCTGTCATCAGCGATACTGTGGCAATGGAATACAAAACAAATAAATTCGAAAAATTGTCAACAGCAAATTTCTCTCAGGTCTAGCTATAATTTAAACTAAAACTTTCTGTTTTGAATTAATAACGCAGGAAAATAAGGCCAGATACATACAGGCGGTTTAACCATACTTAAGCAGCACTCGGGGCACATTTTGAAGCTGAACCCATGTCAACAGTAGTTCAGTAAAACTTACCAGTGCTATCGTTTTTCTAATAAGTCTAATATTAATATATAATTAGAGACAAGATTATTATCGTTATTTATTCATTTATTTAAATATTTCTAGCTTATTTATTTATTTATTTATACATGTATTATTCAGCGTAATAGAAAAAATAAAAATGTAAAAACTGCCCTTGCGATATGTTTTAATTTAGACATATAGATTTGTTCTGTATATTTTTTGTATATCTGTAGTCAAAAGAAATAAATGAATTAAATAAAAATCAATTTGATTTGACTGCTTTTAAAAGGAACTTGAAATCAGCGTTTCAGTAGTAGGGCCGGTGTAGGTTTTGATCGTGCGCAATTCCAGTTGGATGTGCGAAGTTTCGAGGTATTAATGCTCCGTATTGTCGCGGTTATGGTTCGATCTAAAGCCAGGTAGAATAAAATTGGTGTCGATCCTCGATCTGACAAGGGGAAAGGCGATTAGAGAAATTTCGGCATGGTTTTCTTTGTATTAAAACACGTTAAGCCGAAGAATAGTTTAGTCTCAAAAACACTGGAAATTAATGGGGACGAGAACCATCAATAATCTTTTCAAATAACCACTCCGCTGGGAAAAAATCATCTGAGGTGAATCTGGGCCAGCTACAGGTGATTCATTCATTAACTGTCGGTTAAGCAAATAAGGAAATGAAAACCATATTCATTTCGCTTTTTTACTATTAATATCGGTTGTTACCAAGTCGAGGATAATGTATCGGACTTACGTTGTCTGGCCTCACTATAATTTTACCCATAAAACTTAACGCCTATCAAAATATTTTAAAAAAAGAAGACTCTAGGTGTTTGTACATTAACCAGTGTGTTTGTTTTGAAAGGTACCTCCGTCATTCAATATCCCGGAAAGCCATCGGACTGAAGTGCGGTAAAAGCGAAAAGTACATTTCCATTGTTTTTACACGGAAGACAATCAAGCGCGCGGGGCTTGACGTCAACTAAAACATTTTTCCTGTTATGTTAATTCACGATTGGATTTCGTACTATGCGGCATGTTCATTTTTAAAAGTTGTCCATTTCGTTACATGTCAAAAGTACAGCCAATTAAGGGAAATTCTACAAAGTCTTTTTATTGCATGACGTCCAACGGTCAGATGATATTCGCTTGTTTCCGCCCATAAAGAGGTCCATTTGCGTGCAAAGAGTGTTTTACGAATTGTCGATTGATTGATAGCTATCGCGTCCGTTACAAGTTCATGCTAGAATTAAACCTTGTTGGCACTTATCAATTCATTACATGAAGGAGTGAATTTCTGGGTTGTGTTTACAAGGTGCTTAGATCATGAATGATATTTTCTAAAGAGGCTACTAGATCAGAGTAACGTGGTGCTTTTAACAAAAGAAACAATAACTGAACTTAGTTAACTTAGTTTGCTATTCAATTGTTACATTTTTATCTCAATTTTGTCAGTTATCATTTTTTAATGTGCTAACCGCCTTCTTTTGTATTAAAACCGGAGAATCAGTTATCTGTCCCTGATCCTTACTAAATTCTACTGGTTTGGTTGCGAATAAACCCAAAACTTTAAGAAAGCAAAGCAGAGTTTTATAAATAAAATTCAATGGTAGTGCCAGTCTGCCTCGAGATGTCTTTTGCTTCTCTCCTTGAAATATAAATACCTTTTACCGAATGGATTGTTGCTGCATGGCTAAGTGAAAAAACTTATAAAGACTCACAAGACTTCTTTACTGATTAAAGTAACTTACATAGTTGTCGTCTCACACCCCTTAATTTCAAGCTAATGCCACATAGAAATTTTAAACCTGCGCTATAAGTCACGCGGTAGCTTTTTCTAGTTTCCTCCAGTTGTTTCATTTCAATGTTCTTTCAATAGGTATTCTCTTGGCAGATCGAACCCTTATTCCAAGAAAAATACAAGAAAACTAAGTTCAACAATAAAAACTAGAAGGAATTTCTGATTCAAGTTGAGATGATCAAGGTTACTTTAATACAGACACGTTTAAATAGCGAACTAACTAGACCGGATGGAAGTAATCGGAAAAGACAATCATTCTTTTCAAACAAAAACTAATCATACCTTTTCGGTTACTCACTGTTAAACGTTTCCGTCAAATTATGAGTGGCGGAAATGTGTGTTAACTGCTTTTTTTGACATCTTTCTTCCTAGCTTTATATAAGGTCATTCTCTTTACTACATGTTCACCATAAAACTGCATCCACTCCCGGGTATAAGTGAATCAGGGACAGAGCTTATATATTTTATTAACTAAGCCAAGATTAGCGGTAAGTAAGTGATTGAAGTTTTCTGTCTATTAAATTGAGTCTCTTTTTTCCTACGGGAAACTGAATGTTTTAATTCAATACTCTTTTGCTCAGATTTTTTAAACACCTTACATATGATAATGTAATATGTTGAACAAAACGTTTTGAAGAAACTTGGAAATTTAGTCTCAGTACCCAAAGCTGTTACAGCATTATACGTAGGCCATCCTTATGCAAATTACACCAGCAAAGCGTATTTTCTACAACACCGCAAGGACTATCTTGTAATTGTTGGTTTTAATTAGTTTAGGGAAACTTTGGTACTCAGGTAAAACAAAACTGAATGCAGGGCTCGCACTACGGCAAAGAGCTGATTTATTATAGGCCAATATTTCGGCTAACAAAATTAGCCTTCCTCAGGGCCAGAGCTATACGGAGAAAAAATATCTTTTAACGGCTCCTAAAATTTGAATTTAAAATTCAATTGTGGTTAATAATAAACTACAATTATAAAATAGAATAATATACAGGTAAATGATTATACAAAAAAAAAAATAGAAATAGAAATAGTTCAATGTTCATTCCTTCGATCGGTTCAGACTGTCTGTTGACGGGGTTTTGCGTCTGTCTATGAGGTGCGCTTCTCTTTCCTTACGGCGTGAAATGCTAGAGGTGGGTTGTAATTCCAGTGGAATAAGTTTCATGTCTGCGATCGAGTGGCCAGGTTGGTTAAAGTGGGAAGAGACTGCTGCTGTGGCGTTTGCGTGGAGTGGATTGTTTGTTGCCTGTCTATTTTCTTTAAAGCGTTCACGAAGTATCAGCGTTTAGTTTCACCTATATATTGTTATTATGATGATGATGATTATTATTATTATTTTATCATTATTATTATGATTCTTTGTTACGGGTGGTAGTAGTTCACAACGGTGAAATAAGACATCCTCGTTGTGGTATGTTTTTTTAGCCAAGAATCATTCGGATAAATTTATTAACCAGAATTTAACCTCTACAGTAAACAACATGATTGCTTAACTCGTGCTCAGACTGGCTCCTGGTATAAGCTTCACCCCATGTAAACGAATCGGGATTCCGGAATCTTGGAAATTTTTGTCGGTGGAATCCGGAATCCTGGGACTTGGAATCCGGAATACAGCTGTAGGAATCCAGAATGCCAATAACAATTGGAATCCAGGATCCAAGTTCCACTGAGAAAGATCTGGAATCCAGTAATTGGAATTTGGAATCCAAGGCGTGGAATCCAGAATCCAAGACTGTCTTGGATTCCCTTACATCGGTTTCAAGACCCAAACGCCTTGCAACAAACACCACTCCCCTGAGCTTTAATTTCTGAGGATTACTGAAATTTTTTCACATAGTCATTATATACTGAAAGAAAACTGTCGGCTTTAGCATTGACGAGCCTATACACCTTCCTTAATTTATTTATGTATTTAGCGTTTGTTGAATGTTAACATTGATATTTTTACTTTTTTAGGCTCGTAGACCACTGCGCAATGAATCAGCTTCCTAATTTAATAAAAGAACACGAAGACGATACCCGTGACACAATTGGAGGAATATTTTGTAATCTTTTTAAGCGAAATAAGGAACAAATGACTAGTAGTATCGGAATTGTGTTTATTGTATTTAATTTAAAGCTACACTTGAAAGTTTAAAGGCAATGTTACCCAAGACGATTCGCAACCGCGATTCTTAGCTCAACACAGCGTTGCAACATTGTTGGAACATTGTTTCGAATAAATCCAACATTGTTCCAACATTGCAACGATGTGTTGCGCTAAAAAAATCGTCGTCGCGAATCGTCCCGCGTAACATGACCTTAATTTCTCGAAAAAATAGAGTATTGAATTCGAAGCTTTGGCATGTTAGTGAATAAATAGCCGCCGTAGCAAGTCTTCGTACATGTGCTTCATAACTTTTACATCGGTGTATATATATATATCAGCGACTTCGCTTAACAGAAGAGCAAACTTTACTGAGTTCAGTAAGTCTTAGATGGACGCATTAGTGACTTATTAAATAATTTATTTGACTGTCAAATAAGAGACCTGGCGTATTTTCGAGTCCAACATAATTTCACTAAAAAGATTGAAACTCAGAATGCCTTTTCCAAAGCTTCTACCAAGTTTGAAACTGCATTTCATCTTCTGGAAACAGAAATGGAAATGAAACCACACAAATGGGTCACCGGTTCTAAAGGAACCCCTTTTAATTATCTGCAATTAAAACATACAAAATTAAAAATTCAGAAAAAAAAGGAAATAGTCTCGTCATTCTCATTTTCTGGTCCAATTGATGATTTTCTGGATTCTTGCAAACGTTTTCTTGCCTGTTATGAAAAGATTTCACGACACTGAAAGGGGAAAGAGAGAGGCTGGAGAAACACAATGTGTTTAAAACGTTCAGTGATATTCTTTCGTGATGGAAGCCCGTTTTGTACGACACATCATTCATAAGAAAAAAAAATGGCACGCTGTGTATCTCTTTGTCCCTTTGCTTTCGTATATTGCAAACCATGAGGTTAATAAACGCGCCCTCTTTCTACCATTCTTTCTAACTATTTTTAATTCTTTTTACCTTTCAAAGAGGTTTAATGAATAGAAAACCGGGCGGATTATGTTGCGATACCAAAGAAACTGGGATAAAGAGAGAAAAGAGAAGAAAAGGGAAGATGAACAAAATATGACATAAAAATGTGACTCGCGATCGTGTGACTAAACAATTAACTGGTTGTTGTCTGACTAAAAACTACTGAGAATTTTATTTTTTTAATCATGTTAGGAAAGAATATGGTTTGCTTAATAAATTAATTTCATCCGGTCCCGGAATAACTTGAAACTTGAAAAAGAACAATTTGAACTTGGAGATTGTCTAAGAAAATAAATAAGCGTTTCACCCAATTAATCATAAAGTCCATGAAGTTGTAACTGATCGTTGACGATTAAAAGAGCAGCACACTTTAAAGTTATGACAAAGAGAACAAAAACTGCGTCCGGTCTTTCAATTACTAGTATTGATATTTTAATAAGGTTTGGTCATACACCTGTAGAATGCCACGTGTGAAATGACCACAAGATACACAATCGTGAAGTCTGTTTCAACTTTTGTGACATATTTACTGGATCTTTCAAAAACGAAAGACAAAGAGGAAGGTCACTCATTCTTTTACCTATCAAGAAACAAGTGACAATTGAAAGAACAGTTTCCCGACATGTAGGCAGTCTGGAATAATTACGTGGCGTCGTTGGCGTTTCGGCTAGAGTTAATAACAATTTAAGTGGAAATTTCACTTTCAAACAGTTTTATCATATCAATGAAAACAGTGGGTGATATCGATACCTGCGGTTGGCTGTTTGATGTGCATTTAAACAGTGGGATTTCTCACAGTTCACAGCTGAAGCGAGATCAATTTAGCTTTCGTATGCGGAGGATAGCTATCTCTAAACAATACCAACTAGCGTAAACCTTAAGGCAGTATTGTCTTGATTTGTTTGCTGAGTTCGATTAAGCCTTAAATGAATCATTTCAGAAAGGGTTAAAAAGAGCGTTCAAGATTGGTAATAGTTGTCTGGTTTTCGGAGCCTTGCAATTCACAATGAGGGTAGCATTTATTACTTTTGTGGCTGTTTGCACTATTTTGGCGATAGAAGGAGGCAAAAAACAAGGCCTATTCGCTGATGCACAAGGTAAGTCAGATAGATACAACACGTCATTGCCAAATGTAAAGAAAGTCAAAAAGAATTATTCTTTTTTATTCGTAAAGAACGAAAGGAAAGTGAAATTAAGACCGATCTTTTTACCTCTTTGTTGTCTAGTTGTAGTCAACCAACAACAAGTAAGGTCAATGAGTTTTACACTTAGTTTATGGCGAGTAACTGAACACCATTAGGGTTTTCATTGTTTGCAGTTTTTGTTTTCTTTCTGCTCGAATTAAAACTAAATACAAATCTCTAAGAAAAAACATTCCGTGTACGTACTTCTGAATAATAAGTAATGTTTGGAAGACTCATGCATATAATGATTTAAAAAAATGATGAAATTGGCAAAAGAATGATGCCGCATGCACTCTATTTTCTAAGCCGGACTTTGTATAGCTTATTATCAAAAATATTCTTCCTCGTCGCAACCCTTCCCATCCCAATCTTTGGCCTTCCTCTTCTGAATTGCTTGAAATCACATGAACCATGAAAGGACCTGGTAAGTGATCCAATTTTTTTTTCAAATTTAATTTCTTTTTGGTTTTTGTTTTTCGCAATTATTTTTGACTCTATAAGTGCCTGACAAACATAATTTCTACGCTTCAAGACGCTTCCCCGAAAAACTCATCCACGTACCACTGTTTAATTAGGTTAAACCACTATGAGCTCAAGCGCGTTTTCCAATTGGGCAAAAATTGTCACATGCCATGTGTCAGCTCCCCAGCGCGAGCAAAACTTGCTCCCACGTGATCACTCCGCCTGCCTTGAAAACGTGGCAAGTTTGCTTAGGCGAGCAAAAATCACAAGGGTTCGGACAAATTTTGTGTGGAAAAATCTTTCATGGACCCGCCTTTCGTTTACGCGGGACCGCGTAACCGTGCAAGTTTTTGAACGTCAAAGCGTGGAAAAATTTGTATGGTCTCGTGTAAAAAGTACCGCCATAAATTATCCGGCTGTAACAACCCCGTACAAAGGGGCTGCAAAGATAAAAGGTACCTGATTACTTGGTCCGTTTACCTTGAGACAGCGGGAAATTTGTGTTCCAGTCAAGCCATTAGAGCGGAATAATTTTGCTCAGTCTTGGCCAACAGACCAATTTAAAACTTATTTTATTTTTGATATGGTGGACGCGGTACGGCCTTCAGCAAGATCTGCGTAACAGAACTCACTGTTTCCCTTGCCCTTGGGGCCCCTCATTTTAAAAGAGCTTTTTAATTTCAATTTTAGCACAATACTCATCATTTGCTCGTCACATTTTTGAATATTTATTTAGAAGTATGTATTTCTACTTTTATCTAGGCCTTTATCAACTTTTGACATAAGTTACTAGTGAGAATCATGCCCTGTCCCTTTACTACTTCTTATTAGCTAGATTTAAACTGTTAAATCCAATCAAATGTTTTTTCTTACAGAATTAATTTAATTTTTGAATGTTATACAGGAATAAAATTTGAGCCATTGGGATGCTTTAGGGACGAAACGACAAATCCTAGACCATTGCCCATCCTTGTTAAGAACTTCCGCTGGCCAGCTCAAATCGACTGGAACAATTTAAACAAGACCATCGAAGCGTGTGCTGTTAAAGTCAAGGAGGCTGGTTATGTATACTTTGGTCTTCAGTTTTATGGTGAATGCTGGAGCGGACCGAAGGCTCATTTAACTTATCACGAAGATGGCAAATCAAAAAGATGTATAGCCGGTGTTGGAAGGGCATATGCCAACTTCGTGTATCGGCTGGTGTTTGAGGGTACGTACTACAGACTGTCTAAATACAGTTGGAACCTCTCTTTTGAGACATCACTCCTTCATTCAGACACAAAATTTGGTCGCGGAAAACTGATCACATAATCTTTGTATTTGGTACCTCTTGATTGAAGGGACACCTCGATTCAAGGGAAAGGGACACTTGTTCTGGGTCCCAAAACCCGGTTTTAACCTTTTAGGGAGCAACTTAGTACTCAAAAAGTGACCGACCACAAGAAGGGTTGGACAAGTTCACTGTTTACTGGAGTTAAAATGTCTACAGCTTTTAAAACATGAACTACATCTCACTAAAATCGACCTACTAAACTAATAAACTTGTATAGATTCAACACACAACCGACATCGCAGAGACAATTACATCATGACTTTAATTATGCATTATCTAGCTGCTTGAAACAATGACTGTAGCAAATTCTGAGGCAGTCAAGTAAAAGAAACGTATTTTATTAAACCGTAGCCCAACTTCCATTCAGAATACACTTGCCTCAATGGTTCCGAGGGTGTCCTCTGAATAAAGGTTCCTCAGTAATACCATTTGAATTACAGCGGAGGCTTTGAAACCGATTATATAGCGATATTAATAAACACACTCATTAATAGATAAATTTTCAAGCACGTTTCCTCGTTAAAAATATAGAGTAGTCCTGGATTAGTTTGCTGGGGTCAAAAGGAATACTTTGAAGAAAGGAACCGCGAAACAAAATGTCACTACCATGTCACGGATTTTTGGAAGGAACAGCTTAAAAATCAATTTTACCGAGTTGTTCTTCGGAATAAGTGAAATCCTGGTGCTTCTCAATAATCATGAACAAGACTTTCAAAAGCCTATGTATTAACGACAAAAATATTTCTATTTATTCAATTCAAACACTTTTGTATTTTCACATGAATATGATCTATTAATTTATTTTTAGAATGCAAAACCGAGAATTACAAAGTTCTGGACAGCGCTGATCGCTCTGTTCACCATGACTATGACGGCAGAGCTGGCTGTGATAACAATCTTCAACCCGGTTGGTACAGGTTCCAAGGGAATGCCGGAAGTACCATGGCCAATGAGTGTCCAGATGAAAGAAAGTGTGGTACTATAGTACCAGGGTGGCTTCAAGGATCGCTACCAGCTGTAAAAGATGGAAAAGTCACCAGGAAAGTCTGCTTTAATCGAAGAAATAATTGTTGTCGTTCGTCAGTTGAGGTAGAAGTTCGTAACTGCGGTGGATTTTACGTGTACCAACTTCCAAAAGCTCCGTACTGCCAATTGAGATACTGTGGGAGTGGTAAACAAGAGGTAAGCTGTTATTTGAATCCTTGAAAATAGTGCATTTTCTGTAAAGTGCTACCATTTAACTTCTCTTATTATAATTTATAATATTTCATAAAACTGTGCATATCCAGCTGCATAATTATTTTAAATCTAAAAGCGACTCCTCCATTTAATACTTAAATCGTTGAAAGCCGAGCGAGCGCACGCACAAAAAAAAACAAAATTAAGGTAAAGTTTCTTGAAATTTATCAGATGGACAGTAGAAAACTTTTGACAGCACTAGCTGACCTCCTGTGAAACAGACATGGGAATCGCCTTTGCCCACTTCCACAGATGCTTCACCCATATACCGCAAGTCCTCTTTTTTGGACTGGTTTTCGGCTGATTAGCAAAGAAATGGCTAAAAACGAGTTTTTCAACAATAAAGGCATATTTTCCGACTAATCGGATGTAATTAAGCACCTTTTGTTTGTTTTGGCGCATGGCATGATCTTGGGCCAATTTTTTTTTTTGCGAATCTATTTCGATCTTTCTTTCTCGTTCTCGTGTTTCTTCCTTTTTTCCCTTTTACAAATCGTTTTCAATACGCAGTTTTGTCGTCCACTTTATCACATTCTTTAAACCAGATTTTTGTTAGGTCCAAAAGATATTTGCATTTGCAAAGCCGGAGTTGTAACTGGCTAACGTTTAAGGAAAGGGACTTATTTTTGCGATAGTTGTTGTTTAAGTATGCCTTGGTTGTTATAATTCATAAATATATTATTATTATTTTATTATCATTTTGTCTAGGAATGAATCACAGCCATTGATGTCAGTTATCTGGAGCAGGGCACACTACTTAAGAAAAATAGGTTTAAAAAATAGTAATAAAAAAGGATAACATTAACAGACAATATAAATGTCAATAAATTGTTTATTCGAATCGCTGAGGGGTGTTTTGATTGATCATTTGCACCATTGAGCAAGTTACGAATTGAGGAAGAAGCAAACTGATTGGGTATGCCGAATTTTAATATTTAAAGATTTGTTATGCTATATCTTTATATTTCAATATTGGCGTGTAAAGTCTTTAACCTTCAAGGTTTGGCGAGCAAAAGTCCTGAAATTTTAATATTTGGCATGCAAGAATCTTTAAATTTTAAAATTTAGCATAACAAATATTAAAATCTCAACTGTGAATGATACTTAGTGCCATAAAGATCTCCAGCTCTGTCAAAACAGCTGAGATATCGACCTGCTCCTGTTCTCTTTTCTGTCACTGGCCGTCATGCATGCAGCAATTTCCTACCAGTACTATATATCTCTCACAAATTTTTCTTAACATGAAACACGTGTATGCATAATCATGGGCTGTACGGAAAACTTACCGTCAATTATCTGTAAATGTGATTCAATTTTCTCGATACATGTCAGATCTGATATTGGCAAACATCTTCCCTTTTCACGGGTAGCCGGTTATGGAGAATTTACGCCAATCATAAACGGAGAATATTTTGAATGAATAGTAATTAACATTGTATGTTTATATTCATACTATTGATTAAACAACTGTCTAGGGCTGAACGTTAGGCTAAGAAAGGCATAAAAAAAGCGTTTAGGGGCATTTACTTGGTGCCCTTAAAAATGGAGACAAATTGTCTCATGGTCTAGGATGGCAGTAATTTGTCTCCTGTTCTAGGACGTAATTTGAACTTAGTCGAAATTCGATTCACTCAGGCTTTTTTTGATGTAAATGGCCGGAGGAGTGTTATATGCTAATGATTGGGCTAAACAGAAAGAAATGATGGGTGACAATTTATAAAACTCGCAAAAAAAGAAAAGGAAGCTGATAAGAACTATCCAACAAAGAAAAATATCTGTGCAAAACAAATTAAAGAGCCCTGACAGTCTTGGCGCAATTATGAAAGAGCAAAAAAATATATAAATTATTTGTGTCCTGGCCTTTCATATCACTTCTCTTTTCTTAACCGAGCTTAAAATCTACCATCATTCTTCATTTACCAACTCAGGTAAATTAAGGCATGGGTGGGTGGACTGTCTCTGAGCACTTAAGCATTAGAAAGATGAGACTTTTTTCAGATACATACATGTGTGGTTTCTGCCAATTTGGTGTTTTTCAATTATGCAAATGATGTCACGTGACTCCACACGACCAGAAAACAATAAAAAGTCTCTCTGTTGTGAGTTATTAAACCGGACTACTTTAGGACAAGGTATAATTCAAGCATCTACAAAACTGTGCTTGGCCGTTTTTGAATTTTTAACTGTTTTGGAAAGTAAACGGTTTTTTCAACTAGACCTGGTTCCCCTAGGCAATTTTATCAGATCTTAACGCCTTCGCTTTTAAATATCTTAAAAAAAGCCAAACACAGAAGTGACATATTAAACGGTCTTAACATTACGCAACCGGTAAAAATAATTGAGGACACACGAAAACGTGTTGCCTTTTCAAGAACAAGCTTTTTCAGACGATAGAGGTCACGTGACCTAATTTGCATAATTTTAAAGCACGAAATTAGCACAAACTAAAAATGTGTGCAGCAGGCAAAGTTTCATGTGTCTACATCTAAAGCTCTTAGATATAGACCACCCCTCACTTTTGAAGTGAACAAACTGAGGTAAATTGAGGCCCAGGCCTTAGTTTACCTGAGAATGACAATCATGTTTCTTTAGTTCTAGCCACAGGGTCTTTTTTGGTAGGGTAATTTATCCTATATTTATTCAACCGCTGTTAAGATCTCGAAACTGGTTTTCACCAAGTAAGGAGCTCGAGGTATGCTTTAGAAGCCATAATATTTTTTGTTCATTTCGTCTTATAACCCGAAAAAGTAATTGTTTAAAGCGAGTTCTTACCAAAATGCAAGTAAAGCTACCACAAATAAAATCATGATAGTTCTTTCTTTTTTGACCACATGGAAACCTCTCTTGTCGGGCACTTTTCATTCAAAAGACAGCATATTTCGACACTCGAGAATTCACTTATTATAAAAGCTATCCGTATAGGATACTTCAGAAGCACTTTTGTGATTTGATTTTTAAAGACCGATTAAAACTGCCTTGTTTGTGCAAGCCTAAGATTTTGATGAGGAACTAGAATTTAATTGAACTAATATCGGCTTCAGTAAAAAAGACGACGAAGTTTATTGTGCGAGTTCTCACCCGGGAAACGAAGTTAACTCAATTTTAACTTCTTCTCTTTGGCACTCCAAAATATTGAAACTCAGTTTTTTCAGTTTACTGCTGAAATTGTGGACAGTTTCAGATATAAAGTGATTACGGAAGTTATATGATAGCGTGATTTTCTTTATCTTAAAAGCATATTTACGTAATCAGGTGGGAATTTATTCAAGTTAACAGCTTAAGTGATAGAAGCTTCTATGGAATCGATCGGGTGTTTTTTTTAGCGTTCATTGTTATCATTTGATTGTAATCTTTTCAACTTTTTCGAAGATCGCTTAGGTCAGTGCTCCGATTTCAAGACATATCCCGCATCGTCCGAAGATTCCCTGTACATAATATTGAAGTTAAAGAAAAGGCCATTCGCCGCTTTAAACGATTCTTCGGCTGCAACATTTCTCCCACTAAGTGACTGTATTTACATTGTACACACATGAATACATGACTTTCCTCCTTTGACTTTTTTTCTCTGTATCGCTTCTTTTTTAAAGTGCTATAACATTTAATATTGTTAAGGACGTTGTTATTTCTCTATCGCTACGTCTAGACAATGCAAATGCTAGCATCAAAATCGATGGTACTGAAAATGAAAAAAAGTACTTGTCATTCAGAAAGTTGCATATTCCATAAATGTATGCTCAGTATTGTTAATGCAAACACAGAGCCAAGGACACTAAAACATTGATAATTAAGTTTGTCTTCGTTGAGTCCATCAGTTTAGACAAGGGCAATCGAAATTGTTGGTCAGGAACTATATAGAGGACTGTAGGCGGTGTAGTTGTAATATCATAATCATCGTTCTCACATGAAAACACCCACCCATTTTAGTTCATCGCCGGATTTCGAAAAACTTTCAAGTTTTCCCGAAATCTGACTGGAAATCTTAGAAAGTTCCCCTTATCACGACCAATTAAGTTGCTACAACCTGATCTTCGCTCGCGCCGTCTTTGTTCTACTTTCTCGGTCAACTCTCTGGAAGTTCTCTTCCTCCCCTGGCATGATGTTTCGTCTCTTCGTTGTTGCATTTCTTCTAATTCATGTAGGCCTCAAAGCGAGCTCAACAGGTTGGTAAATTATAACTATTAATATTTTTTTTTTTTCACATAGTTCAAGTTAAAGCCTATCGATGTTAATCCATTTCAGGAACGCAGTATAGTGGTAATAATAGCGTCATCTTTCCTAACAGTGTGACAGGCATCGACAATATATGTACGTAAACTGCCGTGAAGAAAAAAAGTACAGTATATTGCCAAGACATCCCACAAATTGTTAGACTTGAAGAGAAAAACCATGAATTTGCGTAGAGGTCTAAGCTAACAAGGACAAGCCACGCTAGAAATCAAAACTAAAAGAACATTATTTAATTTGTGACATAAGCTTACTGGCAATAAATAATAGATTCACGTCGAAATACATAAGGATCGTGATTTTACATAGTTTTTTGCTTCATGAAATCTATTTACTATACATTTTTCCTCATTTCTTCATTCGTATTCTTTACTCTCGGAAAAACCTGCCAAGAGCATTTTGCCGGCAGGTGCAATGGACGATATTCGAACGAGACAATGTGGTTCTAAATTGTTTGTGTACATGACTTTATGAGTTGTCGCCACGTGTTCTTAATTTCAATGGCCATATTAATAGACAGATTGCGTCAGAAAATTTATTTTGCTATAATAAAATTTATTGACTAGCACTTTTTCACGTTATGCAAATTTCTTCCGCGAGGATCCGGCATTGCTTGCAATTTTCTCTAAGGTCACTTATGTCATTTTTTTTCCTGAATAAACATTGAACACCATTAAAATGATTTCGAATGTTTTAATTGACTGATCAACCTTCAAAATATCAGCTTTAGAGCCATGTGTTATTTAAAACAATCTTCAAAGTCGTAGCTACTCTGTCTACAGTATAATAACATCAGCACTTAAGTAGGTAGCCACCACTACAAGAAGAGCCTCGATCACTTTGTCTTCTTGATCGAGCAAGCGAAAGAGACTGCTGGCAGGGTAGAAAGTAGCGGGAAGGAAAGACAATCTTAGACTGCGAACAGTCTCTTTTTTTTTTCTTTTGAGTGAAGGTAGAACGCGAAAGCGCGCTAGGAGCGAGCGGCGAAGCCACGAGGAACGAGGGCAGAGCCCAAGCGAAGAAAAAAATCGTAATGATGATTATGATAATGAATTATTTTTATTCTGTTTGCTGTTGCCTGTTATTTTTACTTTCACATTTTGTAATCGGTTGGTGAGTTGCCTAACCGGCTTTTAACAACCTAATCGTGATGATGATGATGATGATAACGAGACTGCAATTCGGATCTTTGATCATGATCAGACGCTTTGCCCCTTTTCACGCCTTTCCCTCTCTCGCCCCACTCCCTACTCCTTTTTTGCCATTATTTTCCATAATTTTACCTTTTCGCTCGTCGCGCCTATCTCTTAGGAAAGAGGGACGACAGCTTGTGGTCTAACGGACAATCTTAAAACTCTTTTTTATCGTTGTAGGTAATTCAAAGTATGTGAAGGTCGGTTGCTTTGAAGATAGATTCCATTCAAGAGCTCTTCCTGAATTGATTGCAAACTATCGTGGCTCAGACCAGTTCGACTGGTTTAATCTGGATAAATATGTGAAGAAATGCGCTGAAGAGGCAAAGAAGAGGAATTATATGTTCTTTGGGTATGTTTATATCAAGTCAAGATAGGTAACTGATAATAATAAATTAAGTAATAATAATAAATTAGTTACGGAATTCTTTTGGA